AAAAATTTAGGTACCCGAGCTTTCATTTTTTTTGAGTCTTGGTTGCGCTTTGGTAGGCGACACTGGGGACACTGAGGAGACACGGGTGATACCCGCACTTGCGCATACAGGACCATCCCTACTAGGGCTGCACAATATATATTAAAAAAATTTATTGCGATATTGGTGCATGCCTAGCCTGGCCTTAGCCATCCGTACACTGCGCTCAATCATCATTTCACTGCATGTAACGGTCTGGGTCTGGTCCCTGTGTTAGCGAATACAATCGGTCGTATTTCGACCGGCTACTCAGAGAGCGCGTTGTAGGTCGGTGCCGGTGACGTCAAGAGTTTGCGCCGAACGGGCAGGTTGTAGTTTGGCAATGGCGAAGAATGCGATAGTAAAGTAATCCGGTCTGGTTCTATCAAGAAATTGAAGCAGGAGCAAGAGGAATGTTTAGCAAATGTAATCGCTGGTCAAGATTGTGGCGCTACTCCCCACGGGCTCCGTTAGCCGCAAAGGAGATGGCTAGGCTAAATGCTAACAACTCACTCGGGCGCATTACAGACGTCACAGTAAACTCAGATCCAATCGTTTCAATCTGCAAAAGGAGTTAACCCCTCCCACCTGTTCACGGAGAACAATGGAGCAAATCCAGACCTTAGTATGAAATGAAATTTGTACTAAGGTGTGGTACGACCAGGCTAGTGCGTGCCATAGGGCTGGGCGATATGGCAAAAAAAAAAAATCTCCGATTTTTTCACACCAAATCCGATTTTCGATTTTAATCGATTTATTTTTTTCTATTTAAAAACAAACTACAACTGACAAAGAAATAGATTTTCCTTTATGCAGTTTAATCTAAATCCCCATGGAGCATAAGTGTAACAGGAATTAAGCCTTAAAACATGATTGTAAACGAGATGGCTCTGCCATTGTAAACAGTGAAAATGTAGCTTAACAGTTTTATAATAACTTCACTTACAATGACACTATGCACCTTCAAAATAACTTAAATCACACAAACAAGGCCCATCGCAAATATATCAATCCTATTAAACACATGCATTATTTACATGAAATATCACATTTTTAAAACTGATTACTCAAAATAGAAATGTTGTAACAGACAGTCTTTTCCAAAAGCCTCCTCGGGTTTTCATGCTTGTTCTTTCAACTGTGCCTGAGTAACTGTGCTGTAGTACAACGCTCGGTCCAGCTGGTGGCGCTAATACTAACTTCAGTGACTCCCGCATTGTGCGAGCTTCCTGTTTACATTCTGATGCTGTAGCTAACAGCTACTGTAGCAGCTACTGTAGCTAACAGCTACTGTAGCAGCTACTGTAGCTAACAGACAGCGGGGAACACGTTGTTTGTATCAGAGCAATGAGAGCAATGTGTGAGGCGTGTCTTTCCCCAAAGTGCAGCGGCTCAGTGGGACACGAGTGTGTGCGCGCCACGGACACGGGAGTGCACTTTGGAATAACGAGCGTGAGAGAGCGTGAAAGATGTGGCGTACGACCGGAGCCTGTGTGTGTGTGTTTTGGCGATTAAATAAAGTCTGATTCTTGAACGTTTGAAGTGTTATTGCAACAGCACCAACTGTGAGAGCGAGCGTCAGGCCAGAGGGAGACTGTTAGCATTAGGTTAGCTTCAAAATGACTGCTCAACACCATAGACCCGCGGTTAGCGCGTTAGCGCTGTAGTTCTGCGATGGAGAAAATAAAAATCGAATTTTTAAAAAAAGAAATCGCCCTAAACGTAAAACTTGAATTAATGATTAAAATCGATTAATCGCCCAGCCCTAGCGTGCCATATGCATATCGAAAAGATTTTTAAATGTTTTCCTTTATTAAAGACAACAAAACAGACACACATCAACATTCAACAATAACAACAAACAAAAAGCAAAGTATATAAATATATGCATTTGAAGGTCATTTATGTTGTGCTTATTTTGTTATTTGTCTCTTGCGCTTCAATGCAGATTGCAATTTTAGGTGAAAGACAATTATATCTCAATATTATCGTTATCGCAATACTAAACACTCATATTGAATATCGCACTCATTTCCAATATCGTGCAGCCCTAATTCCCAGTTTTTTGCGTCTATGGTCCTCGCTCGGTACCATGTTACAGCTGTGCGTTTGCTGAGCTTTTGCAAAGCGGTTGTCGTTATAAAGCAGCTGCAGTTGCTCCCGGGGTCAGAACAGAGGATGTGAATTCCGTTTGAGTAGGTAACGCAAACAGCAGCAAGTGCACGCGGTCGAACAGTGGAAAAAAAGTCTGAAATCGCGGATCCACGAACACATTTCATCTCTGGTTTATCCTTGATGCATTTCATTGGTCCAGAGAATTTTCCAATGAAGAGAATTGCTCAAAAAAAACCCAAAAAACCCCAGACGTGTCAGCTCCCGGCTATAGAGGTAGAAATTAGGGCTGCACGAGATATCAAAAAAATATTTTTATCGTGATATTGGTGCGTATGATATCCATATCGAAAATATGCGCGATAAAATAAATATATATATTTTCCTTTTATTAAAGACAACAAAACAGACAGACACATCAAAATTCAACAAATACAACAAACAAACAAACAAAAGTATATAAATATATGCATTTGGCATGTCATTAATGTTTTTGTCAGGGCGACAGTAGCTCAGTTGGTAGAGCATTGGCCTTTAGGCCTGAAGGTCGTGGGTTCAATTCCCACCTTGACACCGACTCCCACTGATGTCTGCTGTCGTTGTGTCCTTGGGCAAGACACTTAACCCCACTTTGCCCAAAGCCCCCGCTGAGAGATCAAGGCTATGCTCACATTGACTGGGCAGCCATCCTCCTGTGGACTCACCACCTGCAGAGGATCAGTGAGGGGCAGGTGCTCTGTGACTTGGGTGGCATCTCTGACCGACACAGAAATGGATTAAGGGGTAGAAAATGGATGGATGGATGGAAATACTCATATCAAATATCTCTCTATTTTCCAATATTGTGCAGCCCAAGTAGAGATGCGGTAATGCGTTTCCGGCCTGAAAGGGTTACTTGCCTGATGGGGCAACTTGTTAAAACAGCGCACTTGTCGGTCCCAAATCTTTAGTTACCCCGGGCAAGCGGAGAACCGTTAATGTCGAGCCCTGTCGAGTACAAAAAATATTGAAGTAATTTTTGCTTCAAGGCTTTGAATAGTTTACCTTGTTTAATAAAGGTAAATTTACAAATAAATCGTTCTCAAAGTTCATGTTTCGCACAGATTCTTTGTTGCACAACGCGTTTACGTCACAGATGCTCTATGCCATATCGCCAGTCTTTTAAATGCTTGGCTTAGGCCTGTCGCGATAGTCAATAAATCAATTAATCGCACGATAAATAAAATTTGCTCAATAACTTTTCTGGCCGCGATAAATCCCATTTGCATGCTTGTTTGTTTCCCCCGTCTCTCTCGTCAGAGAGCCGCAAAGTGGTCACGGGAACACTAGCGGTCTAGCAAGCAGACGGAAATTACTCAAAAATACAAAATACAGCCAAAACAGGACCTAAACCAGGACTTAACCAGGATTGACAATGGGGGACACAGTAGTTGTGAACATATGCCGGCAGCTGAGTTCTCATTCAGGCTTGATTAGTGACTATACTAGCGCAGCTAGCGTTAGCGTGTTCGCCGATGCAGAAGTACCGTACCATACCAATAAAATAAACTTATGGCGCACCTCCGTGAACACATACTGCTGTTATATAAGGTCTCTAGAAGGTCTCTGAACACAGAGATGCTGCAGACTTGCATTCTTGGAGTAGAACTTTACACAAAAAACCCGCTAGCTTAGCTGTTAGCATCAAAGCCCGCCCCGCTACTTCCGGTGGGCGCTACCGCAGCAGGACTTCTGTACGCCCCATTGGTAAACCCACATGTCAGTCACTTGTCATTCGCCTGGTGTGTGGGGAGGTGGGACTACTCCTGAGAGATCCTGTCTTAAGCCACACAAAGTCAACATGTTGGTATTTCTTTCTCGTAATCTGCCATAAAGTCTGGGAAATTATTGACATTTGAGGCATCTGTTTCATATTTTCTTTACCAAGGTCCTGGCAGTTTTATTCCTGGTCATTTTTTGTTAAGAGACTGAGTCTATTTTATTTGTTTTTGGTTGTTTGTTAATTTATTGTGTTCTAGCGTTAAATATTCGTTAAAAATAAAAGTTTATTTCTCTTTGAAAAGGTGTACCTGCATTATCATTGTAATCGATGCAAATGATCTCAGAACGACAATATAATCGCTTATCGCAATAATTTCCGAGACAATTAATCGTCCAGCAAAATTTGTTATCGTGACAGGCCTAGCTTGGCTTGTGTTTGTGAAAAAAAAAAGTCGACTTGGCTCCAGACTGTACATAGCATGGAAGACGACACAGAAAGCGCAGTGAAAGAGCAACACAGCTCGGGGGATTCTCGCGGTACTGCAGACTAAACCAGACTAAATTCAAGTGGGCTACCCAGAAATTTTTCCCATAGAACTCAATGTAAATTAAAACCGCTCGACCTCAGCTGACAGAGAACCTAGAGCTTTCATAAAGGTCGGATTTAGTGGGGATTTTAGGGTACGGTCACATAGGTTTTCACAAATGACCCAGATCGTCGCCACAGGGGTGTGAAAAAGGCCCGCGGTCACATGAACGTGTTGTCTGAACCGTGCCAGGGAAATTGTTCTGTAGTACAACTTCGTGAGCGGGAGGGCTATGTGCCGGAGGGTCGTGTGCGGAGCGCTGTGTGCGGAGCAATGGACGCACACTGGCTGTGTATGAGTGGAGGGAGGCGGATTAGCGGAGAGAGCGAGACAGCGGTGTGTGATGAGGAGCAGCGAGGAGGAGCGAGGACAGGTACACATCAAAAAAACATCATTATAAGCATTAGTAAAAGGGTATGCCCTACTTTAGTGCATAAAAAGCCTTGTTGTGATCAGAGTGTGTGGAGAAGGTTTGTCCTGCAGTGTGGAGAGTATGTCCCTGAGTGTGGGAGAAGGATGTACCTGCGTGTGGGAGGATGTCCCTGAGTGTGGAGAGGAGGTTCCCGCTGCGTGTGTGGGGGAGGTCCCAGTGAGTGTGGAGAGGATGTCCCTGGAGTGTGGAGGAAGGATGTATCCTGAGTGTGCGAGACGGAGGTCACTGAGTGTGGAGAAAGGATGGTCCCTGAGTGTGGAGACGGAGGGTCCCCTGCGTGTGGCGAAGGTACCTAGTTTAACCTCTTGTTAGTAGTGTCCCTGAGTGTGGAGAAGGAGGTCCCTGAGTGTGGAGAAGGAAGGTCCCTGAGTGAGGAGAAGGAGGTTCCCTGAGTGTGGAGAAGGAGGTCCCTGAGTGGGAGAAGGAGGGTTCCCTGAGTGTGGAGAAGGAGGTCCTGAGTGTGGAGAAGGAAGGTCTGAGTGTGGAGAAAGGATGTCCCTGAGTGTGGAGAGGATTTCGTCCTGAGGGTTGGAGAAGGAAGTCCCTGAGTGTGGAGAAGGATGTCCCCTGAGTTGTGGAGAAGGATGTCCCTGGTGTGGAAGAAGGAGTGTCCTGGAGTTGGGAGAAGGATGTCCTGAGGTGTGTGAGAAGGATGTCCCTGTGTGTGGAGAAGGATTGTCCCTGACGTGTGGAGACGGATTGTCTGAGTTTGGAGAAGGATGGTCCCGGAGTGTGCGAGAAGGATGTCTGAGTGTGGAGAAGGATGTCCCTGAGTTAGTGGTGAAGGATGTCCCTGAGAGTGGCGAAGATGTCCTGAGTGTGGAGCAAGGATGTCCTTGAGTGTGGAGAAGGATGTCCCTGAGTGTGGAGAAGGAGGGCCCTGAGTGTGGAGAAGGAGGTCCTGAGTGTAGGGAAGGAGGTCCTGAGGTGTGGAGATGGTGGTCCTGAGTGTGGAGGAGGATGGTTCCCTGACGTTGTGGCGAGAGGTCCTGAGTGTTGAGAAGGAGGGCCTGAGTGTGGAGAAGGAGGGTTCCTGGGTGTGGAGAAGGACGTCCTGAGTGTGGAGAAGGAGGTCCCCTGAGTGTGGAGAGGAGGTCCCTGAGTGTGGAGGAGGTCGTCCCTGAGTGTTGGAGAAGGAGGTCCTGAGTGTGGAAGGTGGTCCCGGAGTGTGGAGGAGGTCGTCCTGGTGTGGAGGAGGAGGTCGTTCCTGAGTTGTGGAGAAGGAGGTCCCTGAGTGTGGAGGAGGATGTCGTCCCTGAGTGTGGAGAAGGATGTGGCGGGTCCCCTGAGTGTGGAGAAGGAGGTCCTGTTGAGTGTGGAGAGGTGGTCCCTGCGTGTGGAGAAGGAGGTCCCTGAGTGTGGAGAAAGGAGGTCTGAGAGTGGAGGAGGAGGTCAGAGCAGGTGTGGAGGAGGAGGTCAGAGAGTGTGGAGGAGGATGGTCCTAGTGTGGCAGAAGGAGGTCAGAGAGGGAGTGTGGCGAAGGAGTCCTGACGTTGTGGAGAAGGAGGTCCTGAGTGTGGAGAAGGAGGTCCCTGAGTGTGGAGAAGGAGGTCCCCTGAGTGTGGAGGAGGGAGGTCAGAGAGTGTGAGGAGGAGGTCAGAGAGTGTGAGAGGAGGAGGTCAGAGAGTGTGGAGGAGGAGGTCCCTGAGTGTGGAGGGAAGGAGGTACGAGTGTGTGGAGCAGGAGGTCAGAGCAGTGTGTGAGAAGGAGGTCAGAGAGTGCGGAGGAGGAGGTCACAGTGTGCGGGAGGAGGAAGGAGAAGGAGGAGGTCTAGAGTGTGCGGAGGTGGAAGGAGAGGTGGAGGTCTGAGTGTGGAGGTTGGAGGAGAAGGAGGCGGTTCGAGTGTGCGGAGGTGGGAGGAGAAGGAGGAGGTCAGCGTGTTGGAGGTGGTGGTGATTGCAAAAAGGTTCTTTGATGGAAGAAGCACTTGAACCAAAAGACCCCCTTATCCTCCCACTATTATGTGTTGCACTCTTGCTATGAGAGTTTGGGAGAGGTTGTGGTGTGTTGTGTAGAGGTTTGAGGTGTGTTGTGTAGAGGTTTGTGCTTTGGAATGAGGCTTTGAATGGATTTCTATGAAATACAATATTGTTAAGCTGTCCAGACCTGATCTATGGAAATGATTCACGGTAAGTGGACCTCGTGCCAATTTAATTGGGGACCCCTGGTCTATACTGTGCGGTCTATGGTCCGCGTTACGATGGACCCCGTTCTTGTGCGTCTATGGTCCGCGGTACATGACCACGTTACTGTGCGTCTATGTCCGCGGGTACATGACACGTTACTGTGTGGTCTATGGGCGTCCGCGGTTACATGACAGTTACTGTGTGTCTATTGTCGCGAGTTACATGGACCACGTTACATGTGGTCTATGGTCCGTGGTAACATACACCGTTACTGTGGTGTCTATGGTCCACGGTACATGACCCGTTTACTTGAGTGTCTATAGTTCACGGTACATGACCACGTTTACTGTGCGTCTCTGGTCCTCGGTACATGACCACGTTACTGTGTGTCTATGGTCCGTGGGGATACATGACCACGTTACTGTGCGTCTATTGGTCCGCCGGTACATGACCACGTTATGTGTGTCTATGGTCCAGGTACCTGACACGTTACTGTGTGTCTATAGTTCACGGTACTTGACCACGTTTACTGTGCGTCTATGGTCCACGTACATGACCACGTTCCGTAGCGGTTCTATGGTCCACGGTACATGACCACGTTACTGTGTGTCTATAGTCACGGTACCTATGACCACGTTACTTGAGCTGTCTATGGTCCGCGGTACCATGACCACGTTCTGTGTGTCTATGGTCCGCGGTACATGACCACGTTACTGAGGCGGTCTATGGTCCGCGGGTCGTATGACACGTTACTGTGCGTCTATGGTCCACGGAACATGGCACACGTTCCTGCGCGTCTATGGTCCGCTTGGTACATGACCACGTTACTGTGCGTCTATGGTCCGCGGTACATGCCACGTTATGTGGTCTATGGTCCGCCTGGTACATGAACCACGTTACTGTGCCGTTATGGTCAGCTGGTATCATGACCACGTTACTGAGCGGTCTATGGTCGGGGTACATGACCACGTTACTGTGGTCTATGGTCTGCGGTACATGACCACGTTACTGAGGTCTTGGTCTGCGGTAAATGACCACGTTACTGAGCGTCTATGGTCTGCGGTCAATTGACCACGTTACTGAGCGATCTATGGTCTGCGGTACATGACCCGTTACTGAGCGTCTATGTCTGCGGTAATGACCACGTTACTGAGCGTCTATGGTCTGCGGTACATGACCATGTCACAGCTGTGGTCATATGAGAGTTAATGTGCGGACCTATTGTGCGGATTATCCTTTTACCTCTGACTCTGAAAAGCCAGACCTCTTTAGCTGACTCTGAAGAGCTGAGACACTCTTTACGCTGACTCTGAAAAAGCCGGGCCTTTACGCTGACTCTGAAAAGCCGGGCCTTCTTTACTGTGACTCTGAAAAGCTGGACGTCCTTACCACTGACTCTGAACAATAAGGCGACCTCTTTACGCTGACTTGAAAAAGCTGGACCGTCTTTACCGCTGACTCTGGAAAAAGGGACTCATTTACCACTGCTCTGAATAAGCGGACTCATTATCGGCAGTGGCCAAACGAGAGTACGTAAACTGTGGCTGGCCTGTTGGACTTATGGCTCCTGTCACTAAAATTGTCTGTGTCTGCTTCACTGGCACCTGGTGTCTTTTCTCCTCCTGAATCTGAGCCAGTACCGACCCATTACTCTTGAAACTGAGCGTCCAGACCAAATTCCTCTTTGAATGTGGAGGCGTAGAACCAGGACCCAAATATTCTCTGATCTCTGGATCTCAGACGCACGGACTTGTTCGTAGAGACCCTCTGTAGAGAACGCACGGACTGCTCTGTAGAGACCTCTCGTGTAGAGACGCACGGATTCTGCTCTGTAGAGACCTCTGTAGAGACGCACGGACTGCTCTGTTGTAGAGAACCTCGTAGAGAAGCACGGATTGCTTGTAGAGACCCTTGTAGAGTCGCACGGAGCGGCTCTGTAGAGACCCTCTGTAGAGACGCACGGACTGCTTGTAGAGGGACCCTCTGTAGAGACGCACGGATGCTCTGTAGAGACCCTCTGTAGAGGCAGGGACTTCGCGGGGGAAAGTCAAAGGGGAGAAGCAATGGAGCGGGAAAATCGACGCCCACAGGAGATGATTCTGCTCAACATTTCCTCGGGATCGTTATTGCAGCCGACAATCAGAGAAAAAGGAGCTACACCAGGACTAACCAGGGCTACCAGGACTACACATGTCTAAACCAGGACTAAAATCCCAGTACAAAACCAGACTAAACCAGGGTTGACAATGGGGGCCATAACAAATGAACTTATGACGCACCTCAGTGAAAACATACTGCTGTTATATAAAGTCACCTCCGGTGAACACATACTGCTGTTATATAAAATTCACCTCCGTGAACACATACTGCTGTTATATAAGTCACCTCTGTGGAACACATACTGCGGTTATATAAAGTCACCTCCGTGAACACACACTGTCTGTTTTATAAAGTGACCTCCTTGAACACATATCTGTGTTATATAAAGTCACCTCCTGTGAACACACACTGTGTTATATAAAGGTCACCTCTGTGATCACATTACTGTGATATATAAAGTCACCTCGTGAAACACACACTGCTGTTATATAAAGTCACTCCGTGCATCACTTACTGTGTTATTATAAGTCACCCTCCTTGAACACACACTGCTGTTATATAAGTCACCCCGTGCACACATACTGCTGTATATAAAGTCACCTCTTGTGATCACATACTGCTGTTATATAAGTCACCTCTGTGAACATCCTGGTTCGTTATATATAATCACCCTTGTGAACACATACTGCTGTCAATATAAAGTCACCTCCTTGAACACAACTGCATTTTAGATAAAGTCACCCTCCGTGAAACACATACTGTGTTATATAAAGTCACCTCCGTGAAACACCACAGCTGTTAATTTAAGTCACTCTGTGATCACATACTTGTGTTATATAATGTCACCTCCGGGTGAACACACATGCTGTTATATAAAAGTCACCTCGTGTGATCACATACTGCTGTTTATAAAGTCACCTCCGTGAACCACACTGCTGATATATAAAGTACCTTCGTGAACACATAACTGCTGTATTATTATAAAGGTCACTCTGTGATCACACAACTACTGTTATATAACAGTCACCTCGTGACACATACTGCTGTTATATAAAAGTCCCTCCGTGAAACACAAATGCTGTTTTATTATAGTCACCTCGTGATCACATACTGCTGTTATATATATGTCACCTCCGGTGAACACACACTGTGTATATAAATCACTTCGTGAACACATCTGCTGTTATAAGTCACCTTCTGTGTCTCACACTACTGTTATTAAAGTCCACCTTCGTGATCACACACTCGCTGTTCTATTAAAGTCACCTCGTGAACACACCATGGCTGTTATATAAAGTCACCTTCGTTGAACCACATACTGTGTTATATAAGTCACCCTGCCGTGAAACACCACTGCTGTTATGTAAAGTCACCTTGTGAAAACATACTTCCTGTTATATAAAGTTCACCTTGTGAAACCACTACAGCTGTTAATAAAGTCACCTCTGTGGAACACCTACGACTGGTCTATAAAGTCACCTCTTGTGAACTCCATACTGTGTTATATAAAGTCACTCTGTGAACAATACTGTCTGTTATATAAAGTCACCTCTGTGAACACATACTGCTGTTTATAAAGTCACTCTTGTGACACATACTAGTCTGTTATATAAAGTCCACCTCCGAGAACACAACCACTGTGTTATTAAAGTACCTTCGGAACACATACTGCTGTTATATAAAAGTCACCTCTGTGAAACACATATGCTGTTATATCTAAAGTCTGTGGAAAGTCTCTGAACTCAGTATACGCTGCCAAAGCTGAATTATTGGAGCAGAACTTTTAACCAAGAAGCCGCTAGCTAAACTTTCGTTAGGCATCATAGCCCGCGGCTACCTCCACCACTTCGGACGCACGCCAAGAATTCTCGGTCTGAAAGACCCCTGCGTCTGAATTTTTCAACCAAACCGAGCTCTGGGCTCACAAAACGCTGTACTTCTGGTGGTTCCTTTAGTGTCAGAAAGCACAGTCCGAGCCAGAGAGCGTTTAGCTGCTACTGCGGAACCAACCCCTCATCAGTGACGTGCGGTGAGGATTGTGATAGGGGAGGCACCGACTTTAAAAGTCAGATTTACCATCATTTTCAAAATGAAATAGCATTTAATCACCAATGCAATAACATCCACAAACTTCCTATACTGTAAAGATAAGAGAACTAGCTTCATTTAATAATCTCACAACAAATCTAGCTGCTGACTCTCTTCTCCGCATCAAACAACGGCCCTGTCCCAATACTCGCACTTCCACCCTCGCGCCCCTCATTTGCGCGTTCCCGATAAAGGGTGCGAGTGCGTAGGGTGTCCCAATTCTCCAGGGAGGTCTTTGGCCCCGCCCCCTTTGCGCCCCTGATCTACACCTTGCCGTAGCCTGCATCTATGCGCACTCTGGCGAAGGATATTGCCCATAATTCTTTGCGGTACACACCAAAACGTTGGGAAAATGCATTTAAATATAAATTTTGAAATATATATGCAGTATGTGTGTAAATAAGTTTTGCTATGTTACTTGGAAAGAAGCATAAACGTCTGATGAAGAATTACGGACATAGTGTTTTAACAATTTAATAACTTTTTAAAGCAAGCGTTCATATAACATTACATTTAAACTTTACACTTAGTACAATAATCTTAGAATGTATAAAAACTGACCAGATAGTTAGTTACCCACATTTGACTTAAAATTATACAGCTATCTCTAATTAAAAACAACTAATATACATGTATTTTGTAGGAGCATACATATACATGGAGTGTGTGGAGCAACTCATTTTGTTTCCCAAAGGGTCAGACAAAATTACCTTTAATGTTTATAAAGTTTAGGTCTGAAAATGACCATCTCTTGACGAGTCGGTGACGTAACCTGCACTCAGTGTGCACTGTCCCAATTCCGCCTTTATTGCACACGTGTAACCTGCGCACTCCAACCCTGGTGTGCACTTCGAACAAATGCACACTTTGTAGAAGAGTGTAGGGTGCAGTGTGGGTACTGGGATTGGGCCAGCACAGGTGGGAGAGACGCGAGGAGAGAGAGAGACAGAAAGAGACAGGAGGAGAGAGAGACAGAGACGCGAGGAGAGAGAGAGACAGAAAGAGACAGGAGGAGAGAGAGACAGAGACGGGAGGAGAGAGAGACAGAGACGCGAGGAGAGAGACAGAAAGAGACAGGAGGAGAGAGAGACAGAGACGGGAGGAGAGAGAGAGAGACAGAGACTGAAACTCCTCCCCCGCAGCCGGACTAACCTTGTAAGTCCAGCAGTGGTCTCTCAGTCTATATTATTTCTTGCTTTGATTGAAAGTACATTTGAGAAAAACATCTTAAATCAAATCATCAATTTTCCAGCAAAAGAAATAGCATATTGGGCTGATTGATTGTTAGCAACTCGGATATGAACTTTATGCTCACTATCACCCCTAGTGGTGAGGTACAGACACTGCCTGCCTCACGCCAAGCTTTTCCCTCGTGTATTCTTCTCCGATCAAAAGACTTAAACTAAATAAAAATAATACACACATACGTGCAATACATTACTAAAAACCATGAGAAGTTAGACAAATGTTATCAAAGCAGGATATTACAAACAAACAGCGATATATTAACAGCACGAGCTGAGAGCACTCCCACAGTCCACTGTGTGGGAGCGAGCGGTCTGGGGGGAGGCAGGAGCGCTGCCTCACCTTCAGTCTTTGAATAGGAAAAATAGGATTTCAGCGATTTTGACTTCAGAAATTATCAAAACTGGTCGGAACAGTGGCAAATATACATTCAAATCGTAGGACTAACTGATTACAGTAGTTCAGCCGAGATATTTGATTATCAAAATTAGTTTTACGACCCGTAAAAGTTGTTATTTTTTTTATTTTGATGTCCTACCCTCTGCCGTTTCGCCAATCAGGAAGTGTCATAGGCCTAGCGTACATCGACAGAGAAACTGGGGACAACTAGTTGCAAGGCGGCTTTTGGTGACTGAGAGGAGATGGTGGGAGATGATCAGTTGCCGAAAACGGTCGATGTGAGCGCTCTTACAACTGGAGATGAGCAGTCGGTCTCCAGTTTCAGTCAGTTGCCCGTGTTCTACTTTTCGGCAACTAGTTGTCCTCAGTTTCGGAGATATGATCCGATGTGCGCGCTCCATGCGCCGCTCCGACAACCTGTGTGTATTGCGTGTATTGCGAGCCCGCAACAGTTTATGTCAGAAAACACACTGTAGTTGAGGCCAGTTGCTGTCGATGTACGCGCTGTTATTCCCGAGACTGGTCTGATACTGGGAGTTGCCCGTTCTCGTCATATTGTCGATGTGTGCAGGGCAGCAACTCATATGCGACGGATATAATCAGTTGCCAGTCCGATGTACGCTAGGCTTAAGTCCATGATCGGGTTGCCAGAACTCCGCGCGGCTCACTAATCTCAGTGGTAAAATAACATGTGGCCGCAGAACTAAAAAAGGTCTTGTTATGACTCTCAAATCATTAATGACAAAACAAAGATTAAAACAAGGATTTATATCGGGACGCCTTTGAACAATTGAAATAGCAGATAAGTTGTGATGCAAAATTTGCTGCTTCGACTCCGTTCTTCAGAGCTATCTCATCAGCACGAATCGTTGGTCTAGACTCTAGTGGATGAAACTGTGTGCTCACGATGCAGCAATCTTGGTTCAATTCTGGGCATAGTCTTTTTGTATTAAATAGCATGTTATCACATTTTATGACAGATTGCTCTAAAAACGGTAAAAGACGAAGGTCAAGACGTTTTTTGGCAGATTATAGCTTAATTATAATAGAATGGGCCAAAAATTGGGCTTTCATGGAGTGATTCAAAATGGCTGCGGGGGCTGGAAAATGTGAAAAAAACGCATATGCGCATACGTCAGCCCCAATTATTTGAATGAGTGCCTTCAAAAATTGACAGTGTCTAATCCAGACTGGTCCAAAAAAAATTCACTCCCCTCAGCATTGACACACATGCAGAGCTTTGGACCAAGAGCCAACTTTTGGACCGTCCTGTAAAGACGTTTTTGAGAGGTCAGAAGATAAGTACCTTTGCATTGACTAATTCCCTTTCCGGGTCCAGCTCCTCTGGCCTGGTGTGGTATTGCAAGCAGGCCAGTGCACATCCCCAGAACTGCCCCCGCTGAGTCTAAAAACACAGATAGTCAGGTAGACTGCATGGAGACACTTTGCTAGGACAAGTATGGTCACTTTAGCACTTTGCTCTCCTCTTCATACCTCTGTCATCATTATGGCTGTAATCTGTGCATTGCTATTTATGAACATTTATTAACATTTATGGACATTTATTAACATTTATGGACATTTATTAACATTTATGGACATTGTGGTAAATAATCATGTGGCCTACTGGGTTTCCTCCTCGCACAACCAGTGATAGTGATATGGAAATGATCAGGTTCTGCTTAGATATAAAAAAGTAGATTTAATATATAATACAGAATAAATGCAAATTGACAGGCAGAAAGCTTCAGCCTGGGTCTCGCTAAGCTGGGATAGCAGAATGACCTCAATGCATAGGACTCCGTTGATTTTGTACTGCAAGTTACCTGATCATTTGAAACATATGTCCTCCTGACCTATGATCTCTTAGACTCAAAAAACACATTCCTTTTCTACTGAGAAGAAGAAGTGGCCCCTCAAAATATACAGCAAGGTCTGCTTTTATATGGCATTCAGATGTTTCTCAATGCAAAAACACATTTCAATATATGTGTAACTATTAGAAATAAAACATCAGATACTACAACATGTTTTAACATTTATGGACATTGGTCATCTTCCCCTGTGGACCAATGACCCCTGTGTTTGTTATCATTGCATTTCCTGTGTTTGAACTGTTTGACTCTGTGATGGTGAATTGACAACTTCTTGTTGTTCTTCGAGAAAACTGCTGTTGTTATTTAGGGCTTCATAAAATTAAATTGAATTCAATTCAATTGAACCCTTGCAGTATTCTTTTGGGCCATGGCTCCTTATAAAATAAATAGTCTAAATGACCCAGGGCTGGTCAAGCTTGTTAAAAAAATTATTTAGGGTATTATTTGTCTACTTTTACCATGACCATAGATCATAGACTTTAATAAACACCTTAAATAAGAAATTATAACAAATGTATGATGAACTGTTATTAAAGTAATTCAACTAAGTTACATCTTAAGACGGTAACGTAATTATGTTGTTTTTAAGTAATTAATTTAGTAATGTAACTAAACATTTGTAACTAAAACATCCATCCATTTTTGTTGCTTCTTTTGCGAAGTGACATCCAAACAGGCATACAGTCAACAGACATAAAGCTTACCAAGTTTACCAAGCGGGAGAGTCGGCATCGTAGCAGTCGTGATGTCAGAGACTGTTACGAACACAATTAAAGGTCACAACAGACACACAAATATCAGGTGAGTGATAAAAACAGAAACATAGATGATGTTTTTATCTTTATTTCACATTGACTTTGATGATCATGACCTTCCACTACACCTTTACTAAAACACAACCTTAATTTTGAGAATACTTTTGTTTGCATCTCATATTTAACTGTAAAAAATTATGATAACATAATATAACACTTCCAAGCACTTCTCCCGGTTTTATGTTTATGAGGGAACAATGTTGTAACGCTAAACCTGTCATGGTGTGGATATTTTTTTTTAAATTCTTTTTACCTAGTTTTTTTTAGCTGTACAGTATTGGTTCTCTTTGAACACATGTGTTGATGTGACCTGATGTGTTGTGTCCCTCTGTGTGTGTGTTTATCCTACGGATCTATGGTTTATACTGTTCTTTTCCCCACCTGTTGTCTGTCCATTGTCTACACCTCGGTTGTTCCTGCCTTGTTTTTAGACATTTCATTTTTTATTATTACCCTGGATTTGAATTAATTTCATGACATTCATTAAGCATAAGGATATCTTTGCTACCTTAGCCATGACATCAGGAGGCATCTCACCAACACACGACGAAACTATTTCTTTTTTATTATAATTCTGTTCACAAAAAGCCTGATGTCTCCGCTTAATAGCCTGCCTAGAAGTATAGTATTTAATTATGTTTATTTATATACAGGATAGGCTACACAAACAATATTAAAATAGAACCAAGCTACTCACCGAGAAAACTGCGTCACGTCTAGTCAAAGTAAAGTCGAAAGTGAAAGTAAAAGAGATTGCAGGAGCCAGCAGCGCCCTCTAGTGGTCATGCTGGGAGGGTGGCAGTAACCTGGGGGGAGGGTGCTAGACGAGACCATGGATCTATAACAGATGAGACACACGTTTGTTGACCGTGTTTGTGGTGTTTTCATATCAGGTACAGGTATTTATGGATTTAAAAGGACTATTTTATAGTTGTAACAAATAAAGACTGCCTCAGAGGCGTCAACTAATGTCCGGCAGCAGGAGAAGCGGCCCAGGTCAGAACGAGCTGCTACCGATATTATACCGATAATTACCGATATTATACATCCATGCCTGCTCTAGAGGTACAAGTTGTTATTTGTTTTTTTTTAAATTGAAAATACCAATTAGACAGGCTCACAGTAAAGTCTATGCAATTTCAACCGGATTCATAATACGAAATTGACACAACAGAAATTGGAAAAACACAAACATTTTTCATTTATTTTATTATTATTATAATTATTATTATTGTTATTAATAATAATACAAACCGAATAGGTCAAGTTCAACAGATACATATAGTAGGATAAATAAAAACGTAGAGTAATGAGAGAAGTGTAATATCATTCATATTATTAATTAGATTAAGTGAAGTAAAGAACACAAACATCGAAAGCCAAAATTAGTCAACACAGAGAGTCAGAGCGCGATTCACAATGTTTTTTTCAGCCAGTGTTTTCTTTGAGGTACAGTATTATAAAGAATCTTTTAAGCAGTTCATTCAAAAACACAAATGAGGCACAACCACGACCAGAGAGATTTTCTGCAGGAGAACAGTCAACCCAATGACAAAGAGCAATATAAGAATTTTGTCTTTCTCTTCATAATTTTTTTCCATGTATTCATTTATTTCAGGCAATGGCACAGATCAGTACAAGGTAGACAAATACAAACAAGTCATATAGTTTAAACAGATAAGGACAAATAGTGAATTTGCAGCATATTCTGCGTGTAAACATGACAACCTAATTCTGCCTGAAAGGGAGTGGGAAGAAGACAACTTATTTAGTGAACTTATATTTTATACAAGGATTATACAATGTTAATAATAATGATAATAATAATACATCAAACATGTAGCGCTTTTTTGAACACTCAATGACGCATTGGAAATAAGATACAATAAAAAAAGGGGGGTTTATGGAAAAGCTTGTTTAAAAACATGTGTTTTGAGACTCATTTAAAGCTTGGTAGTTTTATTTTATTTTTTTTATCTTTTTATTTACTATTTACTATTAAGGCAGAAGTAAAAAAATATTCTTCTATGATTTTTATATTTTCTTTGATTTTCACATGTTCTACTTTTCATATACTTTTTGTACAACATATTTTTCTTTTGGCAAGCCTTTTGTATGCCAGGTGTCATCCATGGCTTTCTTAAACATTTCTCTTTAGTCTGATACCTTACTAATGGACAATGGCAATTGTAAAGATCTTTCCAGTGCTGCATAAAAGCAACATAGGCCTCATTTGGATTGTCCACATAGACACCTTCCCAAGTGCAGTTTAGGTAGTGAGTCAGAGTTTCTAATGGGCAGTGGAAGTGAGTTTCAGAGGGTTGGGGCGGCAATGCCATAGGCTCTGTCCCTCAGGGTCCGGCGGTTAATGCAAGTGATGGGAGTGAGGAGGATGGAATCGGCTGAGAGAAGGCAAGTTTTGTAATGGTAGTGTTACGAACAGGTAACCAGTAGTTATTACATTGTTACAATAATATATACCAACAATCTCAGGTATGAACAATACCAGCAATATAAATGGACAATATACCTACAATGGTTAATGAAGAATACACCAATAATTGTAAACTGGCAACATGATACCAACAAAGGTAAATTACCTAACATTTGCTTCAAAAGTAGCAATCAATGTCAATTCAATGAATTTTCATTATAACCCTAAACAGCAGTTGTCTCGTTCATTACAAAGTTGTTGATGCACCAACAGAATATCGGAGAATCAAACAGTCATTATGGAATGACACCGAGATTTCATAACACTTTGAAGCAACTATGGTTAAAGTTCAAACTCTTCATTCTCACTTTTGCACAAGCTAGTACTTTTCCCTTGTTTTGACTTCTGAAGGCCAAGCACATGGCACCGTGGAAGCTGCTGATTGGAGGACTGCATTCCTCCATGCTGTATAATACACTTGCATTCTGTCGTGTTCGTGCTCCACCATCAACTATAAAACATGTCTTATGTCTGAATTAAAGACATGATCCCAGACTTTGTCATCTTCTTCATGACTAATGTCCATAACTGTTAATAAATGTCCATAAATGTCCTTGTGTAAATTTACTATTATCATGTACATACTAAGAGATTCTACAAGTTACTTACAAATGCAGACTACTTAGCGCACAGTACGCCACTGAAGGTGGAGAACTTTAGATCTCAGCCATTCAGGCAGTGTCTGTGGTATGTATATATTGTGTTGTCAAATTCTCTGAGAAATCCCATCATACAGGAAACAAAGCCAGGTACTGCTGACTTCTGAGCACAACTGTAATTTAGGATAGTAATTGATTATGTGTAGCGTAGAATTTCCTGCATTTTATAGTTGATTGAAATGTGATAATGCTCTGTTCCAGTAGATATTTGCAAATGGAGACGTCCTGGTGTGGTCCTGTAGGTTAGTGACTCAGGACACGTGGTCTGGACACATGGAGCCGATATAAATAGACCACAGAGTCAGTCACACAGTCAACAACACTGACCCAGGTAAGTGCTGCTACCCTAAAGACTACTCTATACTAACAATAATATACTAAATATGTGGCTATTACCTCCAGGCCTGCTGTGAAAACAATTTTTGGAGTTTGATATATTGAAAATTTAGGAATATATCCCAAAAAGCAACTATATGGATCAGTAATAAGCCAGGACTATTCAATTAAATATATTTTAAATGAGCTTTTATCATACAAACAATGAAACCTTATGGGGCCATTCATGAAACTTACAATTCTTTTACAATTTGTGCATACAGGTGAGATGAAGGGTGAGCCCTAAATAGTATAGTTTTTGCTTGGATTATTGAACATCTAAACACATACAGCTAAACCTGCCTTATGTTTGTGACTTTAATCTAGGCCTTTTTGTGATATTTATGGGCAAACATTTGTAATACATTCATATCATTTAATTGTTTTGGTAAAATATGTATGCTCTTGTTTGTTATAATCTTTTAGCTTCTGGTGCCTGTAGGGACCAGGTCTGTGAGTTACCTGTTAGCTACATGGCCTATGAACATGGCATCAGTTATTTATAACAATGCTTCTTGTTTTGTAAAATTAATAAATTACATTTCTTTTTGTTTGAAGTGACACTAACATAAACGTATTGTCTCCTGCAGCAATTAGAGCTCAGACCCAATTACCCTCTCGTCCTCCAGTGGGTGGTGAGTCTACTGCTCCATCACAACCTTGGTTTTTCAGTGGGGGCTTCAGGCAGAGTGGGGTCAAGTGTCTTGCCCATGGATACAACAATAGCATGCAGACATCAGTGGGAGCAGAGTGTAGGTCTCGTGGGTGGGGATCGAACCCATGACCATTTGGCCCGAAGACAAATACTCTACAACTGCCCCACTTTATTTGTTGTTTATTATTCTAATTGATAGTAGTTTTCCACAACAGTATGAACTGTGCTGTGCGAATAAACAAATAAAGCATTACCATGAGTAAACAGAGGCCAAAACTACAGGGCCTCAGCTTCACAGAGTTCAGCCACTTGTTTGTAACAGATTCAATAAGATTTTTTTTGTATTTGCAGGAGCCATGGGTGTGGACCGGAGGCGGGACGTCCCGGTGTATGACCTGTCTGTCATCAGGGGGCTGTGGGAGGGGCGAGCGAGCAAACAGAGAGTGAGGGAGAAGAGAGAGAGGGAGCGGAGAGAGAAGAGCGCCCTCGCCAGGTCACACACACCACTGCAGAGGCCATTTGTTTGCCTCAAAATTTCTAATCTATTCACTTTCTATGGAGAATTGCAGAGTGAAGGCTTTAGTGTTAGGTCAATGTCTGTTTTTTTTGAATAGCACATTTACAACAACAGCAGCTGCCCAACGTACTTCACATGCACAATGGAAAACAAGTAATCAGAAAACAGCAAGAAATACACACAAATACATGTGTACTTTTGACACAAATGTGTGAGTACTTTAAGTAAAAACAGACCTGGAGTTGTTTTTAGCTCCATCCACACTCATTTATCAGATAATATTCAACCAGAGACCCAAAGAATGGGTCAGCTGTAGACATGTGATGGTTTCTTTAGTTGAATAAGTCAAAAGTTTAGGTTTGTCTGCACAGTGGCCTTCAGACAGAGTACAACATGTGAGAAATCCAATCCGTTCTAAAAATACTCGGCTCAGAACACTGTGATATATTTATGGATATGACTGATGTTTACTGTCGCATGTGCTTCTGCTACATCCATAGAACATATTTAGACTGACCTGGATATGACTGGAATGATTCTAGTTATAAAACACTGAACAAATACCTCCTTAAACATATACTGTAATAGTGGTCAGTAATCTGCAGTAGAAATATTATTGTGTAACGTGTCATGGTCATCATGGTATAAAAAATGAGAATGCACTAATAGTTGTATCTAATCATTTAAAGCTGGGGTACTTAACCTTTTGTTTAATCAGAAAGAGTCTTGCAAAAGTAATATGTTGTGAATATATGTTTTAAGAAAATAAGGCTGTGGGAAACATGGAGCCGTGGGAGTATTCAGGTTGTGTGTGTTTTATCCAAATGACTGAAAGAATCATCGGAGGAGATGGAGAGGATGAGGCTGATGCTGTGGGGTCTTTGTCCAGGATCGAGCAGCAGTGGCAGTACAGGATCTACTGCAAAACTCTGAAGAGAGACGAAAGGAACGCATTGCAACGGTATCTGGAGAGGTCCCCCAACCACCAACCTGGCAACAACCAACCTGGCAACCACACAGACATAGGTACAATACACACGCACGCACGCAATGATTTTTATTTTAAGTAAGAATTATGTTGTAATGGGCTCAGATATAAGCCTTATCGACAAAAAGTATTTTTTCAAGGTAATGCTTCTTGTAACTAATAATGCATTAATTTTATATAGAGCTTTTTAAAAACTCATATGCTTCACAATGCATTATTTATTCACATACACGGTGGTGGTAGACCACTGTAGCCACAGCTGCCCTGCGGCAGACTGATGGAGGCAATTCTGCCAATCTTAAACATTGGCCCCTCCGACCACTCCGGGCTTTCATGCTCATTCTTGGCAATCCACATAGCTGTCTGAAGTGAACTATTGTAACTGTAAGTGCAGTTATACACAGATATCAGATATCGGTATCGACTAAAAAATAACGTCTTGACTCATGTCTGAAGTGTTGTTTTTGATGAAGGTGCGGACGGTCAGAGTGGCCTCCAGACCGAGCCGGATCCAGAGAACCTGGTCTTCAGGCTGGAGGGGGACAAGTGGATGGTGAGGACTGTCTGCTATACTTCACAGATGTGGTTTCAGACCTGTTTCAGTCTTGTGTTTCTCTGCAGTCTTTCCCAAAGGAGCTGCAGTGGATGACGTACCTGAAGGAGTGGCACGTGTCTCACACTCGGATCCAGAGACTTCCAGAGTTCTTTGACCAGTTCTCCAAGCTCTCGGTCCTGAACTTGGCCAAAAACCAGATCTGTGAAGTCCCAGCCGACATTGGTGAGAACCAGAGCAAACAATATGAGGGTTGGATATTCAGAGTTTCTGCTTAATTTGTGGGAAAATATATCCAAACCAGTACTGGCCTGAGGAACAGAACTGTTATAGTTTATGCCGTGGGGAGATGATTGCTGGGGAAGAAACTGGATGGATGGATAGATAGATTGTGCCAAACAGGAAAATATTGTGATTTACCCAGAATCAAGCCAAACCTAAACCAGTGCTAAACCAATAAACACAAACAAAAAAGTACATTGGTTTTAGACTTTTCAGATGGGACCTGAGACAAGTCAGATTGTCGAATAGGTAAAACTTAGACATTTAAACATGTGGTTTCTTATATGGTGATTTTATTTACTGTGTATCCCTATTAGCTACTCAAATATACAGTAACTATTCTTCCTGGGGTATATGTACTCATCAATGTCACATTGACATGAAAAATTGACCAAAATGAATGTAAAAACAAAAAAAATATGCTAAAACAAAAATACACACCGTATACACTTAAACTCACAAACACACATTTACAACATACACAATTTAAACATTTCTACATTACATTGATTCCGGTGGTCGTAACGTCTGTCTCTCTTTAGGAAAGCTGCGGTCCCTGAAGCAGCTGGACCTGAGTTACAATCGTCTGATGAAGGTTCCTGTGGAGCTGGGAGACTGTGAGGAGCTGGAGAGGCTGGAGCTTGCAGGGAACCATCTGTGTGAGCTGCCCTTCGAGGTGAGACCACTTTCACGGCAGCAAAACAACAAACTATCACACTCAAAATATCCACTGAAGAAAAGTAATTAAGTAAAGAGTGGAAATCAGAAGTTTTCACACACTGTGCAAGAGATGTAAAGAAGTCAAAAGTGGTCAAACTGGTAGCAGAAAGGGCCGGTGTGGCTGCAGATTTTCATTCCAACCAAGCAAGAGCACACCAGACTCCATCCATTTCCTCAAGTCTTCAGGTTAAGACTAGACTCACTTGAGCACTGGTGGAGTCTGATGTGCTTCTGCTTGGTTAGAATTAAATCCTGTAGCCACACTGGCCGTTAGAGGACCGGTTTGATATCTGCTTTTCTGGTCAGAGTTGCAGTAAACCAGATAAACTTACTACGCCTGGTTGTTGTTTTAGCTGAGTTCCCTGAAGCAGCTCCACCTGCTGGACGTGTCGGAGAACAGCATCCCGTCAGTGCCTGTGTGCGTGCTGAGGATGGAGTCACTGAACACTCTGGACCTGAGCAACAACCGCCTCCGAGAGCTGCCCCAGGACATGGACCGGTGAGAGAGTTACATGCAGATATGGTTTGATTATCATGTTTAAGATTCGCTCTGAATTTATTCATAACTCACTGATTATTATATTATTATTATTATTATTAATAGTATTATTAATATTATTATTATTATTATTATGTATGTTTTGATAGTAAAACTCAATTTAAACAAAACTTTACATTTAAAATTGTATTGGACTTGTGTGTCTTGCCCAAGAACACAGGGCAGTAATCATCAACGACAGCTGGTTTCACACCTGGCAAACTGTGGGTCAGTCAATCTGACCCCTCAACCAATGACGTTTATGTTGGGAGCAGGATTCAAACTGCCAACCTTAGGTCAGAAGACACATGCAACTGCTGCTATTTTCAGCATGTTTAAATCTATGTATAGTTCAAAACTCAGTGGGAGCAGATCTATCTCAATATGGCTTAAGCCTTGAGGTTTCTCACTTTTTATCCCACTAGATTATTGAGTTGTTCCTTGCTGAGGCAGGAGGGTCTAAGGAACGTGATGATCCGGGACATTTATTAATATTTGTGGACATTGGTCATCCCGCCCCCTATGGACCAATGGCTCCTATTTGTTTACTATTATCGGATATTCTCTGATCTTTTGTTGGAGAAATCACGTTGTAAAGTCCTTCGAGACGACTGCTGTTGTGATTTCAGGCTGGACAAAAATAAATGGAATTGATTTGAACAGAAAATAACCAAATAATATCCATTACTAAACTAGTTACAGTCTTTGATACAATAACTTCATGCTTTACAAATGAGGCCTCTGTCTCTGTGCTGTCTGACTGCTGTGGTGTTTCTCGCAGCCTGGAGAACCTGGTCACTCTCTTCCTCCACAAGAACCCCATGTCCTACCTGCCCCACTGTCTGACCAACATCAGCGGCCTGAAGATGGTCATTGTGAGCGGAGACGAGCTCAACTGCATCCCCACCCGCATCTGCAGCAACCCCGACATCAAGTACTGACCACATTTTGCATCTGTGGAGAGTTTCTTGAAAGTGTGATCACCAAGTAGTATCTATTAAGCTTATTATAGGAGAAGTGGGATCCCTCTTGTGTCTCCAAATTGCGAAATTATAATTATCGCAGAAGAAAAGTATTTATGCCTGCAGGTATTGACTCATAAAAATTAGATATTTTCAGAATATTGTTTAAAAGTTTAATTTACTTCCTTAATTGTTAAATCCATCTTCAGAGCAGTGTTGACACCTTACAGAAACATCTCTGTATATATATTTTTTCGGATTAAATGAATGAGATGTTATCCGATTAACCAAGGCAAAGAAGTTTTTTTGTAGTCAATAATTAAGGTCGATCCGATACATTGTTCAGCCCTAAAAGTAAGTAATCTTTTTTTATATAGAACCTTTCAAAGACCAGTCACAACTTGCTTTACAATTGTCCTCTCACTTCTCATAGTCGCTGTACAGGAGGTGCCTGCCAGTGCTATTGTAAATATTTTTAGTGGTAGGGGAAACCGGAACATCCGGAGGAAACCTCGGCAGACATGGGTAGAACATGCAAACTCCACACAGGAAGGCCCTGTCTGGAGGTGGAATCAAATCCAGGACCACCCAAAAGCCATTACCTACAGTTCAAATTCAACAAGATGATGGCACAGTCCCATATTTCTAATCATTTCATAACTTTTGTCCAACCAGGAAATGACATTACAGACTTTACTAGGGAAAAGATGTAGAAGAAAAAAAGTATTTTAAGATTTACTAATTGCAACTGTTCAAATGTGTGAGGTTCATCCGACTGTACGATTCGCCGACACAGCAGCAGAAGCAGAAGGAGGAGGAGGCGCAGAGGAAGAGGAGGTGGAAAGGAGCAGAGGAGCAGAGAGACAGCTCGGAGAAGGAGTTCTTACAGGCTTATGTCAGCACTCTCACACACAGAGGTACTACTACTACTACTACTACTACTACTACTGCTAATGAAGAAGATATACTTTATTGATCATTATTGATATTATAATACTACTGCTGCTGCTGCTACTGCTAATAATATCACTACTACTACTAAGTAAGTAAGTAATCTTTGTTTATGTAGCGCCTTTTACAGACCAGAGTCACAAAGCGCTTTTCAATTGTTATTTTTGGGCAACTACTACTGTCACTACGACTGCCACTGCTAATAATATCACTGCTACTACTACTGCAATTACTACTACAATAGGCCCATCACAGCAGCACACTCACACACAGAGGTACTACTACTATTGTCACTACTGCTGCTGCTACTGCTAATGATACAACTACTACTACTGCTGCTGCTACTACTACTACTACTGTTACCACTGCTGCTGCGACTGCTAATACTATTACTGCTTCTTCTACTGCTGCTACTACTACTGCAATTACTACTGCAATTACTACTGCAATAGGCCCTAGCCCATAGCACACTCACACACAGAGGCACTACAACTACCACTGCTTCTACTGCTGCTACTACTGTTTTTGACCTCTGTGGTCTCAAAGTTATGTAGTGCAGGCCACACCCACTTCCAAACAGCTGTGGAGAAGGGGGTTTCAGCTTGTCAGGCTTTGAACAGCTGCAGTTTTTTGAAGGAATTCAAATAAACTTCCTTCTGCCCCAGTGCTGTCCATATTGTTTGAAGCCAGGGGTATTCATTCATTCATTAGTGGGGTCTGTTGTGCTCCCGCTTGGTTGGAATGAAAACCTGCAGCTACACAGCCCTTTGAGGACCGACTTGTTCTAAAGTATTGGTTTTTTTCCCCCCTCTGCAGAATCGGTCCCGTATTCCACCACTAAGATCTCCATCTCCTGTCAGCTATGAGAAGAAAAGAAGAAGAAAGAACGAAAGATATATAGATAGATATAGAAGTAGGGCTTTTGTAAGGTTACTTTTTTTTCATATTCCAGCGTTTGAAGCTTAGACTTTACAGATCAGTGGTGCTCAAACTCATTTACCTTTGTTTGAAGTAACAGTAGTACACTTTCATGGAGTATGGAGTATATTTGGCAGTGTAACTCTTTCTACACGAGTCTCCTCTAGTCAAGTCTTTGTAAGGTATTATTTCCAAATCCATAAATTCAATACTTACAATATTTTCAATACAACTTGTAAAGACCCAGCAGAAACCCTGAACTACTCATGTACATTTCACTTAAGTTTATCGGCTCTTACACTTGAGTTAGGGAGGCCAAAGAGCTGCTGTTTGGACCTGGAGATGCTGGAAAGACTGAGTAATGATACAAAGTGTGACTAGTTTGAGAATCTCTGGTCTGTATAATGGTCTGTTGTGAGAGTTTGAGCCTTCGTTTTCATTCCAGATTTAGACGTTAGAATTCCATTGAGCTCGGAGTGCGATGAGTCTAAAGCTGTGGGAGGTATGGATTAAAAGGGAGTGACTTCAGAAAGTTTGATTTCAGCTGAGCGTGGACTAGAGCAGGTAGCTTCGGGATGATTTCCAGAGACTCTTTTTGGATTTGCAATAACCAGTGAGTGCTAATGAAACTTTATTTTGGGAACCTTTGAGCTGGAACAGGGACTCAGCCTTTTGTGTATGCTCCAAACTAATTTTTAGCGTTTGAAAATTTGGTTTTATTTGTATAAGTCAAAATAGGCCATCAAAACCGTGCCCCGAAGATAGAAATATACCAACTATAAGCTTCTGTTTTCAAGTTCTTAAAATCCTTCAGCTAATAGAGATTTGGCCAATATATGTTTTGTATTTTGTTTTGGAAGTGTATCTCCTAGTGCGCAGGATAGAATTTGGACACAATTCTATCAGCTGTCAAGTTTATGTGAACAGCAGAGAGAGCCGACACAAGTAAATGTCGGGAAATACACAGGACTTGATTTGATGTGATAAGGGCTGTTGTTATAGCAGAGTATATAGACTTTATCTAATTTGACGCCATCCAGTTTTAGTAGCTTTAGGACGCACCTTAATTGTCAAAATAGATCGGTAAAGACTCCTCATCACAAGCCGTCGTTCATTGTTATTTCCCAGAAGGCCCTGAACAAGAAGAATGCTTGGTTGTGATGGTGAATAATTGTTGAATTATGATTAATTAGCTGCAGATAATCTAATTTGTTCTGAAGTATAATACTGCTGCATGGATGTGTGCCTTAATGAAGCACTGTGTGAGACCAAAGTTTGTTTTTGTGCCATGTTTAGTCTGACTTGTAAATGAATGTTTTTGGATTTAGAGAAATAAAAACGTTTTATGCAGACTGGACTTATTTTTTGTATTCAAACAGCAGCAGGGATGGCTGGTATCAATGGGTAATATTGTAGAAAAAAAAGAAAATATATTTATACGTTTTATAAATATTTGTATTAAAAGATGTAGATTGACATTGAAAGGACTGGAATATGCTCTCTTACAATCCATCTTTTATTGCCATAATCTTCCTGCCTGAGACACTAGCGCCTAAGAACAGATCACTGATGCAATCCACCCACTGGGGTTTTGCTAGAAGCGGTACAAACTATTAAATACAACCCGCTTTCATTCTAAAAGATAGCCCTAACCCCTTTTTTGTGCACTTCATCTTATTATTTTTAAAAGCTAAGAGCAGCTACATTTCACCTAACAACCAAAATTAGGACCTCGCTCGGCTCCGATTGGAAGATCTGCTGGAAAATCAGATGTGGCGATAACGTCCAGTTTTTTATTAAAACATTCTGAAAAAGGTATATTTGCACATACCAGTAATGTACTTAAAATTATGTATTTGTCTTGTCTACAGGAGATGATTAAAGTATCTGGGAACAATATATGTTCCTCTGTGTATAACTTTGAATTCATCTTATGGCTGCGGGCTTCTTTGAGAGGTGTCAGATGTTTTACAGTTGTCTTTCCGAACACCACCATGGCAGAGTGGATAGCACTCTTGCCTCTCAGCAAGAAGGTCCTGGGTTCGAATCCCGGTCGGACCAGGGCCTTTCTGAGTGGAGTTTGCATGTTCTCCCCGTGTCTGCGTAGGTTTCCTCCGGGTACTCCGGTTTCCCCTACCACTAAAAATATGTACAATAGATCTGGCATGTGCCTCCTGTTCGGCGACCCCGCTCCCATCTCTGTCTGGAGTGAGAGGACCAATGCCCAAAAAAATAATAACAATTGTAAACTGCTTTGTGACCCTTGTCTGTGAAAGGCGGTATATAAATAAAACTTACTTTCTGTCGTGTTAAATTAAAAAAAAAGATAAACAAGCAAACCTGCGTTTTGTTGGCTGCTGGTCTGTGTCATTAATGTCTGATGTAGAACCATTCTGTGGCAGTTTGAGCTCGCTGCTGTATAGGACAAACCGCAGAATGGTTGTCGTGTCAAATTCTACTCTAAAAGATTCACAGGCAACACAAAGTATCAAGGATCTTGCACAAGGCCCACTTTATTTTTACTCAAGGGATTCATCTCAGAATGACCAAAATTCTGTACTTAATGTCAATTGTATTTAAAAAAAAAAGCAAAAAAAAATTAGACAGAAAGAACACTGTCTAAACTATAGATATTCCATGGTAGTGTTCAAAATGCACCAACAGTCGAGACTGAGGGTCAAGGCAACGCTTTATTTTGAGTCAACAAAAACCGTTTGGACTGAACATAAAATGAGGCATCACAAATGCATCATGATCAGAATATAAAAAGGGAAGAGCTAGGGGCAGGGTTGTCCAATAGGAATGCCAGATGAGGGTGACTGACAGGTGACGTTTCAGAGCTGACCGCAGTCTGCAATAGTGAGCTTCTGCGAGGTTTTTCCAGAAGAAGAACCAAACCCTTCCATCTTCTTGACAACGTCAATGCCCTCCACCACAGAGCCGAACACCACGTGCTTCCCATCCAGCCTGCAACAGAAAAGTAGTATTCTGAATAAGTACTTTGTATCTTTAATCACAGGGTGGCCCAAGGTTGGGGAAGGTGTTGAAGACTTCGAAAAACTTGTTTAAGGAAATTAATGTCTATGGTATAAGCAATCCAGCTGTCTGCTTTTAAAGGCATTCAACCTTTTACAGCCACAACAAGTACTTCTCAAAACATAAGTGAAATATGCTCAAACCAATGTAAACAAAGCAGAACGTAAAAGGATTCAAGCTAGTGTTCAAACAAGCTTCACCTCAACTGAGCATTTCAATTATATGCAGTTCTTGCAAATGGTCAACAGAGTGCGCCATTTCTAATGTTTTGAAACAAGCGTTTCAGTTTGAGGCCGTCCTCTGCTGACACTGAATTTCCACATTTACTGACATTACAATCAGGTGTAAATGATGAATCATCCAGAGAAAATGACTTTTGTACCAGGGGGTCTTGACTGTGCAGATGAAGAACTGGGAGCCATTAGTCGCAGGGCCGGCGTTGGCCATGGACAGGATCCCAGGACCAGTGTGCTTCAGGGTGAAGTTCTCGTCCTCAAACTTGCTGCCGTAGATGGACTTTCCTCCGGTTCCGTTATGGTTTGTGAAGTCGCCGCCCTGGAAACACACAGATAATCACATGAGAATCTGCATGTTATTGCCCACTTATAACGATATACCGGAATAAATAACTATATCAACCTAAGTTTTCTAATTACTTAACCTATTCGGCATTGGACCAATGAGAAAAACTGGTAAAAAACACCACTGATGTGTTTTCATCTAGTTGTGTCGGGAGAAGGGGGGGGTTTGGCCGATGTGTATAGCTGGGTTACAACAGATGTCACGCAGCGGTGCTAACGTCCTTCATGTGACAAAAAGTAAATCTCCCCATTAAGAACAATATAAATATTAATCACTGATTCCCGGTAAAAATGCCCTTTTCTGGTCATATCAAGTGGAGAACTTATAGAGTTTCTATTTTTATAAAAATGTATTATAAGGGGTGTAGATTTTTAGGAACAAGCCTAAAAAGGAAGGGAAAGAAATGCATCGTCAAAAGAAGCTGCAGAGTTTGCGGAAGCATTCTTGTCTGCGCACCGCTCTTTCAAGAGTTCCATATCGACCAGAGCCAGTGCTTCTCCGCAGTCACCTGTAGTGAGTAAACCTGTGGGTAGGAGTGGGTTTAGACCAATAGCCCCTACACTTCGGTATTCAGAGCCTAACCCTAGGTTTTGAGAGTTTAGCAAAAGGGACCTGTGGTATGTCACTCATGTGGTCAAGTAGGTCATGGCAGTAAATCACAACAGTTGCCATCTCAGAGGACATAACAAAACCGTTGAAAACTCCAAAACAGGTGAGAGAATCAAACAGTTCTAACATAAAAAATAGAGAACGCATGGTATTGGTCCATAGGAGGTTAACCAATGTTCATGAACATTGTAGAATCTAGAGTGTCCTGATTTCCTGATTTTTCGTGTGAACTAATATATTGCAAGAAGATGTTGATCCATTTCCTTACCTGGCACATGAAATCTTGGATGACGCGGTGGAAGGTGCTGCCTTTGTAACCGAAGCCCTTCTCGCCGGTGCACAGGGCGCGGAAGTTCTCCGCAGTCTTTGGAACCACATCAGCGCGCAGCTGTAAGAGTAACAAACCATTATACCTCCAATGCACATTTCAGTTTCTTCCCTTGATTTGTGCCGTTGCTCATAGTTTTTTCTTAAAATTGTGCATTAAAACATCCGGGGGTCAAGCCTGTAAATTAGATTTTACAGGCTCCAGATGATAGACATGTAAATGTTCAATGTACATTGTTAAGTATTTTACACTTAATCTGCAGGAACTGGCTGTTAATACAACATTGTCTCCAAAAATAAATCATTGATAACCAGGGAAAGCAATCTCCCCTGTTCTTTTACATGCAGTCACGCTGAGTCAAAGTTGTGCAAAGGAGATTAGACCCTTAAGCAACATTCCTGCAGGTCAACCACAACCACATTCTTTTGTAAACTAGTTTTCATATATTGGGATATTTTTCTCTTTATACACGTGTCACGGTTGGAAACAAACTCTCAGTATGTTTATTTTATAGGCACGAGATTCCCAGTCTACGGATTAATAATTGATTTATCTAGCGAGGTTCACAAAAGGTTTAATTACAGGTTAAAGGGTAATATGAGAAGACCATTTGTAAATTAGTTTAGGCACCAACACCAACAATTATGAAAGATCTACACTTTATCATACTGGTGGAAGCAAAGACTAAAGGAAATATTTTCCACCCTGCTACTCTACACAAGCCTGAATAACTCATACATCATCATTTTGAATAGAATCAGGGTCTTCCCTGTTGTAGATCTGTTTTTAGATCCCAGCACCTGCTCTGTGCCACAAAATAGCGCAACTTCTGCATCTAAAAAGGTCTAACTTACAAATATATGTTCTGTAATTATAGTACTGCCAATTCTGACAGTTTTAGCATGAGAAATACTAGCCTCTGCAGGGAAAGTTCTGACGCCATCTTGGGATTGAAACAGTTGAAGCAAGGGAAATTTACAAGTCTAGAAAAGTTACAGTAAAATGGTAATATAATTACACATTTGTAAATTTCTCCATTGTGACATCAAAGTTTTATCTTATTTTATATATGTTGAATTCTTATCCTTATTATCCTCAAAAGTCTAAAAACTAAAATTACTATATAGAGATTAAAGCTGCCACCTAATCATTTTAATGTCTGGCATTTCCTGTGTTTGTGCTTTTATGTGTTTTTTTCTGCCCTGTGCTGCTCAAACGAATTGCCCCTGGTGGGATAAATAAAGCAGTCTGAATCCGAGATCACACCATGCTGTCACATTAGAAAACATTATCATTTGCATACTTAAGAAATCCCTGAGTCACTTTGAGCAGAACGGCGCTCACATCTGTCATGAAGCCAAACAGCGTGAAGAAGCTAGTGAGAGGTTTACATAGTTTTTGTTGCATATTCCTACGTGCAAGTATTTGAGAAATGGTGATATTTTTCACCACATTTTAATTTAAGAGTGCGAATATGGCTGCTGCATGTTTGCACAGCCCTGCTCCCTCTAGTCTTTTTATAGATCATGCACGCTTTGCAGAGCTGAACCTCAGGGAAACTGCAGCTCCAGCCGTATTACCAGAGAGCCAGAACCAGGCTCTCGGGACTCTGAGAGCCTTTATAATTTATGGCAGAAATGTGGGCGAGCTTGGTGTTTTTTACTAGAAAGTGTTGAATTGGAAATAAGATGCTTTTAGAGATAGGAAAATACAAATATGCGTATAATACATTACAGCAGCATTATACACAAGTAACAAGATAATGGATAATGCAACAAAAGGAACAGGGAACCATGCACGCTTTAACCTTGTGTCCAACTATTAATGCATAGGATCCCAGTGTTAATGCAGCGTTAGCAAAGCAGGACAAATATAGTACATGGCAATAATCCAGCAATATTCAAGTTAAAATGGGGGGACTGATTATAGCCAGTCACGATGTAATTATTAACTTTATATGACTAATAGTGTGGGATCAACAACGGTTCATAGAGATTGATAAGAATACAGAAGGGAATTACTGCAGAAATTAAAACAAACTATTCTGGAGCGTCCCAAGCAAACTTCTGAAAGAATTATGGCATAAGCACATTCCCCGGACAAGACACAGCCTCGGATCAAATGAACGATCGTGAATAGTTTGATCTTTCCCGATTAATCATTGATCAGCTATTTGATCCTTCAGAGGCTTGTGCCATCTTTTCAACCTCTAGCTGTACCGCCCATAGAAAAAGTAAATGATGGAATACACTGCATCAGATCACAGACATGGATGAAGCAGCAAAGCTCATTTATGGCAAACATCTAAAACGTACTGTAAAATGACTAATATTTGCTGCCATTTTTAACTTCATGGTCATAAATGGAGCAGTTTTGAGACACAACTGTAGTTGTTTTGAGACACAACTGTAGTTTGTAGATTTCCTTTTTTTTTTTTTTTTTTTTAAGTAAATAATTGGATATAATATACAGGGGCAAATGATAACATGGCAATGATGTAATGGTCAGAGCACGTGCGCGTCCTCTTCTCTGCAGCGTCAAACACCAGAGACGTAAAAACTAAAAATACATTAACATTTTGCCTATATATGTCCTTTTGAGGGCCATAAATAACATAATACACATTTTATTTAGAATTTCACTCGTTTCGCCTCTCATCTTTGGAGACAGACCAGGGCAGGATTAAGGTGCGCGCATTTGCCGCATTGTCAGCGCGGCGCAGAGGGACGCGGTGCTGTCTGAATGAATGAGCCGCGCTTACCTCCATCACGATGCGGCCGATGGGGCTGCCATTGGCCGCTACGTCGAAGAAAACTTTCGGGTTGGACATTTCTGTGGTAGCGAGTCAATTAAAAAATAGACTTGCAAACGGAAGGTTTACCGGTGGAGGAATGGTCACAGCGGGCCACAGTGATCCGAAAAAGATGGTGGAATGTGGTTAATTTGATATAAAGAGCCGGTGGGAGGTTTGTGCGTGTCCAGTAGCCAAACGTAGTGAGGTAGTGCTTGACTGACGTGTGTGTTAGCCAATTGGCAGCGAGGACCGTCCCACTGGCAGCAGCAGCGCGTTGTGAATGGACGAAATTGGTGGATGGTAGGCTCGATTGAATGACCAGGCAGAAACATCTCTAAACTTGCAACGGGAGCCCACCTAACACCGCCCGTCTAAGCGTAGCGATGACAAAAACGAAGTATACCAAGCAATAACTGAGACCGCGCCATAGATGATGGGCAGCAGTGCAGGCCAATGGCGTCGGATTCTGACGTTGGGGGGGCGAAAAGTGGGGGATGGGGGAACGGGGGGGAACCCGCATAGGCAGCGCGGGCACGGAAACCGGGTGCGCGGTCACGAGGCCAGGGTGCGGTCCGTGCGTGAGCTGCAGGGGAAGGAAAAGTTTGGCGTGAAAGAAACAGACAGAGAAGTTATGGGCCAGACAGGAAAATAAGAGACTATAGAAACGCGTAGAAACTTCTGGTCATGACTAATTTATTCTTGGTTAAATAGTGATCAGGTAAATGGTATAGCCTGCAGTGTATTTATCAGGAAAAAGGCCCCTGCATTGGACCCGTTGGACCCAACCATTAAATTGCTGCTCAGCATATACATAGTTCCCACATGACGTCACTACATACGGGGATTTGCCGACCCGGCGCCATTTGTGTTGGCATGCTGTGGGCAAAACAATAGAAAAAGAAGCTGAAACGTGTTAATGTCGTGATAAAGTTGAAAATGGTCATCTCCTGCTGGGTCAATGGATGTTCAAATCGTGCCGGAGGTTCTGTTAAACTTGGATTTTACAGTATACCCATCATTAGACTTCATGAATGTGAGAAGACTAAGCTTTTGTCAGAACAACCACGGAGGTTATGGCTTGCGAAGATAAACAGGCAAGAAACTCCCTCAAAACACGCAAGAATATGCTCGGAGCACTTTGTGTCAGGTGCGTATCGTATCTTATAATGTGTTGACAGACGTAATTTACTCAGTACTAACTTGTGTATGCTGATATCTGGTAACTTGAGAGTTTCATTATTTAGATTACTTTATTATGAGGAGGATCGGTGTCGCGTCCGAGGCTCTCGAGGGCAACGTAAATGTATTAAATAGATAATAATAGTTCTATGGTGGGCTAAAACAATGTTCACAAACAGCATTGCTTCTGTAAAAAGATCTGTGTCATAAAATAAACTGCTCTTTACGCCTGGAAAAATCAGTTGCCCACCATTCACCAAAACATACGGTCAAAAACGCGGAAATAAACAATAACAGCAATCCAGAGTGTCCGTGTGGCATTAGCATTAATTAAATTAATTGTTAATACTAATTAAAATAATTAAATGGAGCTCCAACTGGTATTAAATCTAAAGTTTTTGAGAAATGTTTGCATTGCTTGTTAATTTTTGCTGCATAATTTGATCAAATATGTAAAACATGTCCGTAGCACGTTAAACTGTGGTGCCATTGTATTAATATACAATTATTTGCTCAAAAGTTGCCCTTTTTTTCCAATTTGCGTTTGAATATCTACATTTATTCTCATTCTTCTGTTTAATGGAATGCACAAACACAGCAGCGTGCCATCAAAGATGGCGTCTCCGAGGAGGTCATGTGACATTCATTGGTCTGTGTCTGTCAGAAACAGAGGAAAGACAAAAAGTAGGACGCTAACATGAGTGTCAAGCTGCCTTCATGTTGGCGACCTCTAGCTCCGTGGATTCCTCTCTCCTGACTGAACAGGTGAGCATGTTACTCAGTAGTGGCGTAGTAGTTGTATTATTTATACATAATGTTGCCTGAGACTGTTTTTAATTTGCGGGGGGGGTTTTGTTCCCCACCAAGTTAGCTAGTCTAAAATCCCCAGCGGTTGTAGAAATACCTGGCCGCAGTTTGTGACAATAATGCGCATTACCTTGGTTAGCTTTCGAGAAACAACAACAGACAACACAACATCAGAAGCCTTAACCAGCCTCAGCCATCCATAAACTCCGGTCAATTATTAGTTCCCCACATGTTAACATTAAATGAGTACCATTTGGTAAGGACCATATCCACCAGAGTTCCCCCGTGACGTGCTGTATGGTGCGTCAGAACCAACGCGATTTCTTCGCCAAATCGCGTCTATCGCGCGGCTTGAGCCTCTTGTGACAAATTGTGGCAGCCGCTGTCACAGAGAAACTTGGCCGCGCGGCCAGGACACTAGAGGGCAGCCGCTGTCACAGAGCGTTGAGAGCGTTTAGGGGCGGGGCTTGTCTCTTTTGCCTGTAGCTTCCCCAACATGGATGTCAGCGATGGAGTTGCTTTATCTGATAAATAAGCCAGACACGTCGTCCAAAGGGCGAATCGACGACGTGTCTGGCATTCATCAGATAGTCCGTAGACGGTTGGAGTTTGGTGAGATTTCACCATTTGCTCCGGGTAGCTGCGCTCGGTATGAGGGTCGCTTTTCAGCGGTACTTTCGTCTCTCCCTGGCCCAGTTTGACGACCTACTACTGACCCGCATTGGCGCTGAGGATCTCCTACCAGGACACCAACTACAGGCGCTCTATTCCAGTGAAGAGCGCCTGTCCCATCTGGTCTGCGGTTAGTGTTTTTTACCCATTCAGGATATTCATAAATAACTTACCAAAGTGTGTCCATTTTCAATCACAATCCACAATGTAATATGGCTCAGAAAACAGTATGTATGCAATATATTATGGTTGTCTATGTATGACTGTCTATGTTGTTTACTAGTCTACTAGTTTAATCGTTATTTTATGCTACACAAGTTTTGTCACGTGATTTTTGAGGAATGTAGTTGTGATAAATATGTGTCATATCATTTTGTAATTGCAGGTTTCTTGCCACTGGGGAGCTCCTACAGGACCATTGCGGGGAGCTTCAGAGTGGGCATATCCACCGTCTCCATGCTCATCCCATGATGTGGTGCAGCCATCTGGGGACTGCCTCGTGGAGGATGTTCATAGCTGTGCCTGGAGCAGAGGAGTGGGGTCCATAGGCAGGACTTTGAGGTCCGAGTGGAATCGTCCCTCTGTGCGGTGGGGCCATTGATTGGGAAGCATGTGTGGCTGTGAAGGCACCCCCAACGCTGGGTCCATGTTGTTTTTAAGTATAAGGGGGCACCATTTCCACTTGGGCTCCTGGGCCGGTAGTGGGAGGCCACCCAGTACAGGTGCAGGGGCATATGATGTGGGAGGCGGAGACAGCGATCCAGCGAGGGCTGGCATCGAATGGGCCAACTCTGCCTTTGGTAGGCTGGCGCGAGGGCAAAAAAACAACAAAACACAAACAAAAAGTAAAAAATAAAACAAAAAAAAAATAAAGACAAAAAAAAACAGAAACAAACAAAAACAAAAAAACAAACAAAGAACAAAAGCAAACAACAAAAAACGCCACAAAAACAAAAAAAAAAAAACAAACGAAAAAAAAACAAAAAACACAAAAAACAAAAACACAAAAATAATACACTCGACCGGCCTCCTTGACCAGTGGCAGACAGACCTGGAGCTGACCACGAGGGGACCCAGCCCCAAGGTGTTCGTGGCATGACTGAGGCCGTTTCACCTGCGCCTGCTCACAGTACATGCGCCCTGTCATTGTGCCCATTCGCCAGGTGTCGACGAATGAGATGGCGGCCTGGAGATGGGCAGGTTTCCTGGCTCCGGAGCGGGAGCTGCTGCCGATGAAGAACCACTTCCAGGCGTGCAGCGCGGATGGCCGCCTGGAAGCCATGCAGTGGACATAAGGAAAGTGTGCAGGGCCCACCTTCCAGTGGAGGGAGGGGCGCACTGCCGTGGGCAGCCCACGGAGGAGTACATGTCCCAACCACAAGATCGGACCCACATCATGGCATAGGTCCAAACCCAGATTGAGTTGCCATCGATTCTTCTTCACCTGTATTACCGTCTGTTTCTAGGTAAGGGGACGGCCTAGACTCCACGGCGACGTCCAATCCAACGTTCAGGTTCATCATATGCACAGGCAAGCTTTGTCCCTAAGTAACAAGTGATTGTTATAATCTAGCTATAAAGGTGAAATGATATAAAAAATACTGTCAACTTACGTGTATCGCTCGTTTTAAGTGTTTGTTATTCATCTTCGTCCATAAAACCCAGTCAGCTCTTATAAAAGTAAAAGTACAAAGAAAGAATAGCATGTTCTGTCAGTATGATATGTATAGGGAGTACGGGGTGGCGCTTGAAGTCGCACACATGAGGTTTGAAACATATTTCTCTTTAAAAAAAAAGCGAACATAACAAGGCAAAATAACATAAACATAATGTTACATATAAACAAATGATAAAGGAGCGTGCATGCGAGGAGGGTGCGGGGGTCAGAGGAGAAGGGACACCGGGGGGTCTGTTTCCTCCCCTGCAAAAGGTGTCACCTTAGGTCAAAAAAACTGTTCTGTTCTTTTTGGCCAATTGTTCCAAAATAAATTAAGCAGGACCGGTGCTGCTTACATATAAAAAGTTGGTACATTATGAATTTCACAAATTCTTTTGACTCTGGTTGTCACCCTTTGCAGGGAGAGGGAAAGAGAGAGGCAGGAACTGATGTTTTCTGAGTGTCGGGCGGGTCGGGACTGCTTTGGTCCGTTGAGCTCCAGCAAGCCACCGCTACCCACTTGACATTCCACCCAAGTACACTATGGCACTTCCAGCATTCCCCCTACCTAATTTTTCTTTTTTTTTTTCCCCCCCCCCCCCCCCCCCCCCCCCCCCCCCCCCCTTTGTGGTGGTTTTAGTGTGTGTTGGTGTGTTTTGTTGTTTCCTTTTTTTTTTTTTCTAAGGGGGACCCCCCCCCTTGTTGGTGGGTGGGGGGGGGGGGGGGGGGGTGGGGGAAACCACTACAAATGGGGGGGTTTATAGGGGGGGGGGGGGGGGGTTTTTTTTACCCCCCCCCCCCCCCCCCCCCCCCCCCCACCCCCCCCCCCCCCCCCCCCCCCCCCCCTGGGGTTAGGGGGGGGGGGGGGGGGGGGGGGGTGGGGGGGGGGGGGGGGGGGGGGGCGGGGGTTTATTTTTTAGGGGGGGGGGGGGGAGGGGGGTGGGGCCGCCAACAAGAACACAGGGCAATCCACAGTGTTAAAAAGTGGAACATGTATTTCATAAAAGCCAAAAATGAAGGAGAGCAAATAATATCTGTATTAAAGCCAGAGTGTGTAGACTTAGTTAAACAATGTAAAACACATTTAAGTTGTGTGTTTGTTACAATTAACATTGAAACATTTGCCAGTTATCAATGAAGATTACTCACACAAGCACACATTTCGACAGTTACCAAACTAATATCTCTGATATCAGTGTATTTCGTCATATGACATTTGAAATTAGAGTTTACTGTTTTACAGCCATGGTCTGCAGTAAACAGGATAGCTGCCATCTTGTGTGGGCTAAATAACCTATTGCATGTATTCTGTTTCAGTACTAGTATATAGCATAAGTGTATTGCAGTAGTATGTGTTGTATCGAAGAAAGAGGGAAGATGTGTTGTTTCAGACCAAGCTCTTCTTTCCTACCTGTAGTGCCTGGACAATCTTGTCGTTTCTCTGGAAATTTGTCCGTCTACCCTGATGTAACAGGCCCGTTGGGGTTAATTGGCATATTATGCAGTAACATTTTGTTTTTATGAACAGTCTGGCAGCAGCAGCAGCAGCAGCAGCAGCAGCAGCAGCGCAGCAGCAGCAGCAGCAGCAGCAGCAGCAGCAGCAGCAGCAGCAGCAGCAGCAGCTAGCAGCAGCAGCAGCAGCAGCAGCAGCCAGCAGCAGCAGCAGCAGCAGCAGCAGCAGTAGCAGCAGCAGCAGCAGCAGCAGCAGCAGCAGCAGCAGCAGCAGCAGCAGCAGCAGCAGCAAGCTAGCAGCAGCAGCAGCAGCAAGCAGCAGCTAGCAGCAGCAGCAGCAGCAGCAGCAGCAGCAGCAGCAGCAGCAGCAGCAGCAGCAGCAGCAGCAGCAGCAGCAGCAGCAGCAGCAGCCAGCAGCAGCAGCAGCAGCAGCAGCAGCAGCAGCAGCAGCAGCAGCAGCCAGCAGCAGCAGCAGCAGCAGCAGCAGCAGCAGCAGCAGCAGCAGCAGCAGCAGCAGCAGCAGCAGCAGCAGCAGCAGCAGCAGCAGCAGCAGCAGCAGCAGCAGCAGCAGCAGCAGCAGAGGTTAAGAAAGCATGAACTAAAAAAAGAACCTGCATACACCTGAAAGCAAATCCTAAATGTAACAGTCAGCCAAATCCCCCGCTGGGTCATAGCCAAGGAAGAAAAGAAATGTCATACTTTTTCAACTGTTGGAGGTTCTCGTTTGCGGCATGACACCGACCTTCAGCACCTGACCCAGCCCTGCGGCTGGCTCTGCTTCCTCTGCGCTTCTTCTTAACTGGCGTGGCTTGTACCGCCCCACTGTGGTCTGCCTCCTCCTCGGCCCTTCGCCTTGGATGTTCCCGGAGCTGTCACGGGGAGTGATGTAGGCTCGGAGGAAGGACATGGACCACAAGGTACTTCCACGTCTGGCCCTTTCCCTGTTTGCACCACTCTTCGTCACCGTTCCTTTCTCCTTCCTGCTCCCTTAGCATATGTGTCCTCTGATTCTTCCACGCTTTTTGCCTTCCACTGGTAAGCAGGAAAGTAGTGTTTTTTTCGCGGGGTATATTTACAACATGCTGTGGTCCCTCCTCCAAGCTAGTGTATTTAGTGTTATATAGCTCAGAATGAGCACCGACCTGAGCAATTGACGTGTCCTCCATAGCTGTCATCTACCAGTGTTTTTCCGGTAGTGAAATGCGTCACTACGTCACTGGAGGAGAAAGCTCCTGATTGGTCGGCACACGCGAATTCTCCCAAAAAGTTAACATTGTTCAACTCTAGCGTGCGGCGTCCGCGTTGGAGGCACGAATCGCGCGAAACGCGCGGTCAAAACGCTTGACATCTCAAAAACACGCCGCTCGAAGATTGGTACGCTCGAATTCGCGCCGCTCTGGCCGCGCAAATTTGCGCCGCTCTGGCCGCGCAAATCGCGGCGTGATCTTCTCGCCCCGTCCTTGGCGCGCGTCCCCATGTTGTGTCAATGTAGGACCCGCGGCTTTGGCCGCGGAAATTCGGTTTGGTTGAAGCACATAAGGTCTCAAAAATCACTGTTGGTGGCAGAGAATTTTTGCTCCAAGCTCCTTACTGTGGAAATCGTTCATATGTTAAGGAAGCAGATACGGTCTCCACATCTCAAGGCCAGGCTTTAAAGCACGATACTTTAATTTAGCTATAATTTAGGTCATATATAATTATATGGTGTATATATATATATTTTCTATGCTGATTAGTTATCTATTATTGTTATATATGTTAATTATGTTGTGTATGGTGTTTATGTTGTATATTATGTTATATATTATTCTGGTTATGTTTGTTGTGTATTATATATGCACCTGTGGACTCTCTGTGGACTCTCTGCACCTGTGGACTCTCTGCACCTGTGGACTCTCTGCACTTGTGGACTCTCTGCACCTGTGGTCTCTCTGCCCCGCCCTCGTGCTGGACTCTTCACCCACATTGCGTGGATTGAGTCTGATGTGTGTGAGAGGTTGGTGGTGGTCAGAGGGGCCGATGGCACATACTGATACTCTCATACTTACTTATGTCAGTTTGCCCCAGGGCAGCCGTGGCTCCAGCAGTGGTTCATCACTACTGTGTTTGGAGTGAAAGAACAAGGACATGTGAAGCGTCCAGTCTCTGCCCAACAAGACGGACGAGCTCCTGTGTCGGGTCCAGGGCCAGCGCGAGGCCCGGGACTGCGCTGTGTTCTGTCTCAGCGAGACGTGGCTCCACTCGAACGTCCCGGACTCTGCTGTTCAGCCCCCGGGATTCACCGCTCACCGTGCGGACAGAGTGAAGGAGACCACGGGCAAGGCCAGAGGCGGAGGTGTGTGCTTTTTAATTAATCAGCGCTGGTGCACGGACACTCGCATCGTGAACCAAACATGTACTGCCAATCTGGAATGCCTGGTATTGAGCTGCCGCCCTTTTTATCTTCCCCGTGAGTTTTCAGTGATATTTGTATGTGCTGTTTACATTCACCCACGTGTGGATTACAAAGTAGCCCTACAAGATCTGAGCGAGATCCTTCACAAACATGAGTCTGCTCATCCTAACGCAGTCATCATTGTTGCTGGGGATTTCAATAAATGTAATTTAAAGACTGTACTGTAACGTGAAGGGAGGTTACAGGTCCAGTCTCAGACCTCCTTTTGGAAAGTCTGACCACTCCTCTGTTCTCCTTCTTCCTTCGTATACTCAGAGGAGCAGGGAACATAAACCAACTCTCGCACTGTGCAGTGTTGGTCTGAGGAGGCTAGCATGAAGCTACAAGGTTGTTTTGATGCTACGGACTGGTCTGTGTTTCAGTCAGAGGACGTCAATGAATTCCGTGACGCTGTGTCTGAATACATACGCTTCTGTATTGACTGCTGTGTCCCACAGAAGGTCATTAAAGAACATTTTAGTCAAAACCCTTGGATGAACGCGGAAGTGAAACTGAAACTTCATGAGCGTGCGTTAGCATTTCAATCAAATGATACAGTTGCTCATAAGCTATCCTGTTACTCATTGAAACGTTCTATTAAATCTGCAAAGCGCAGTTACGGGGACAGGTTAAAGGGTTATTTTGAGGAAGATGACCCTCGGCGCATGTGGAACGGTATTAAAGCCATCACATCGTGGAAACCTAGTGCTGGGAAAATTACATCTGTCGGCCAAGCTCTGCCAAACGAGCTGAACACGTTCTACTGACGCTTTGAATCCGCTCATCAAGAATCAAGGTACCTTCACCGTGACTCAGGAGGAAGTCAGGCGTGTCTTGTCCAGGACCACAGTCCGGAAAGCCCCAGGCCCTGACGGCATCCCTCCTCGTGCCCTGAAACTGTGCTCTGAGCAACTTGCCCCTGTGCTAACAGACATTTTCAACCTGTCGCTAAGGAACTGTACTGTGCCGAACTGCTTTAAAGAGTCGACCATCATTCCAGTTCCTAAGAAAACTCCTGTGACATGCCTGAATGACTATCGTCCTGTGGCTCTCACGTCTGTTCTTATGAAAACTTTTGAGCGGCTCGTGCTGGACTTCATTAAGAGCCAGATCCCTGTGAGTGTTGACCCGCTCCAGTTTGCTTACAGACAGAACAGGAGTGTGGAGGATGCCATCTCCTTTGCTCTGAACTCTGTCTACACTCACTTGGACACTAGTAAATCTGTCGCGAGAATGCTTTTCATTGATTATAGCTCTGCTTTTAACTGCCTTGTCCCAGGTAAACTGATTGAAAAGCTCATGTCTCTCGGTTTAAGTGTTCCATGTGTAAATGGATCTATAGCTTTTTAACTGACAGATCTCAGAGAGTGAAAATCAATGACTGTTTTTCTGATGTTGTTTCTGTGAGCACTGGTTCTCCTCAGGGATTTATTTTGAGTCCTTTGCTTTTTACTTTGTACACTCATGATTGTGTGTCCTCCTCTGACTCAAACTTGATCATCAAATATGCTGATGACACCACCATCATCAGTCTCATCAGTGACACTGATGAATCCTCTTATAGAGCAGAGATCGAACATGTTTTTCAGTGGAGTCAAACTAACAACCTCCAGTTGAACGCATCAAAAACATGTGAACTGGTCTACGACTTCAGTCGCAATAGTTCTCATTTGCCTGTCGTAATCGACAACTCCCAGGTGCAGATCGTAGAGGAGTGTAAGTTTCTGGGTTTAACTCTGTCTAACCTGAAATGGGTTAAAAACACTGACCGAGTCGTTAAGAAAGCTCGTCAGCATCTCTACTTTCTGCGTACCACTAACTCTAAGATTCTGCTTAACTTTTATTGCTGCACCATGGAGAGTTTACTTGTTGGTTCTGTGTATGTGTGGTTTGGAAACATCACAGATAAAGAAAAGAGATCTTTAAACAAGGTGCTCCGCTCTGCAAAGAGGACCGTGGGTTGTGAGCTTCCTGTTCTGGAGGTTCTTTATAAATCCAGACTTTTAAACAAAGCTCTTAGGATTGTTAATGACTCTTCTGGCCACCCTGGAAAAGCCATGTTCCAGCTTCTTCCCTCTGGCAGAAGATATCGCTCTCTGAGATGCAGGACATCTCGTTACGCTAACAGTTTTTATCCACAAGCTGTTATCAGTGTGAACAGAGCACTTTCATGATTTGCACTTGTTTTGAAACTGTTTTAGTCGATCGATTTCACAGTGACATTTGTTTACTGTTTTATTTCTGTCTTTTAATGTTGTTTTATGTCTGTATTTGTCTGTGCACACTGGAGACTTTTTGCTAATGTATTCCAATGTGTTTTTTTTACTGCAAATGGCAAATAAACTGAATCTGAATCTGACTGTGTCTACCTGGACGAGGATGAGGAGTTGAAAGCTGGGTCAAATGACACAAGACCCCAGTCCTGCTGCTGCTGTTGCTTCTGCTTCTGATCTGAGTTCATGAAGCAGACTTGTTGGTTTATTACATTAAACTCATCCAAATTGCTGTGAGATGTAGGTAGCTAATATGTTATAGTTAGTAACTGTAATCAGATTGTCACTATCGTATCAGAAAGTGAGAAAATCTCAAATAATGCATCACAGATCGAATATAATGCAAGTATCAATAAGTAGTTTTCTGATTTTCAGTTTTTGACGTCCCATATGGAAGCATCCAACCTGCAGGTGAGTACAGAGTACTCCTGTGCAGTACAGCGACCACTGCTCCTGACAGAGGCCCTAGTAACGGGTCACATGGCGGGTCACATGACGGTGTAACGACGAGATGCACTGCCTCAGCTGTTTATGATGTAATGCAAACCTGCGCATGCGCGTCTCACGACAGCCGAAGCATTCCAAGATGGCGGACCGCGAGTTGCTTTAAAAGTTAAAATACGAACGAATTAAGACACGAATGTCACTTTTAATGCAATTTGAGGCGAGATGTTGATGGTTCCGTTTTGTCACATGTGGGTTTTAAAAGTCAAAGTTTCGTGTAAAGTTTATTTTAAGCAGTCAACTGCTCCTGTGAAACCACAATGCTAATGTTTTGATAGCAGCCTCCGTGGCTGCTGACGCAGGCTGATGACACGTCCTGTGGCAACTCTACAGCTTACAACTGGTCTGTCGAGTTGATGATGGAAAATGGGGAGGGAAAAAAAAAAATCGATCTAATGAAATATTTTGTTTGAACACACTATTGTTAATCATATTGAATACAGTATGATACATGCCTTAAATTAAAATAATTATTTCCATTATCAACCTCTCGCCTCAAATTGCATTAAAAGTGACATTCGTGTCTTAATTCGTTCGTATTTTAACTTTTAAAGCAACTCGCGGTCCGCCATCTTGGTTTGCTTCGGCTGCTGTGAGACCATGGATCTATTATAATAACTGGATAGGGTATTACAGCTTGTAGCTGAATAACTCATGTGCTCGGGGGATTCTCGCGGTACTGCAGACTGAACCAGACTAAATTCACGTGGGCTACTCAGAAATTTTCCCCATAGAACTCAATGCATATTAAAACAGCTCGACCTCAGCTGACAGAGAACCTACAGCTTTAATAAAGGTCAGATTTTGTGGGGATTTTAGTGTCCCTTGTCATCCAGAACTTTTTTTCTTCTTAAATCCTTCGGTTTTGTTTAAATCCACACTTTAGTGCCACAAACTCTGCTCGTCTGGCTCACGCTCTAACTCCCGCTCTGATGAACTGCTCTGATTGGTCAGAGCGCGGCCGAGCCCCTCTGTGCACGTGCGTGAGACCCGGTGTGAGACCCACACACGCGTGTTTGGCGCAACGCATTATGGGAGATAATACACTGCGCAGAACCGGGAGGACCAGACGATGCCCAAATACAGGCGAGTTTCCCAAAGATCTTTGCGAGTTTCAGGCGACTTCCGCTAATCTTTCAGCCCCCATGCCGTCACAAAGCGCCACTGAGCACAACCATTCATTTGAATAGGGCGCCATCTTGGATCGCCGGGGCTTGTGTGAGACGCGCATGCGCAGGTTTGCATTACAGCATAAACAGCTGAGGCAGTGTATCTCTGCGTTACAACGGGTCACATGGCGGGTCACATGACGGGTCACATGACACATTTCTGCGGGACAATAATGTATAACTGAACTTAATGTCTGATGATGATGTTTTGTTCAACAATATGTAAAAATCTGGCCAAAGGTGGTACTGCAGACACAGGCAATATTTTGTAGTCCTCTCCCACTCTCCCTGACTCAGGTTGCCAGATACAGACAAACACAGGGAAAAGTTGTATCCGCTGTCTCAATTTTTCAAAGGCGTCCCGATATAAATCCTCGTTTTAGGCTTTGTTTTGTCATTAATGATTTGAGAGTCATAACAAGACCATTTTAGTTATGCGCCACATGTTATTTTACCAGTGAGATTAGCGAGCCGCGCAGAGTTCTGGCAACCCGATCACGCACTTACATGGGACTTCCTGTTTGGCGATAACGCAGAGGGCAGGACATCAAATTCAAAACAATAACAACTTTTATGGGTCGAATTTGATATTCAAATATTACACACTGCACCGAGAGGTACGTACACATGTGGTTGTTTAGTGGTTAGTGGTGATTTGAAATATAAAAACAGGGTGAAGAAATAAAGTAAACAAAAGTGAAAAACAAACTATTTGAAATACAGAAAAAGAGACGTCACACGTAAGTAAGGCTGAGAATCTCAGTTTTTGGCTATATTTTGTATTTATTATTGACATTGTTTCTAGCATGATACGGTGTAACAACATGTTTCTCTTTCCACAAATGAAGGAGCTCTGTCTTAGTTTTAAATGTCTGCATAAACAAATCGTCTATTGTGATGTTCCTTTTCTAGGGGACCTGCAGAGAAAAGAGTGTCACCAGGGAACGCCCTAATTGTGAGTTTACAAGATGAGTTACATTTACCTTTAGTTTTTTATCAACATTTACCTTTAAAATAATGTATTTTGTCTTATGTTTAAGGCTGGACCTGGTTCTTCTGATTGTGAGTATGAGGATGCCGACCGTTCATTTAAGCATGTTGTGTTTTTTTTCTATCATCGATTTATTACTAATTCATTTGGATCAAATGATCATGCACCGTAACACTCAGAGTCATCATATAGAATTTTAAATCATGTTTATCAATCGTGTCTGACGATCGTAAATCAATAGAAGTCTGTTTTGTGCTGTGTTGTGGCGCTAACAACATCTCGTGATAAAGTATTTTGTTTCTTGCAGACTCTGCCTTTTTGTGGCGCTTCGTTGGAGAAAGTGTGGGAAAAAAACTTTTTTTAAATGTAGTTATCTGGGGTACCAAACTATCAAACCACAAAATATTGACTGAATAAAAACTATGTAATGATTTCCATGTCACTTGTTCCTCGCTCTCAAAATAATTTGTTTTTGGTTTGCAAAAGATGTTTTCTACTGCGTTGAAGACTGCATGTTGTGGATTTCTTCACAAAATGTTTCTTTATCAAGACTCTTTCTGTTCGAACAAACATGAAAGTTTGGCAACACTGAAAACGTTAAAAACTCAGACCACTGTGTTCTTAATGACTTCACACTAATTTGCATAATGAGTAAAATGCTAAAATTAGGATTACAACAACATTTGAAAATTAATGACATTCTTTGGGGCTTGATTTGTTGCTTTTTCTCGTTTTTTCTGCAATTGTCGGAAGATTCTTTTAAATTTTTCTCTGTCATTTGTTTCAAGTTGAGCTGGAGCTGAGTAATCACATAAACAATAGCAAACAATAACATTTCTGTTGTTTTATTATTTTGGTTTGTAACCGGATTAAAACCATCTTTAAACATCTACTGTGAGTGTGAGATTATTGTGGGAATGTTATGTTTTAATTTGTTGATCCGTTGTTGGAGAAATGGACAACTTTAGTAAAGTTCTCAGAGACGACGCTGGTGTGATTTAGAGCTATACACAAATACATTTAATTGAATTGAGTCATATCTGTGCAGAGGCGAGTCCTCTCACTGTATCAATGCAGGTTTAAGGCAGTGAACCATCTGTAATTTAATAGTTTTTTTATATCTTACTTGTTGCATTGAAATTCACAATAATTCAAAAACGGAAGAAAAAGGATAGATGGACTATTGTACTAAGAAAAATACATCCCAAACTACCCACAAACCTCACCATGAAAACAAGCAGGTAACGGACCCCATAAGAGTAGTGACGCAATGCACTTTTATTTATATATTTTATTTTTTAATACTTATATTGACAAAAATACTATTATGTGTTGTCTTTATTTTAGTGTTTATGTGTCTATTAGGTAACCAGTTCACCAGCAATCCACATTTATTTATGTGTTTGTTATTTTAGTTATATTGACTGGGAATGGCAATGCAGCAAACGGACTGTAATCCAATAACATAGCGCAGGAACCACGTGACCTGCAGCTCTCATACTTTCACTTTCGTCAGAGAACCTTGTGTCGCAGTATTTTTCCATTCCGGTGAGTAAAGGCTAAAACTTCACTATTATTAACCTAAAAACCGACATGATCAAAGTAAAGAAACGTAACTAAATTCTATTCACAGCTGTGGAAACTATAGCTTCATGATATATCAATAATATCGTAATAGCTAAAGAATGCTAATAGCTCTCAAAGTCTTATCTAAGCTTCTAAAATATGACATGAAACTTGACATTTCTATTTGCTGTTAATATTTCCGCCCTTTTGGACAGTAACAGATTTCCTCCAGACTGTGCCCAGAGCTGCAGACATCATGCTCTTCAACAGTGAGTATCAGACGCAAAGTATTTTTGTCTATATAATGTATATAATGTTGCCTTGTGTGATTGTTCCTATCTGAACTTTGCTATGCCTTGTGTATGAACAGCGCTATAGGCAAGGCAAGTTTATTTATATAGCACAATTCATACACAAGGCAACTCAAAGTGCTGAACAAAACAAAATAGCATTAAAATCATAAATAATCACAGTACATTAAAAAGAAAGATAAAAATATGAAATGTCAGGAGGAGGCCTGTCTCACCTCTTCAGGAAGATTGTTCCAGATTTTAGCAGCATGAATCTGAAAAGCAGCCTCCCCATGTTTAGTTCTGACTCTGGGCACTAACAGGAGTCCAGTCCCTGTGCTCCTCAGAGTCCGGGCTGGTTCATATGGGACTAACATGTCACTAATATATTTTGGTGCGAGGCCATGGAGAGACTTGTACACAAGCAGAGCTGTTTTAAAGTCTATTCTCTGAGCCACAGGAAGCCAGTGCAGAGACCTGAGGACTGGACTAATGTGGTCGTACTTCCTGGTTCTAGTCAGGACTCGAGCTGCTGCATTTTGAATGTACTGCAGCTGTTTTACAGCCTGTTTGGAGAGACCTGTGAGCAGGCCATTGCAGTAGTCTAACCTACTGGAGACAAATGCATGGATAAGAATCTCCAAGTCTGCTTTAGACACTATGTTTTTGATCCTGGCAATGTTTTTTAGATGGTCAAAAGCTGCTGATGTTACTGTACAAATAAACTGGCTTTACTTTGCCTAATTTGCATACATATAGTACTACTGTATGCATATTAGGCAAAGTAAGGCAAGGTTATTTCTTATTGACATATAATAGTTCTGAATGCATATTGGGCATTTGAAAAAAATAATTTCCAGTTTTATTTCAACTGGGTTTGAGTGTCTTTAATTGACTATTTTTTATTGGTAATGCCATTTGTTACGTTTTTTTAAATAAAGTAATAAATGGTTTGTTTGTGTTTTTCACAGGTTTCAAGAATGACCCTCCAAAAGTGTTCAAAATAGACACAAATCCCCCAGGTACCAACATGGTTTCCTACTGTTGAATTTATTAACTTACATCACGGACAGATCCAAATAATGTACACGCCGAAAAATCAAAAGAAACACATACTCAAAAAAACAGTACGATCAACAAAATATCCAATAGCCTATAATCTAACATTGTGAGGGAGGGCAGCTGACCAATTCTCTGTGGTAAATATGGCACCTGTCTAAAGTCCACATCTTCTTATCTCTACATATCAACTCTGGTCTAATTATTTGCTCTTGGAGTTTCTCTAGAAGTGATGACATTATTTAGAAACATGTGCACAATCTTGGCTGGTAGAAAGGACTTTCAGACATCAGGATAATATTTTGGCTTTGTGAATCTAATCACTATCAAACAATGAACTATATATATATATGAACTATATATATATATATATATATATATATATATATATACTGTATGTCTCTCAAAAATGTGCCTCTTTCCCATAGAGGTGTATTGGCACCTGGGCTCCAACTGAAATAGAATTCTACATCATGAAAGCAAGCTATTGACATTTACAATACATTGGCCATAAATCACAGTTAAGATGGATGCTCAAAATCTTGCCAAGTTTCAAAAAGTTCTTATTTACATTTCTGGTTGAACATGAGCTACAGATGTGATTGCTGGAGGAAGGCACAGTCTACTAACAATGTAAGTGCACCAGACTTGCCTCTGATATTCAACTACTAGTGTAGTTGCCTGGAAGTGGTCATTCCCGATCTAGAGCTGTGTGTCTGGCAACACTCAAAAGCCAGCTATCACTGCACATGAGGTCATATTTATTGATCACTGACCAATGTTATAGTGATGGATGAATGGATATGGCTATCCTTGTGCACGTACTCTCCCTCCTCGCCTCCTCTCCTTGATTTCAACATATTTCAGCTGTCAATGTCAGCAGTTGCTTCTCTCTCTTCACTTGACCTTAACTATTGCTCTATCATCAGATCTGAATCAGAATAATTTTTATTGCCACGTAAGTAACAGGAAGTCACAGACTTGGAAATTGCTTTGGCTCAGCGCAACAGTCAGAAAGAGATAATAAAAAATAAAGAATAAAAAACACTTCTAAGGAATAAATTAAAATTTAAAATAGAGTTACAGTTGCTATTTACAATATACAAGTGCACATGGTGCACACAATGTAAGGTGACAGCAGTACAGCGAAGTAAAGTGACGTATGATGGGCAGTAAAGTGACTTTATAAAGGGCGGGGGACAGGTTAAGAAGTGTTCAAGAGTCCAACAGCAGAGGGGAAGAAACTGTTCTTGTGGCGGGAGGTTCTAGTCCTGATGGAGGAGTGGTTGGAATAGTCCATGTGCAGGGTGAGAGGGGTCGGCTGTGATACGACCAGCCCGGCCTCGAGGTCGGGCGACGTATAGGTCCTGCAGCGATGGAAGGCTGCGGCCGATCACTTCCTCTGCAGAGCGCACAATGCGCTGTAGTCTCTGTTTGTCCCTGACTGTGGCTCCAGCGAACCACACGGTGATGGAGGTGGTGAGGATGGACTCGATGATGGCCGTGTAGAACTGCACCAACATCTGTGCAGGCAGCTTGGCTTTCCTGAGCTGCCGCAGGAAGTACATCCTCTGCTGGGCCTTCTTGATGAAGGAGCTGATGGTCGGCTCCCACTTGAGGTCCTGGGTGATGGTGGTGCCCAGGAAACGGAAGGACTCCACAGAGGTGATGGGGGAGTCCATCACGGAGGGTGGGGGCGGGGGGACAGAGCTCTTCCTGAAGTCCACAATCATCTCCACTGTCTTCTGGCCCCCTCTAGTGACGGTTATCAAAACTACCTAAAAATGAACAGAAAATAAAATTATGCTCATACAAAGATTATAAATGTGTGCTGTATAAATAAAACATGACCTATACCCATGGTTGAGTGGAGTCTAACCCAGGATTTAAAAGTAGAGTAAGAGTAGTGTGTTGTCTGCAGTCATTCCTGGATAATAAACAATTCACTCAACATTATTTAATATAAAACTGTTCAGGTGCCTTCATTGCTATACATTTTTACATACAGTGTTAGAAAAGGGATGTCAAAGTAAATTTGGTCAGGGCCGGATTTAAAAAGGACTTGCTTCCCGTGCCCAGTATAAAAGTGTCAAACACTTTTATACTTTTATACAGCTTTACATCTGTGGATGATTAATGCATGTTTTTACATTATGACAGTATGTTGACAAAAGGATTCCAATATATTATGAGTTTTCTGGTTGATTTTTATGATTTTTATGTTTGCTTGGACTGAACCAGAACTGGGTCAAAGTTAAAGAATTGGCCAATGATTTATAATAAAATATTGATTTATAATTATATGTTAATTATTCAATGTTTGAACCCAACACTAAAATTAGCTGAGTTTTAACGCGCCATGGAGTCTCATATCAACATAACTTCAATGCTGCAAGGTGACAGCAACAATTGATAATAATTTCAGGGGCCACTAAAAATGGTTGGCGGGCCGCATTTGGCTCGCGGGCCTTGGGTTTGACACCTGTGCTGACCTTTGACCATTAGAAACAGCTGTGAGTTAACGTCACATTATCCTTCTTTTGTCTGTTTGTTTTCATGTGTGTAGAAGACGATGATGACAAAGAAGAAGAGTCCAATGAAACTGAACGTCCGGACTGTGAGTATTAAAACTAAGATTAGGACGGGAGAGTTTAAAGGATACATATTATTAGAAATCGACATTGTTCCTCATCCAAAACAGACCTGATCCATTCATGCTAATATCAGGAACTTCTGGCACAAATATGTAACTCCGCCCCTTCTATCTAAAAGCTTCTCATGCTGCTTTCATGGGATCTCGGAAACACTGATGTGATGACACTCGGGGAAATGGGAACAAACGCTGCTCCAATCAGAAATTATGAACACGGAAAGTTAAAAGTCTTTAAGCCAAGGATCAATTAAACCTTATAATTGATGACATTATGGCCACAAATGCTTTTCAGGTTTCTCATGAACGAGCAAAAAGAATCCAGGTTCATTCTGCTAATTTCTTTTTTGGTGTTGCTGCTCCGAGATTCCGAGATCGCAAAAAAGTCCTGTAATAGTATGATGTCATTGTGCCACTATGACATCACACTCAGAGCCTTTTACAACAAAAACAAGTCAAGTTCTAGCAACAATAAACGTGAAATGAGCACATAGCATGAGATACGTACTACATTATTTTGTTTAGTGAACATTTTTCTCTTATCTTTGCTCTAATTAAAAAGAAAAAAAAAAAGATTCCTAAACTTGTTGGTTCAGTCTGTGTGACCATTTTTGCTTTCTTCCTTGCTGCTTGACGGACAACAGTTTATGTAGGTAGGTGACCATCTCAAACTCTAAGGAAGGGAAGTCTGTGTATGCGACGAGACAAGTTTAAGTCAGTATGTACGGTGACAACAGTGTTTTTTGGGTTAGATATTCATTTTTAACTCAGAAATTGGAATAACAAAAAGTCCCACCACAGTACAACTATGAAAAGCAAGTTTTAACACATACCCAAACCAACAAGAGGATGCTGATCCAAGACCCAACAAGTGAAGTCAAGAAATACATTCAAAATATATTCCCTCGTCACCTTAATACAACCAGAAAAAATACTAAAACAAAAAAACATGTGTATATTTTACCCAAACAAACAAAATAGAATGCATAGTGCAATAGTCTGAGATTGCCGTAGTATGGAAACCAAGCTAATGATATGACACTACTATATGTTCTTGCTCCAAAATCTCGTTCTGTAGGGAGCGGATTTAATAGTTTTTAGTGCAATTCTGGTGTGTATGTATTTCTTGTTTATTGTGTTCATTAAATATATGTACAAAAGTTTTCAATCCAGTGTGGTTCTGTTCAACAAACAAGAAACATACTGCTCATACTGATTTTTGACTTTTTTTTTTTCTCTGGTTTTCAGTCTGAAGGGTCCTGACCACAGTCTCCAATATCCAGAAGTGAAGTCACGGACCAGTCCCTCCACTGTCCTCCCATGTAACCACAATATAACAACAATGTAACGATCAAAACAAAATAAAATATATGCCTCGCATTTTCAGAATATTTATGTTCATCAATTAATGAACGTAAATATTCTGAAAATGCTAGTCTCATTGCATCACATGTGGTTGTATTCATTAAACACACAGGAGCAAAGCCAGGACCAGCTCGTTTTTCAGACACTTTTTTCACCCACGGCTGAAAGTGAACTGAAATATTTATGTAGCAACAACATTTTTTTGTTTACTTACTGAGAGCTGATTGGCTGAGTGAAGGCGAGATCTCTTTATGGTTTTAAAAAATGATCCAAAGATGAGACAGGTTATAAACACATTAACGTACTGTTTTGAGAAAGATATTTTATCACCAGTTCATATTTTTTAGATTTCAAATTTTATTTTTCCAGTTTTAACAAAAATCAATGTTTCATATTTTTCCATCATTGGCAAGAATCCGCTTTGTTATCATTGTTCACTCATTAATGCTGCACTGGAGGAAATCTACTGACGGAGAAAGTCATGGTTGAGAGCAGAAGACTGTTGATGCTTGGCTTGGTCCGAGGATTTCTCCCTCTGGTGCATATATTGGGTGGTGGGGGTGACCGGAGCACCTGGAGGAATCCGACCCTGACACAAGAGAAACATGCAAACTTCGCACCGTTCTGCGCCGCATAGATCTCACAAATACCTTACCTTACAAATCACCTTGCTAATGTGGAACAAATATTCATAAAGCTACAGTGAAGAGTCCATCTCCACGTGTTGATGCTCAGACACCAGCAGATGGCGCTAAAAACCAAGTCCTCTGCACGAAAATGGCGACTTTGCTCTTTGTACATGTATTCAAAATCAAAGTGCTTCTGCTTTCCACTTCTCTCCATACAGAATGTAGCGATAGTGGCGGAAATGCGACAATTCAAATCATTTTTGAATAGCCCTAAATCACACCAGCAGCAGTCTGAGAGCAAGAGGACTATACAAAGTTGCACAGTTCACCAGTAATAGATCAGAGAATCAAACAGTTCGAACACAATAAATGCAATGATAAAAAAAAAATACACAGGAGCCATTGGAACGACCAATGTTTATAAAATGTCCCTAAATGTCCTTCACGCGACAATAATGTTTCTTAATTTTTAAATCCATTCAAAGTCTGTCCTCCTGTCAAATTCATATCGATAGTTATTGTCCAGGAAGGAAATGATGTTGTTTCCTTATTTTTACAGCATATGTTTTGCCAGTGTCACAGTTACGGTGATAATGAACGGCCGGCCTATTTTAATATGATTTTTTTCATTTTCGTAGTTGAACTTTGCACTGTGGAACCACTAACCCATAATTGTTTATGGTCTCAGTGGGCTGGCCAGTGCGTGTTTTCCTTAATTTCGTTTGTGAAAAACCAGATGGCATTTTCTCACAGTGATTGTGGTGGGGCATATTTTACACCTGTTCGTGCATTTTGGACTTTTTTCATTGTTTTCAATCCCGTTTCATGATGTTATGGCTCGAGTTTCTGAAGCCAAACTTTGGACATAGACAGTCACGTTTTACTTTCGGTTTTGCGATGACGCAGTTTTCAAACCTGACGGTGAGTTTGCATAACTTTAACTAAACAAGAAACATTTATTTTACAATGAAAGTGCAGGATTCGCTACTACTGTATGCATGAAAACATGGAAAGAATGTTGTCCTGTGCTGTTTCTGACTTCCAGTTTAAAACCTATTATTTTTCTGGTTTACCCTTTCCGAACAGTGACGTTTGACACATATTATGCTGTTTTGAATTGTGAAATCCTTCTGATTTCACAATTGACCTTTAAAGAGGCACTTTAAATCCTATTCTTGATTGCACATGATTATATGCATTTATATGGATTTTGATGAGTTTGGACATAAATTAACTTTGGTTTACGACATCCTATGTTCCAATGTCGCTGTTTTATTGTTGTGTTTGTGTTTTGAATAGTTTGATTTTCTAAACTGCTGTTGGCAAATCAACATTTCTATGATACTTTTCAAGATGACTGCTGTTGTGATATTGGGCAAAACTAAATACATTGAATTGAACACTTAATGTAGGGCTGCACAAGTATAGAAAATATCGCAATAAATATTCTTATCACAGTCTTTGACAACACTATTGCAAGTTTCATTGTTATAAAAACATTTATTATTGTATATAACACTTTTCAATATTGTGCTGCTCTAATTTTATTCATATGTTCATCTAATTCATATGATTCATAAGCTGAGTTTCCACCGCCCCTACCCTATTCTACACTACCCTGCTCTACCCTACCCTTACCCAACACTACCCTACACTACCCTATTCTACCCTACCCTACCCTACTCTACCCTACCCTACCCTACAGTACTCTACTCTGCCCTACCCTACTCTAACCTACACTACCCTACTCTACTCTACCCTACCCTGCACTACACTACCTGGTTGCGTTTACATTACACTGTAGTATCTTGTATAACATTCTGACCACAACAAACCAGTGTTCATGGAATCCCTTGGTTTTCGTGATTTCCAGCTGGACTCTGGTCAATCACTAGCAGTTTCAACACTTTAGGTACTGTTTTAGTACTTTAGGTACTGTTATAGAAATGTCTGAAGATGCCAACTCCACTCAGAAAAACCCAGCACCGACTTGAGTTCAAACCCTAACCGTCTGCCCAATGCCACCCCTTTTCATTTATTTGCCAAACAACAACATTTCGGGTGATTATTCACTTCATAGATCTGATGTTTCGTCCACTGATAGTTTCTCTCACTTGTGTCGGCCCAAAGGTGAATGATTGTATTTCCTTTTTCCAAACAGTGTAACTTCAGGTGACCTCAGCTGCTTTTGGTGACCACAGCTGCTTTTGGTGACCACAGCTGCTTTTGGTGACCTCAGCTGCTTTTGGTGACGGCTGAGACATGGCGTGTCCTGGTGAGTGTCCTGTCTGCTCTCTGCTTTCATTGAACTCCAGATTTGTGATTTAAACCATGTTTTTCTTGCACAGTGGCAGAGCTGAAACCCCTGAAACACATCAGCAGTTATGAGATTCTGCCTCCAGACTGTAAGTGCTACAAACAGAAAAGGTCGTTGTTGTAAAGCTGTATTCCATATTTTATAGATATAGTTTTTTAGTGTTTGTGATCTGTGCAGAAAATATGATTAATTTAATGTCTCTTCACTTCAGTTTAGTTTGTTTTGTTTGTCATCTGCAGGTAAAATACAGACGTACACATATAAATACAGACGTACACACATAAATACAGACGTACATATACAGACGTACACATATAAATACAGACGTACACATATAAATACAGACGTACACTTATAAATACAGACGCACACATACAGACGTACACTAATGAATACAGACGTACAGACATAAATACAGACGTACACATTTAAATACAAACATACACATAAATACAGACGTACACATATAAATACAGACGTACACATACAGGCGTACACATATAAATACAGACGTACACATACTTACGTACACATATAAATACAGACGTACACAGATAAATACAGACGTACATATACAGATGTACAGTACACATAAATACAGACATACACATACAAACGTACACATACAGACGTAAGCAGATAAATACAGAAGTACACATACAGACGTAAGCAGATAAATACAGACGTACACATACAGACGTAAGCAGATAAATACAGACGTACACATACAGACGTAAGCAGATAAATACAGACGTAGTAGTAGTAGTAGTAATCTTTATTTATATACCGCCTTTCACAGACCAGAGTCACAAAGCGGTTTACAATTGTTATTATTTTTGGGCACTGTCTCTCACTCCACTCAGAGATGGAGTGGGGTCGCCGAACAGGAGGCGCATGCCAGACCTATTGTACATATTTTTAGTGGTAGGGGAAACCGGAGTACCCGGAGGAAACCTACGCAGACACGGGGAGAATATGCAAACTCCACTCAGAAAGGCCCTGGTCCGGCCGGGATTCGAACCCAGGACCTTCTTGCTGAGAGGCGAGAGTGCTATCCACTCAGCCACCGTGCCGCCCAACACATATAAATACAGACGTACACATACAGACGTAAACAGATAAATACAGACTTACACATACAGACGTACACATACAGACGTACACATATAAATACAGACGTACACATACAGACGTACACATATAAATACAGACGTACACGTACACATATAAATACAGACGTACACATACAGACGTAAGCAGATAAATACAGACGTACACATATAAATACAGACGTACATACACATATAAATACAGACGTACACATACAGACGTAAACAGATAAATACAGACGTACACATATAAATACAGATGTAAACATACAGACGTAAACAGATAAATACAGACGTACACATACAGACGTACACATATAAATACAGACGTACACATATAAATACAGACGTACACATATTTCACTGTGTGGGCGGTGAATGTATATGAAAGAACAGTTTGAATATAAACTATATTTTAATCTTGAGCATGTTGATGATGGTAAACATTCCATTCAGCTTAAGCTTGCAAGCAGCGTGAGAGAGGACAGAACGCCGCCATTCCTGATCTTGGTAACTCGGTCGTTGTTGCCAACAACATTTGCAAACATTTGGCTCCACACTCTCAATGTTAGAGCTGACTTGGTCAGTCCTTTCTAAGATCAAGGCACAGCTGTTATCAGGTTAGGCACCGCTCTAATAATTATCTTATTCACTCACTCTGACTCTTTCATAGTACACAGCCAATCGCTTTTCTTGCAGTGTTTATACCTCTTGATATAAGTCAATGTTGTTGAAAACACATATTTACATAAACAATATGTATTTTTTTATATATATTCCCGACAGCTATAGTAAGTTTCATTTATTTGTTTCGGTTACATCAGTCCTACAAGTAATCAAAGGTACATCATGAACATCAAGAACATCATGATGAATCATTAGCTCACCGGCAGCCAAACTTTATGACATTTTTATGTTTTTTCTGAAATTGTTTCTTGTGCTCTGTCCAGTTTGTGAGCTGAGGGTGATTCTTCTGGGGAACAGCTGGAGTCTGAAGGCCTCAGTGGGAAACCTCCTTTTGGATAAGACACAGTTCAGTTTGGACACAAAACAACATAACTGTGTAAAAGGCAGTGGAACATTTCAGAGTAAAGTTTTGACCGTGGTCAACTCTCCAGACCGGCTGCTCACCACCTCTCCTGAAGAACTCACACAGTTTATTGATGAGATTAAAGATGAGAGTTCCCCTGGTCCTCACGTGTTCCTGCTGGTCCTAGAGCCTGACGACTTCACTAAACAACACAAAAGCAGATTAGAGTCAGTCCTGCAGAGCTTCAGTGACGAGGCCTTCCACCGCTCACTGCTGCTGATGTCCAGGCCACAGACACAGACACCAGGGTCCACAGACAGACACATGAGGGATCCAGGTATAAAGGACATGATCCACAGATGTAGGTTCAGATATCTGTGGGTGGATCACACTGATCAATATGTCACTGATCTGAGTCTGAGGGATTTCAGACGTAAAGAGCTGTTTACAAGAATCAGTGAGATATTGAAAGTGAACAGTGACGTGAAACCTGAGCCCTCTGAGGAGGAAGACCCAGGTCTGACTTTCAGTACAAAGCCCTCTCTGAACCTGGTTCTGTGTGGGAGAACCGGAGCAGAGAAGAGCTCAGCAGCAAAGTCTATTTTAGGGCGAGCAGAGCTCTTTGCAGCGAGCCGCCCAGGGCAGTGTGAGAAACATCAGGCAGAAGTGTGTGGGCGCTGGGTGACTCTGGTGGAGCTGCCGCCTCTGTCTGGAAAACCTCTGGACACAGTGATGCAGCAGTGTCACCTCTGCCTCTCCCTCTGTGCTCCTGAGGGCGTCCATGCCTTCATCCTGGTTCTACCACACGGTCCTCTCACTGATGAAGACAAGGATGAGTTAGATTTATTACAGTGTGCATTGAGCAGCCGCGTCTGTGACTTCACTGTGGCCTTGTTCTCTGTGAAGTCGGACTCCGCTGCAGTGAACCTCTCCAGACAGAGTAGTGTGGATCTCAAGGAGCTGGAGAGGAAGTGTGGAGGAGGAGCCATGTGTCTGTACATCAGGGACCAGCAGCAGGTCCTGGAGGTGATGAAGACTGTGGACAAAATTACACTAAAAGGCAAAAGAGCTTACACTAAAGACATGTTTCTAGAAGCCCTGATGGAGAAGACACCAACATCTCCAGAGTTGCCTTTGAGCCCCATGTGTCTGAGGATTGCTTTGATTGGAAAATGTGGCAGTGGCAAAAGAGCATCTGCAAACACTATTCTGGGAGAGAAAATTTTCAAACCAAAAGTTGCTCCTAAAAAAACAAAGACGAGTTGTGAGAAGGCGAGTCGCATAGTTCAGGGGCGCACGGTCACGATCGCCATCACGCCCCCTTTGTTCGATAAGAGTTTCGGTGTGGAAGAGCTCTCCAAATGTGTCTCTCAGCTGGCTCCAGGACCTCACGCCTTTTTACTGCTGCTGCCAATCGGGAATATCCACAAAGAAGACCGGGAATCACTACAGCTGATCAAAGAGACTCTTGGCGAAAAGTCAAAAGACTTTGTCATGGTTGTTTTCACCAGAGGAGACGAGCTGGACAGTCAGTCTTTAGAGAGCTATGTAGATGATTGTGATAGCTTTGTTAAGGATATAATCAAGGAATGCCAGGGCAGATGCCACGTTTTCAACAATAAGGATGAAACCAATTGTGTACAAGTAGCAGAATTACTAAAAAAGATTGACAAAATGGTGCGGATGAATTGTGGCTTTACCAAAGAGATGTTTGAGAGTGAGAGGAAAGATGTAAAGAACAAAAAGGAGATGAAAGCGCTCCAAAATCAGCTTACAGAGAGTCATAAAAAATGTGAGCAGGAGAGAGCTCTGAAAAATGCTCAGCTCAAGGAAAAGGAGGAGCTCATCAGACTTGAACGACAAGAATGGAGGAGACATCAGGAGGAGGTGACCAAGAGACACAGGAAGCTGGAGGAGTCGCTGCGTTCGGATGCCAGGCAGAGGCTGGAGGAGGCGGAGAGGAGGGTGGAGGTCGAGGCCAGGGAGAGGAGGAAGGCTGAGGGGCAGCTGGAGCGGCGGCGGCAGCAGTGGGACCAGGAGCGCAAGGACCTCCTGGAGAGCCGCTGCCAGGAGCTGAAGCAGAACCTGGATGTGCAGTCAGAGAGCTACAGGCAGCTGCTGGAGGAGTATCTCCGCAAGCGCAAAAAGTGGACTGTTATTCTGTTTGTGTCTTTGCTGTTTTCTTTGTTTTTAGTTTATTACATGGTGCTGAGTCATGGATAAAGATGTGGTTTTCACAGTAGTAGGAGGTATTTGTAAATCAGTAGCTTGTCACATCACTGGGATATGCTGGTAATGGTTTGGATGAATTCTTGACGTTCTGCTATCAATGGTCCCTCTCCGTTAGGGGTGGCAATTGGCAAAAATGGGACGATTAGATAGTAAGGCAATTCTTAGACCTGCTGCTGAGGCCCAGAGCCTCACTCTGCACCATGTGTCCTTGTATGTTTGTATGCGCACAGACAGTTCAGATCATTTCTGTATGTAAGTAAGTAATCTTTATTTTAATACTGCCTTTCACAGACCAGAGTCATAAAGCGGTTTACAATTGAAGGCATTGGTCCTCTCACTCCACACAGAGATGGGAGCGGGGTTGCCAGAACGGGGGTCGCCAGTACTGGTCTCCTGTACGGGGTCGCCAGAACAGGAGACAATAGGTCTAGTGCATGCCAGGTCTAGTGCATGCCAATCTTTTTTTTATTCAGTTTGTGGTTGAAATATGTTTTCTAACCTGAGAAAATCAGCAATTATTCATGTTAATGCTTTGTCAAGATGTATAAAGTTTTGGCATTTGCAGTTGTTTATAATTTTCTTTCCTGAAAATGATGTCACACAAGGAAATCCCATGTTGTATACTAGAGAAATAAAACCTCTGAAACGTTAGTTAGAAATGATTGTTATCAAATAAATGCTTCAAATGTTATAAATTGTGCCAAATTTCAAATCAGTCTCAGATTTTCATTAATTCTTTGCATGGTTTAGTATGACTGTTGTGTTTTAATTTGTGGATAGAGCAAGCCCCTGCGACCCAAGATGTCTGCCCATTCAAATCCATGCCTGTGCTCATTGACTTGTTCTCGCACCTTGGAGGCCGACATTAGTAAAGACACATTTGTCGGCCTCCCGGTCTTGCGCAGTTCGTGTTCAATGTTCTACTTCTGCAAGACCAGTGTAACAGGTTAGACCCGCCCATTCTCACCACCACTAGTTCCTCATTGGATGGATTGGAAACTGGTTACTTTGGTTTCTGTTTAGCGCTTTGGAAATGTGTTTTATAAAGTCTGCTATTTAAATTTCATTCAGAATTCAGACCCTGGCCAGACTGGGCCCTTGCCTTTGGTCTAATTGTTTTCCTCCAATGGTTATGAAATCAAAGAGGGATAGCATTAAATATTTTTATTTTGAGAAATACTTTGTAATAATACGTCAAATATGTGAATTAAAAAAAACATGAAAACTTTTAAGGAGATCTTTGTACCAACCATAATGTCTGAGGGATGTGTTGATCGAATGTGAGAGACTCCTCAGAGACAACAATGTAATGGTTACAAAACTTTATTTATATAGCGCATTTTACAGACCAAGATCACACAAAGCGCTTTACAGAGAATTCAGATAGTTTCCCATTCACTCCACACCAGCATCAAAGCCCCCAACCAACACCATCCATTCACTCAATGTATTCATACCTATTGGACATGTTTTTAGTGGACGCGGACACGGAGAGAACATGCAAACTCAACACAAAGGGTTCCTGGAGGTGGAACCGAACCCAGGACCTTCTTGCTGTGATGCACAAGCTCTAACCACTGTGCCTCAGAGCCATAATGAACCGCACTCAGAAGACTAAATAAGATAAAGTTTATTAAAGAGAAGTCTGCTGCTGGATACAGAGCAGCACAGATCTGCATGAAAACACCAAAAGAGTTTATATATTATATTTTTTATATTTTTCATGATGTTGTTACATAGTAATTGTGCCTAAATTTAGAACAAGCATCATCTCGAGAACTCTGCTTCCTGATAATTCCATTATATTTTCCTTCATAAACTTGAGTTATCCTCAACAGGCCATACTTTGAAGCTACACAGCGGCACATCAGAAAAAGAAAATAATACACAAATAAAAATCACAGAAATTGTAACCATCAATTGCATGTGGATAAAGTGGACCACCAAACATAGTACTGTTAAAAAATAACATTTGTGTCACTTAGACTGTTGCTACTTTTCACAGACAGCACATAAGAGAGAAAGAGAGGACACAAAAATCGTTGGCAAGACACTTTCTCTGGTATGAGTCTGGTGCATGTGTGTGATTGGTTGGTGGTGGTCGGAGTGGCCAATGGCATACTGTATACTGCCTCAATTTTTATTATGACAGTTGTCAAAATGACCCTGGTTTTTACTGTGTACTAGTTTAAGTCTAAGATAAAACAGAAAAGCATTTAATTCACAGAAATACAGTGTCGAAAATCAACCTCACACAGTAACAGCAAGTAGCATATTTCAATCAAATGTTAGGAAGTTTTTATAAAAAAAATTATATCTAGCCCCTTGTTAAAAACATTTTCGGTGCACAATCGCCGAGCCGTCTTCTTCGTAATCCTCTTTTGTGATCCACATGTTCTGGAAGCTGGACAGAGAGGACTGAATGGAGCCGCCGATCCACGTAGAGTACTTCCGATCAGGAGGGGCCAAGACCTGGAAGACAAGTGCAGGAGATCGAGAAAAGACTGTTTTAGTCTTTTCACTGATTTTAAGAATCAAGATTTGAAGTGATTTTTTATTTGACTTATTATTTATTCTGTTATGTTATTATTTTTATTTTTCCTGATCCTTTTTTTTGCTAAATATTTGTGATTCGGCCATTGTATGATTCTATTTTAACCTGCAAAAGCCGCAACCTAAACAGTAGGAGCCAGAGGTGTTTAGTACTTTATTATCTAGGGTAGAACATGTGAAGTGCAGACCACAGTTTTATTCAGAAAAAAAAAACCTCTATCCAGACAACAATCTGGATTAACTTGAAACTATCGAACTGAGAGAAAGACGGATGGACAATCTCTGGTGATGACATTACCTTCTGCAGAAATGATCTAAAGGCCAGACACTTTAGCACTTTCCAGTTTATTTAAATGATTTTACTGCAAAAAGAGGAACGTATTCACAAAACAGTATCAGCTTCCTGGAGAGTGGTACCTGGAACTTTGAGTCAAAGAGGTTGGTCAGCTCCTTCTTCAGGCGCTCAGAGATGCCCGGGAACAAGGTGTTTCCACCGGCGAGGACGATGTTGTACATCTCACTGCGAATATCAGCATCCACTGAACTGATGCAGTCAAAGATCTGCCTGTGGATCCCATCAACCTCCCTTCCTGAAAAATCAATTTAGCTTTGTTTATATACTTAATCCTGAAAATGATAACACAATCGAAATAACTGTCAGAAATGAAACCAGAAGCACAACAGTCAGGATTTAGAAATGCGGATCACACCTAGGCTTTCGGTTGGCCACAGACATCAAGGTTAATATCATTAATTAAATAAATATTTACTCAGACATTTACATATTTTAAAAAACAAAACCAATTAAGAAAATTTAGGAAATATGTGAATGAAATGTGACCAGAGGCACCTTACGCTAAATAACTCACCTCACCTAACACCAGACGATCATCATGAAACAAATATGGAAAATATGGTGTGTATGTGTGTGTGTGTGTTTGTACAGAGGATGTGTACAGTATGCATTGTGTATCCTGACATGTGCTAACTGGGTGTGAAAGGAGTAGGCCCTGATAAACTTTTGCACTTTATCGATCTCACAATGGATACGTTTGCATGTCACATTTGGTATAAATAGTATCACTCAGATTGTGCAAAAAGACAGGAAGTGTTCAAACATGTTAAAGGTTAGAAATATATGTTTTCTTTTGTGCAGGATATATTATGAGAAAAAAGGGGCTAAAGCAGTGGCAGTCCCAGTGCAGGTCATTAGTGACTTAAAGTGAGGAGGACAGGTGAGGGACAGGAGGGGGCTAGTCACCTCCATCCTGGACAACACCTCCCACCCACTGCACAGGACTGGGTGGTACTTCAAAATAAATAAAACATACCAAAAAACGCAGGTGATACAGACTGGGGCAACTACCCAAGCTAAAACTGTGACGTCAGCATGAGGTTAGTCCGCTCCTAGTATACAGTCAATGGATAGAACCAATTAATAAACCATTATTTGTGCTTTGAAAGTTCAGTACCCCATCTTTAAATTTCTGATCCACACAATACAATAAGACCCTTTGACCCTGCAGCCTTCAAACCTTCCAGAGGATAATATTGACATTGATAAGATTTACAACGGTCACAACAACACTCCTCACCAATGAGGTTGGGCTGGAACAACACCTCAGGACCCTGGAAAAGCGCGTAGTCGATGCTGATGACGTTTCCATCGGGCAGCTCGTATCTCTTCTCCCATCCTGATTCCTCCACCTTCGACATCTCCTCCTCAACGTCCAGAGACACATGACACAGTTTCTCTTTTATATCGCGCACTATCTCCCACTCAGCTGAAACAGAATAGACGTAGATTCATTATATCTCGAGGGCTGTAGTTAGTGATTAGTTGGCCAATTGTTATTCCAATTAATTGATTGGTTGTTTAGATTTGTGTCAGCGAATATGATTTTTTTTAATACTTTTGAGCATCCGATCTCATGCAAAAAATCTAAACCTGTCACTGAAGAACCTGATATTAGCTTCTGTACACTTCAGAGACGTCTGAACCTCGTTTGTTATTTTTGAAAAGTCAAACGGGGAAAAAGCTCTCTTTCTCGTTCATTCAAATTGTGCAGAAAAGAACTTTATTGATCTCACAATGGAGAAATTCACTCAGACTTCCCTCTCACACACAGCTCTAAGCCCTAAACGCTGCAGGGATTTGCGCAAGAAGCAAAAAGTGTACTTAATCAATATCACTCAAAAGAGTTAACGACAGTGTGGTATACTTAATAACCACTCAGAGACGCTTCACATGTGTTCATTCACATGGTTACTGTAGCCACGGCTGCCCTGGGACAAACTGACAGAAGCAAAGCAACTAAGACTCATTCTAGGCAGTGGATGACATGTTTGCACTGTGTCATCTGGTGTTCTCACAAGTCTGCCATCAAAGCACTAACCAGGCCCTGCCCTGCTTAGCTTCAGAGATCTGACAGTCTCCCACGGTGGCACCACGTGTAACAGCTTAATGCCAGCTCAATGTTTTTGATTTAGTTATGGAGTCTTCTCTGGGCGGTACCTTTAGTGTCGTAGCTGAATCCTTTTTCTCTGAGTAACTTCTGCAGGAAGTCGGTGACGTCGGCTCCGGACAGATCCATCCTCCTCACGGTGTGCGGCAGAGAGAAGCCCTCGTAGACGGCCACAGTGTGAGTGACGCTGCCTCCAGAGTCCAACACACAACCTGGCAGCGACACATTTACACAAAGACTTTAGTTGTACTGATACAAACTCCAGGAAGAGCACCTGTGGCCTCCCATACGGTAGCCCACGTACGGTAAGTAACTCAAACCTCAAATGATTCACACACTGTAATAATTCTTGTTAACAATGATTATAATCATAACAATCATAATAATAAATAATTCAGTCAATATTTACTTGGAAACATGTCTCTCACCTGTCGTGCGGCCGGATGCATACAGAGCCAGAACCGACTGTGGCGTCAAGTACATCCCCGCGGTCTGGAAGCTCTCAAACATTATCTGCGACACACTACAGCAGAATAAAAGAAGGAAATGAGAGCCCTCAGGTTTCACACATCAAACAACATTGAATCATGTATCATTTTGCTCTAACTTCACAGTAATCGCATATGGTCTTTCATTACAAGAGGCAAAAGTTTGAGGGGTTTTGGTTCTTTCCCAAGCCACTGTATACATGCAATTCAATTAAAATGGCCCTAAATCACAACAGTAGTTATCTCAGAGGACTTTTCAAAGCTGTCGATTCTCCAACACAGATCAGAGACTCAAACACAGGAAATGCAACAATAATAAAACATACAGCTCCATCGGTCCATAAGAGGCAGAGACCAATGTCAATAAATGTTGTTATATACATATTTTCCCCAATAGAGGGGATTTGAATATATGAAAACATACAAGGCCATACAGGCAACTCAAAGTGCTTCATAAATAACATAAACATTACATTATATTTATTTTGATTTGCCCACGACAGCACCAGACACGCACCTCTGTGGTCTTCTCCTTGTTGGCCTTAGGGTTTAGCGGTGGTTCTGTCAGCAGGACGTTATATTCCTCGGGCGACACTCTCAGCTCTTCATAGAACGCGTGATGCCAAATCTGAAACATTGGGTAAAAAAATCAATGCTTTAATGTTCTCACCTTGAAGAGTGTAATGCACATTTTTCTTTGTATGAGCACTAATAAAACAAAGAATTCGTTTTTTAATTTTTTTGGACCCCTAGGCCTTTACCAAATGGTTGCAATACAGTTTGACAGTAAAAGTGCCTAAAAACAAGTGATAGAGATGCCCCGAATGTTGTAGATTTCAGTTTCAAGCTTCACGTAGATAATGATTCAAAAAGTGATCCACCAAATGGTTGCGGAAATGTTAACAAAAGGGTAAAACGTAACTTAATTTAATGCACGTTATTTATTTAAAAAAACAAAAAAAAACAAAAAAAAACATTTCATATTAGTAGTGAGAGCATGGATGTTAATAAGACACTGGAGTCAGCTTGAGTATCAAACTTATGCCCTGATCGTGTCACGTCTGTGTATCACCAACAAACTGAGTCACCATAGCAACCCCTCAGTTATTGCCATATATATATATATATACCTGTACGTGTGTGTGTGTGTGTATGTGGATATACTTGTGTATATGTGCACTAGATATGATTTATTATATGATTTATAGTAAAATAATTAAAAATGATAATAATAATAAAATAAATAAAAAATAAGTAGTGGTACTAGTACTCTCGCACCTTCTCCATGTCGTCCCAGTTGGTGATGATGCCATGCTCGATGGGGGAGCTCAGACTGAGGATGGCTCTTGATCTCTGGGCGTCGTCTCCAACATAGTGTGCCTTATCTCCCGCCCCCTGAATTAAAAATTAAAATAAACTAATAAACTTACCCAGAAGGCCACAGGGCAAGTATTCAAGTGTCATTGCTGATTTTCTGTGTTACCGAAAATCTTGGTCGCCCCACGATGGTAGGAAAGGAGCAGCGAGGGTTGTCATCTCCAGCGAGCCCCACTTTGAACATGGAAGAGCCATTGTCCAGCACCAGCGCCCCCCTCCCTTCTCCCCCCTCGTCCTCCTCATCCGACATTTCTGCAAAAGTCACATTCACTTTCCGCTTTTCTGTCCATTATAAACATGTATTTTATCGATATAAGAACACACAGCTCTGGAACAACACTTGTATGTTTTCATTTTTGGAAGTGCCTGCAACTCCCTCTGCTGCCACCAGAGGGAGTTGCAGGCAGATTGTTCACCCTTCACAGTTGTTTTTTTTTTAAGCCAATATTCAATTCTAATAAATATTTAAAAAAAACAATGGCATATAATTATTTGCAATTTTTTCATATCACTGACAGTTATCGTCTTCCATTAAATAGTTCTTTCATGAAATAAGAAAACATTTCCACCTCCTAAAGATACATAAACATGAAACTACTACGACACAACTGGCCAAACAGTTCACAATCACAACTTTGACAATGAGAATGAAGTTTTTTCAACAACAACAATATCATATTGAACTATTGTGTACAAAGTATATATTCTGAGTTTACATCTAAAACGTATATTACACTGGAATGGTGAAGCAAAGTTGAGTCTTCGCTGTTTCTCATTTTTCGTTCGGGACAAGAATCACGACATGGTGGACACAGGAAGCGAAGGTAAAGAGCTGGATCTGAATCAAAGAATCCAGAGAAGCACTGTCACACTGTAGAAAGAGTCTTTTGAAAGCTCCTTCAGTGAGTAAGGCAAGCTGGTTTATTGTACTTGTGTTAATCACGTGATAAGAAAAAAATGAACCCTTCGCACTTGTTTCACCATTGTTTTCTACTTACGATATCGTCATTGAAAAACATTAAATATATCAATATATTTTAATGGCCAAGAATAATGAACAGCATTTCTTATTTAAATAGTAAAAACATCTGTTAAAAGTGAAACAAACACTATGTTGACTATGAGATTTCATAACACTTTGAAGCAACTTTTGTTAAAGTTAAACTCATCATTCTATCAATGTGCAGAAGCCAGTACTTTTCCCTTGTTGTGTCTATCTGAAGGCCAAGCTACATGGCACCGTGGAAGCTGCTGATTGGAGGTCTCCATGCCTCCGCTCTGTATAATACACTTGCATTCTCTTGTATCTGTGATCGTGTGCTTTGTTCGTGCTGTCTCTACCATTGACAATAAAACATGTCTTCTGTCTGAATGAAAGACGCGATCCCAGACTTGGCACATCTTCTTCAGGTGGTGGAAGGATGCGGGCCTTGTCTGTAACATCTACAGAACAGAAGACTACTTTTTTTTTTTACACAAAAAGTGTTTTTTTTTTCAAGCCGAAACTGAAAAACCTCAAGAGAAACCATGCATCTGGATCAGCACATGGACAATCTGCACAGCCCCTGATTCCACTCAGGCTGTGAGCTGCTGAGACATGGACAATACCATCGTCCTCTTTTGGATGGACACCATTTGGAACAATTGGATTACACAATTTGGACATAATTTGGAACAATCTGGATTTCTGAATTTGGACATAATTTGGACTGAATTGGATTGCTGAATCTGGACACTGAAGCTGAAACGTGTGATTGAAAGACACGTCACAGAAGAATTCATGGCTCGACACAACAAATGCAGCCTGAAGAATCCAACACGGAGAAGTGGGAGAGACTGTTTTCAAAGCAATATCTGGAACCACCATCGACTGATGAAGTTTGGTATTTTACTGAAGATTGTTGACAAGTTTTATGAAAGATCTGAACATGTTTTATGAGTTTTCTGAGTTTTTGAAGTATTCCGAGTTTATGAGTTTTTGAAGTATTGAGTTATGATGTTATGTTGCTGTTTATCGATCCTGATGGTCACACGTGAATGTATGACCAGAGGGGGGAATATGAGATTTCATAACACTTTGAAGCAACTTTTGTTAAAGTTAAACTCATCATTCTATCAATGTGCAGAAGCCAGTACTTTTCCCTTGTTTTGTCTATCTGAAGGCCAAGCTACATGGCACCGTGGAAGCTGCTGATTGGAGGTCTCCATGCCTCCGCTCTGTATAATACACTTGCATTCTCTTGTATCTGTGATCGTGTGCTTTGTTCGTGCTGTCTCTACCATTGACAATAAAACATGTCTTCTGTCTGAATGAAAGACGCGATCCCAGACTATGTCATCTTCTTCATGACCTTTGGAGAAAAAAAAATAACAACATAAAAACACAGTAAGTGGTTTTGCATCCCCACAAACTGAACTGTCCTCTCCTGCTTTCCGGATACAATCTCCGGCTGTATAATAGAACACAGATCAATTCCTAAAGACACTGTTTGGTTTTTAACATCACCGCCTCTTGAAAGTCACAGTCAGTCTGTGGAAAACATCTCTTGGCTCTTGGTCCACAGAGAAAACTCACTGTAACAAATGGCGTCATCTGAATATATTCAATTAACTACAGAAGGAACATTTTACTCCATAAATTATGTATCTATTTGAATGTCGAGGTTAAAAAGATCCCACCTGTGTTTTACCTGAGCTGGTGTAGCAGGACCAGGTGGGGCAGGACCAGGTGGGGCAGGACCAGGTGGGGCAGGACCAGGAGGAGCAGATGCAGATGGAGCAGTGATGCTTGAGCACAGATTCTCGCTTTTATCCTCTCATCCTCATCCATATAAGGGCTGTCTGTGGAAACTCTCTGCTGATTTGCCAAGAACCACCTCAACCGGATTCTCCAGGTAGAAAAGGATTGTTAGAATTTTTTAAGTTTAACATATTTGAACATTTTTAAAAAGGGCCGTGACAATAATCCTAAAGTGATAAAAAGTACAAACACATATAGTAGAAAGAATCTAAACCTAACAACAACAGTATTGATAATAACATAATATATGTCATGTGACTGTTTTCGCTGTGGTTGTCTCTGCCTTTCCTTGAACCTTATAGACTTCTTTCATCTGCACCTGTGGACTCTCTGCACCTGTGGACTCTCTGTGGACTCTCTGCACCTGGACTCTCTGTGGACTCTCTGCACCTGTGGACTCTCTGCATCTGCGGACTCTCTGCACCTGTGGACTCTCTGCACCTGTGGACTCTCTGTGGACTCTCTGCACCTGTGGTCTCTCTGCATCTGCGGACTCTCTGCATCTGCGGACTCTCTGCATCTGCGGACTCTCTGCACCTGTGGACTCTCTGCATCTGCGGACTCTCTGCACCTGTGGACTCTCTGCACCTGTGGACTCTCTGTGGACTCTCTGCACCTGTGGTCTCTCTGCACCTGTGGACTCTCTGTGGACTCTCTGCACCTGTGGACTCTCTGCACTTGTGGACTCTCTGCACCTGTGGTCTCTCTGCCCCGCCCTCGTGCTGGACTCTTCACCCACATTGCGTAGATTGAGTCTGATGTGTGTGAGAGGTTGGTGGTGGTCAGAGGGGCCGATGGCACATACTGATACTCGCATACTTACTTATGTCAGTTTGCCCCAGGGCAGCCGTGGCTCCAGCAGTGGTTCATCACTAGTACTGTGTTTGGCGTGAAAGAACAAGGACATGTGAAGCGTCTTTAAGAATCAAAAAAGCGCAATATAAAAACGCCTGTTGTCTGTTCGTCAGTGTGAGCGGATCCCAGTCTCTGTTATTTAAGGCTTTACAAAATAAAATGAATTGAAAGTTCTGAAGAGGTTTTTTGAATCAGGTTATTCTACAATCTCTGCAGATTTACCTGAAAATGTATTTGCAAAGTATTTTTAATCAAACAGCTCAAATGTTCTCCAGAGGCATCACCTGAGCATTGTTTTGGTCAAATGCTTAAAAAAAGCCACCACCTTTCAGGATCTGAAAGCCGAAAAGATTATTAATAACATAAACTTATATTACAGCGAACTAAACTGTGTTACAATGGATCCTGGAAATGTTTATGTTTTTATTAAACCGTCTGGATTCATTTTGCTCTATAGAACTTACCCAAAATTACAACATTACTTTTCTCAGAGCAAATTCAAGAATTGTTTTGGCAGAACGTGACGATGGTGGATTTTTTCTCTAAATGCAAATCCAGCTTTTGTGAGAATGTTGCTTGTTCTTCACCTTTAGCGACTCGTACAGAGACAAAACCAGCCAAACTTGAGTTCCAGGATTGTTTAAAATGAACTATTATCAAGAGGAATGTGAATATTTACCTATGTTCAGCTAAAGTATTTCAACATTTGGTCAATTTGAAATTAGGAGCGTAAAAAGTTTTAGAATCAATAAATTAAATTTCCTTAGAGAACTACTGATATGATATTAAAAAGTAAATAAACCGAAATGAATAATTCTAAACTTTAGTGGTGTTTGGAGACTCAAAGATGCTTTACGTTGTATTGTTGATTCTCTCCATGTGACGGTGCTAAACTACACCTGGTGAAGTGTCTTGCCCAAGAACACAACCAGTGACATGCTGTCTCGAGGCGCAGGGGAGGCAATCATTGGAAAATACACTGAAATGGAAATCAGTCATAAACGTTAACATTTATCACTATATGTGCACTATTGATTCTCTCTAACTCAACATAGAAAGACAAGGTTATTAGTATAGCACAGTTCATACACAAGGCAACTCAAAGTGCTCAACGAAACAATATAGAAAACAACAGAAACCATTATTCTATACCTGTTTGGCTTAAAATGAATTGCGTTTCAATCACTGAGAGGACAAGTGCAGCTCTTTATGCTCATTTATGACAAAACATTTTACTGGTTGTGTGGTTTTATTTATTAATAGTTCCTCTTGAGCAAAAATATTTAAGTTGACATTCCTCCCTGACCAGACTCTCTGTCTTCTTCACCCAGATCCCTCCGGCGCCGCACATTCACGTGGCCAGAAGCAAAACTGGTTTAAAGAACACAAATTATGCAAAATCAGTCTCTCGTTAAACCCATCCCCAGTAAGTCTCTATAAAAATGACAGATTTTTGAATGCATTTTCATTTAATATTGAAAAAATACGATATTTGACAGCTATACTATCTTATATACATAAACATGTATACCAGTAATAATGAGGATTCCAATGCAAATTACACCATTGATCAATACTGTTCCAGCCACATATCACTCAGCATGCGACGTCACCATAGCAACACACAGAATGAGCACAAACAGTGAAGTTTGTAGTTTACATTGAACAGTTATCTTTAAAGATATGTATAATGTGGAAATAAATTGCTAAATAAGTTAAATATAGGAAAACCTTTTACTCTTCAGCGTTTGTGTCGTCATTTTGGTCATGGCAAAAGCTGCTAATGAGTTTTTGCTAGCCTTTAGCTCATGAAGTACACAGCTCTCAAACATGTGTATGACAACATATAATTATGTATTATTTGGTATGTTATGAGTGTTTTGACCATGGCAGAAGCAGTATAGATAGAGGTAAGGGCAGGGCTGGACTGGCCATCGGGCGTACCGGGCAATGCCAGAAGGGCCGATGCCCATATTTGGGCCGGTCTGTTTGCCTCATACAAAAACATTTTTTGTGAAAAGTGTAAATCCGTTGAGAATTATTCGAGGGAGCGCGCGTGTCCGCGGGCACCTGCTGTATGTACTCGAACGGGATTCTACCACCTCAGCGGCCGCAGTGTTCCGGCATCCAGCGGCTCTGAGCTGGACGCGGGAACTGCTCACCGGGAACCGCTCACAACATAACACGGTGAGCGCGTAGCCGCAACGTGACCAAATACCCAAGACCATAAACGCGCACAGGACCATGCGTGTCTTTGCGTAATTTGTGCACCCAATAAATACACCGCTGCAGGAAACAGTCCGTGTCTCCCCTCTCCTCTCGAAGTGCGACTAAATTAAAGCTCGGGTGCCTAAATTTTCCATTGCATTAAAAGTTCATGTTTGAGCCCAAAAGTAAAATGTTGTGAAAAAATTAAACAGATTTAGAGCCAGCCAATGGCTGACATTATGCATTTCAGTCTTTTTTGACCAATTCTCATCCCTGTAACAAACAACAGTGTTGTCTGTGTCCACCTCCCTCACTCTGAGACATGTTTATTACTCTCTTGTAATGTAGACTATTGCACTTTATTTTTTTGTTGAAACTGTAGACATCCTGATCCTCTACAGTATGCTTCCACATACTGTATAAACCAGGGGTCGGCAACCTTTAGTGCTCCTCCAGTGGCTCCTGAAAATGGAGTGGGAGGGCTATATTTTATTCCTATAGGAATCATATAATATTATATGTAATGCCTGGGCTTCGCCCAGGCATTACTCGTTGGAAAAGCAATAGGCCCTTACCCCGGTTGGGGCTCGGGCCTACATGTAATAAGACTGGACTAAGAACAAGACTGAACATTTGCTTTCAGTCAATGAGGAAGGACTGCTTCATGTTTGCGATGTAATAGGAAGTTTTGTTGCAACACGAGGAACAATGAAGCACTAAATACCGTTCACAGGGATTACGTGAAGGATTCTTTCATACAAAATCCGGAGCACCTTTTTCAGACTTCAAAAACCTCCGCAAAGACTGTGAAAGAAAAGGCCATTAAGGACATTCAGCTCCAGCAAACTTCAGCCTGTGACGTAATCGATATGAACAGACAGTGCAGGTGTGTGACCTTTGAGCCAAAAAGCAGATTTATTTATTGTATTTCTACAATTGCATGAAGGCAAAAAAATGGAAGTCAAAGTTGGTGCGTCATTCTCTCCAGGACACGCTGCAGTGAAAACACACATTTGATAATCATGAATGCTTATTATGTATTTGTAGTCTTTACTTGGTCATTTAGATAATAGGCTAATGTAGATACATTGTGTAACCTTCATATAAGCTTTATACAAGGCTGTTATTTTTTTGCGGCTCCAGACAGATGTTTTTAGTTTTTTTTGTCAAATATGGCTCTTTGAACCTTTTGAGTTGCCGATCCCTGGTATAAACAAACTGTAAAAAACGTGACAAAAATATGCCTGGGCCGGTAAGAAGGACAAAATGCCCGGGCCGTTTTTTTGTCCCAGTCCAGCCCTGGGTAAGGGTCAAAGAGCGAGGAGCTCTTTGACCCAGCTTGGCGTCACTATGGCGTCACCATAGTAACACACAGATTTACCACAAATAGTTACTTTACATTTGCATTATTAAGTCACTGTCAAAGGTCCGGAATACAGCTGCATGTTGTAGGAAAAAACGAAACCTGCTAAATGTTTGTTTTGCAGATGAGACGGCAGCGGTTGTTCCACGTGTCAGAGGCTCCTGTAGAGTTATGGCTGAGTGCGGCGGTGTGGTATTTACAAGGCTCTGGGGGCCGGGAGGGGGGGCTCCTGGGGGCCACCTGGACCTGGGCCAACGCTGCTCCTGCATGTTCCGCTGCAGTCTGTAATCATCACCACAGCATCATGCACACAGCACCGAGAGCAGACCACAGGAGGCCGGTGGTCACGGTGAGGCTCTCTGTTGTTTTTAAAGTGGTTTGTGCAACTCATTATTGTGCTGAAATATAATTTACTTTTGAACAACCTTAAGAATCTGCTCAGCAAAGTGTAGAGCAAGTTTATTTGTAGGAAACTGAGCTGTACACAAGAAAGCATACATCAAATACAAATATTTCCAGCAGGAGCCAGTCCCTGTGGTCCTCAGAGTCCCAGCAGGAGCCAGTCCCTGTGGTCCTCAGAGTCCCAGCAGGAGGCCAGTCCCTGTGCTCCTCAGAGTCCCAGCAGGAGGCCAGTCCCTGTGCTCCTCAGAGTTCCAGCAGGAGGCCAGTCCCTGTGCTCCTCAGAGTCACCGAGCTGTTTGAAACTTAATTTCTTTCTAATGACAATTGTTTTTTGTAAACAAACTCTTTACATCATCAATTATTTCATAGAAAGTTACATTAATAATGTTAAATGACTCAATGACACTTATGACACTTAAAATATTTTAGTCTCCTCATGTTTGATTAAATCTCTTTAAGTCACCTTCTGTTTGGCCCCGTGGGCAGGTGTCGCTTTGGGAGGAGGCTCACGACAAGACCTTCAAAAAAGTGTGTAGGGGCAGCTTAGCCACAGTCATTAAAAGTGGGAAAAGCCATTACAAGCTTAAAAGGTTCTATTGAATGTCTGGGAATGAGAACTATAGTCAGAGGAGTCCCATGGGGCGTGTCAGGACCTTTGCAGATCTTAGTCCCAATGCACTTCCTGGTACACAGCATTGATACAATATTAATGTGTGGAAATGATATAAAAGCACATTTATTTTGAACATCTTTAGTAAAATATGAATAAATGAGGCCTTCTCTAAACTTGCAGATGCTTTGTGCTTAATGGGCTGGAGGTTTGGACTGGGCCTGGTTTACAGCTGCCTCCTGCAGTCGCACACATCTGGGACACATGCCTCAGCCGCGGGACCGGCGTCTGCAAGTCTGACCCCTTCCACAAGGACCCCCCCCCCCCCCCCCTTTAAACATGGACCCCCCCCCATTAGACACGGACCCCCTTTAAATACGAGGTCCGCAGCAGCATCAGCGACAGTCCGACTGGAGCAGAGACATGGTCCGCCTGAGGATCCTCGCGTTCTGCCGTGAGTACAGTCCTGTCTGGGCCCAGGATCTAACTGGGAACTTTTATTCTGATCATTGATTATTGATTTGGACTTTTGTAATGATTTTTAAAGTTTTGGAGAAACAGTCTAATTTTGATCACATAAAATTACATTAAATTGAATATGGCTCACCAGACTCACCAGTATCAAAAAGCAACTCAAGAAAGTATATTCAATATTGGTCCATATTAATATTTTGAAGCTTGAGCATATGACAGAAGTGTACTTTAATTGGGTCTTATTAACCTGTCATTTTGTAAAGCCTTTTTGAGTGCATGATTTGTTATCACTATAATCATTATTACTGAGAAATATGAAAAATAGTGAGAAAAGTGTCTACAACAGCTGTAACTTCACACACTCCAACCTTAAACCATGTTATGATGTTTTCTTATTTACTAACTGAAGTATCCAGTGTGTACAGTGTGATCTTGATTTCTCCTTTTCGATAAACAATGTCTAAATGATCTCATATTGAGCAGCTTTCAAAATCTGTACATTGGGAGAATTTAAACCGTTTTTTACCACAGCTTGTAGGAGTTTTCTGAAGTATAACTGCATTTATTACTTATGCACAGAACAGAGTTGAGCAGAATGGTGTGTGACGTGTGTTTGTCTGTCCAGTTGTGGCCGCAGCCTGGTACCTGACCCCCGCGGCCGGTGAGTGCCCCGCTCTGTGTCATCGTCTGAACTTTATCACGTCTTGATTTCCAACAACATCCATATTATTTTGATTCACTATAATGTATGTATAACTTTGATGCCCCTCCACTGCTCCTTTATGTCGACCTCTGCTAATTTTCAACACTTGTCCATGAGAGGTTTTTAGGACATAAATACACACATTCAAAGTCACAGAATCACATTTGAAATTAATTAGGCAAGTTTATTTATATAGCACAGTTCACATGCAAGGCAAGTTTTTTTTTTACCCTTATTTCAAGCATACAATGAAAAAGTGTATATTATGTACAAGACTGAGAGGAAACCAAAGAGAAAGAGTGGGATGAAGTTGTTGATTCCTACCCGCTTTTAAAATTCAGGTGCTTAACCCAACGATGTAGAAACAAGGCGTTAAAATCATAAATAATCAGGGTACATGAACAAATAGTGAAGATACAATCCTTCACTTGTCTGCACAGATAAACAGAACTGTCTTTAACCTGGATTTGAGCTTTCTCAGAGTCACTGTCATCAAACATGTGAACAGCTCTGATCTCAGCCGCAGTTTCAGACGTCTGGTGAATATGCATACATCAGTTTGCAGTTTTAAATCAGTGGGAGGAGTGTCCCGCAGTCTGGCTCCATTAGAGGAAATACTGGACTGTGTAAAAGATGTTCTGGGATCCTAAACTGATGGGGATTAGAGACCACACAGTCCTCATTGTCTGAGGCTCTGCTGTCAGGTCTACCAGAGCCGTGACGTTGGACAGACCAGAGAAAAATATCTATTTCTGTGTAGTGGTTGCACATTGTGGTTTTGAGACTTGATTTTTGGTTTGTGTTTGGCAGAGGCTGAGGTGGTGTACGCCTGCCTCAACGACACCGCCACTATGGCCTGTGGTAAGAGCAAGTTCCCATCTATCTATCTACAGTATCTATCAATGTATGCATATGTATGTTTCCATCTATCTATCTATCAATCATCAATCTATGCATATATGTATGTTTCAATCTTTCTATCTATCTATGTATATATGTATGTTTCAATCTTTCTATCTATCTATGTACAGTATATATGTATGTTTCTATATATGTATCTATCTGTCTGTCTATTTATCCATCCAAATGTGTCTCTGTCTTCTGTGTTCTTCTATGTTAAGTTTATCTTATTCATGAAAAAGCTCTTGTGTATTTCTGTGATATTTTTAGTGGTAAAACACACATGCATACTCACAATGAGGGAAATGTATGTGCCAGTTATGGGTGATTTGATGTATAGTCCTAAATCACAACAGCAGTCGTCTCAATATAACATTGATTACAGTTTTTCTCAGTCGCTTTGGTGCATTTCTCACATCAGACTTAAAGTTCTCACAACTATTAGTTCAACCTCCACAAAATTGAGTCATGTGTGACATCATCGCAGCAGTTTCTCCTATGAACAGATTACAAATGCTTTTGGACGTGTATCATGGGTGGACTCATAGTGGGTCATTCACACTGCATTTCTGTATTTCTTGTCTCCACGTCCTTGTGCTCCTCAGAGGTGGGCACAAAGATCAAGCTGGAGCACATCTTGTACAAAGTGGGAGTGGGGACTCGCTGCGGTGATGGAAAACCTGAACCTGACGATGGTCCAGACACGTTCTGCACCTTCCCCTGGGCTGAGATGGTGGTGGAAGACCTGTAAGAGCAGTTTTTATTAATGTATTACTATTTACTGGTTTGAATGAGCTAAAGACAAAGACGTTTTCCAAAACACTTGGACTAATTCTGCAGGGGCATGATATCACCAGGAAATGAACAAACATGACACCAAGTAGATCCTGGACTCATGAATCTTGCCTTTACCCAATTCCTAACCCTCGTCCTAACACTAACCATAATGAACCGTAACCTCTAACTCCTAACCCTAACCCTACTCAAGCCCTAACGTGAAAAATTGATCCTGGACTGTTGATGACTTGGTGATATCAGATCATGCTTCTGCTAAAAGGGTACAAAGCTCAATCACTTGGGAGGAGCTCATAGTATAGCTGCTGCTCCTCCATGTTTCGAGGATGTCTAGAGGCCAGCTAGACAACGGCCACAGGAGAAGATCCAGGACTAGCTGGAAGGACTGTCTCTCAGCTGGCCTGGGATCAACTCGGGATTCCTGGGAAAGCCTTGGACACAGACTATATCGGCTGCCCCTGCGACCAGGCCCTGGATAAAGAGAGGGCAAAGAACTGGATGGGCAAGAATAACATCCATAAAATCTATATACATGTAAATACATAATTTTTTTACCATTCTGCACTAATGCATTATGACATTATACTGAGACAAACACCAACTGCTTGAAATTGCTTTGTTAGTTTGTAAGTATTCCTTTGATGATGTCATGGTGTTTGTCATCTGGGAAGAAGCTGCCCTCTAGTGGGAACACCAGGTACCACAGTGGTTCAGTTGCGGCTGTAAACACTTCAGCAAGTTTGAATAGACACTTTAGCCATGAACTGTTTGCCTCTCTTCGGTCAGTTGTGACCCAGGGCAGCTGTGGCTACGGTAGTCGTAGTTTATCCCCACAGTGTACGGAGCGAAAGAATAATGACGTGTGAAGCGTCTTTGAGTGTTAAAAAAGGGTTACATTGTATTAAACTGACGCAGTATCATTCATTATTAGACTTAGGATCTCAATGGCTATTTAGCAAGGGTGGCGCCACTTAGAATCACACTGGACCGTGATTGGCCCGCAGGCCGGACTTTGGACATGCGTGCTCAAACAGTCACATACCTTTGTTAGATGGATGGATTTCACTATTGACTTTGTGAAGTTTCGTTTAGATACTACGATGTTGGATTCTGATGTTTCTTCCTCTTCCGGAAATGTACCCATTGAGGGACCATTAAAAGTGTATCTTATCCTCCCTCCTCGTCCCTGTAGGTGTGCAGGCAAGCGCTCCTGCAGAGTCCCGGTCACAGAGTACGTGTTTGGGGAGTATCCGTGCAAAGAGGAGACCCGCTACCTGGAGGTGTCCTACAACTGTGCCAAACCTCCTCCTCCTCCTCCACCTCCTCCTCCCCCTCCAGAGCCCACCAAACCTGACTGTACGGACCCCTCCACGCGGCTGCTCACACAAACACATGCAGATGTTTAAAACGCATATGTTATAATCAAAAGTACATAGTGCAAAATCTAGGGTCAACGAGGGCTGGTGGAAAAGGAAGAAAGAAACGTCTGTGCAGATACTTCCTCTTCCCTGACCAATGAGGATGTCTGTCCCAGTATTAGTGGACATTCCTGTAACCATGGCTTCCAGCAGCCCTCTGGCCAATCACTGTCAGTTAGAACCATTTTAGTAACAGTACTAAAACAATATCTGGGACCGGTTTTAATGAGGCCAGTGGAAACACCCCCAATCGGAGTAGAGCAGAACAGAGCCGAGTAGAGTATTGTTGGGCCAAGTAGGGCTGGTGGAAACAGGGCTATACATTTTAATAAAATCTCTTAATATTCCCATAATATTTACTTATTCCAAATGATACACTCCAAGGACATGACGCTAAATAACCAGGCCCAGAACCTTTTTTTTAACAATGAATATTCAGTATACTACATTACACATGTATTTTCTGTTTTAACGTGACTAAAAATGACAAAACCATTGTACTCTTTCAACCGTCCTTTCTGTTCTCTGTTTCAGGCGTGGACAAAGCAGCTGCAGAGGAATAGCGTCACACAGATCACAACTCGACAAACATTCACTTTTGTACTGTGAAAATGTAAATGGAATAAAATACTCCATTTGTTTATCCATGTTTGATGCACACACAATAAAACAAAAGGCCTCTCTTTGTCTTTGTCTTTGTATAAGTCTAAATACAAAGTGATGCTGTTGAGTTGTGGAGAGTCATGATTAATATGAGGTCATGGGGAGGAAGTCATCTTTATTCGTATGCCGCATTTCACAGACCCAGGTCACACACAAGCGCTTTACAATGTTTTGAAGTATTGTTATTCTCTCCACACATACTGAATATGACCTGACAATCACCTTTCATTCTCTTTGTCTTTACATCCAGACCTATTGCACATGTTTTTAGTGGTAGGGGAAGCTGGAGCCCCCGGAGGAAACCTACGCAGACACAGAGAGACCATGCAAACTCCACACAGAAAGATTCTGTCTGTTGCTAGATACAAACCCAGGACTTTCTTGCCGTGAAGCACAAGCTAAACTGAAGAAGACTTACTCATGAATGAAATTTGATTTGTGCGAATCGTTTAAAGGGTACATATCATGAAAAATCAACTTTGTGTGCCTTAAATGCCTAATGTTGTGTAGTTGGAGAAGTGCAAAAAAGTTTAAATCAGTCTCTTCATGGGTTGCAGATAACACTTCATATTCTGTTTAGGTAAGATATTTCAACCCGTTCTGATTTTGCCATTCTCTATTACGTGTTTAGAATTATTACGTCACAGTATTTGCAGCGAGACTGCCATATAAGGGCATGGGCGTCTAACAAAACACTTCGGCCCAGCCCTCCTCTACTGCGCATCACTTCGAATTTGTAGTCCAAGCTCAAGGATGCCAGCGAACAGGGCTGGACTGGCCATCGGGCGTACCGGGCAATGCCCAAAGGGCCGATGCCCATATTTGGGCCGGTCTGTCTGCCTCATACAAAACACATGTTTATGAGAAGTGTAAATCCGTTGAGAATTGTTCGAGCGGGGCGCGCGTATCCGCGGGGCACCTGCTGTATGTACTCGAACGGGATTCCGCCGCAGTGTTCCGGGGCATCTGCGGCCGCTTTGCAGCCGCAGCCGCTCCACAGTGTTGCGGCTGAGCGCGCAGCCTCAACGTGACCATGTACCCAACCCCATACACGCGCACAGGACCATGCGTGTCTTTGAGTAATCTGTGCACCCAATAAATACACTGCTGCAGGAAACAGTCCGCGTCTCCCCTCTCCTCTCGAAGCGCGATTAAACGCCCTAAATAAAGCTCTGATACCTACATTTTGCATTGCATTAAAAGTTCATGTTTGAGCCCAAAAGTAATATGTTGTGAACAAATTAAACAGATTTAGAGCCAGCAAATGGCTGACAATATGCATTTCAGTCTTTTTTGACCAATTCTCATCCCTGTAACAAACAATAGTGTTGTCTGTGTCCACCTCCCTCACTCTGAGACATGTTTATTACTATCTTTAATGTAGACTATTGCATTTTATTTTATTGTTGAAACTGCACATATCCTGATCCTCTACAGTATTTGCTTCCACATACTGTATAAACTACTGTAGGAGTCGGCAACCTGCGGCTCCGGAGGCGCATGCGTCTCTTTCCTTCTGTACACTGTTAACCCGAAAGTTAATTGCACTCGAATGGTTTCAGCTCTAACCACTGATGGTAAATAATTTTCTCTGTAAAACTCAAATCATACAAGTGTGGCAGAGAGAACTCTTTGGTTGAAGTTGAAAGGACTTAAAGCAGCAGTAAGCGATTTGGTCGTTTCCGGCAGTTTCTTCTGCCTGAGCGAGTTAGTAGCCCCGCCCCCGTCTCCTCGTCACACCACATGAACGCGCATCGTCTTGGTGATGGCAGCAGCACGTTCATCTCCGTCGGGTCTACTCGTAAGTATATTAACAACAAACTCTGGGAGTGAAATATTAGCATAGAATAGCTCAGTTGTAACCTAGCTATAACACTGGAAGCAGCTTGGTGTTAGCTAGGATAGCATCACTAAGAAAGAGATAAAAACAATCCAGTCTTTTATAGAATAATACTGCTTTTATAGTTGGCACACTGATAACTGTTGTGATAAACATAATGTTGCAGATTGCAGTGTGACGTGTCTCAACATTATGCACTGTAACATCTGTTACAGTGCATATGTATTAGATGAATGTAATGCATATACATTACAACAACAAAGCTTTACATGAAGGTTATTTAAAGTAATACATTACTGCTTTCCTCACAATTTGTATATTTGGAGTTCTTTATAGACAACACTGTAGTAATGTATTATGTGAAAGTAAAGCTGCATCTCACTGGAAGCTGCCTTCTCAATGTCACAAAATAAAGATACATTTGATGTAATCAACATCTCCCCCCTTGGACTGCCACCTTAACGTGGTGGGGGAGTTTGAGCACTCGGATGATCCTGGGAGCTATGCTGTCTGGGGCTTCATGCCCCTGGTAGGGTCTCCCATGGCAGACAGGTCTCAAGTGACGAGTCAGACGAAGCGCAGTCCGAAGCCAACCATGGACAGCACGACAACAAAAACCGTGACGTCGCCCGGCATGGCGCAGCCGGGGCCCCACCCTGGAGCCAGGCCTGGGGTCGGGGCTCGCAAGCGAGCGCCTGGTGGCCGGGCCTTAGCCCACGGGGCCCGGCCGGGCTCAGCCCGAAGGGATGACGTGGGCAGTCCCTCCTGTGGGCTCACCACCTGCAGAGGGGTCCGTGATGGCGAGGTGCAGAGAGGACTGGGCAGCAGTCGAAGGCGGAGACCTCGACGACCCAGTCCACACACCCAACATCTGGCTCTTGGGACGTGGAACGTCACCTCACTGGGGGGGAAGGAGCCCGAGCTTGTGGGGGAGGTTGAGCGATACCGACTAGAGATAGTCGGCCTCACCTCCACACACAGCTTGGGCTCTGGAACCCAACTCCTTGAGAGGGGTTGGACGCTCCACTTTTCTGGTGTTTCCCGCGGGGAGAGGCGGCGAGCTGGGGTGGCCATACTCATTGCCCCCCATCTCAGCCGCCACGTGTTGGAGTTCTCCCCGGTGAATGAGAGGGTCGCGTCCCTCCGCCTCCGGGTGGGGGACAAGTCTCTCACTGTTGTGACGGCCTACGGGCCTAACGGTAGTGCAGAGTACCCGGCCTTCTTGGAGTCCTTGGGAGGGGTACTGGACAGTGCACCGCCCGGGGACTCCGTTATTCTCCTGGGGGACTTCAACGCCCATGTGGGAAATGCCAGTGACACTTGGAGAGGGGTGATCGGGAAGAGCGGCCCCCCTGATCTGAACCCGAGCGGTGTTCAGTTGTTGGACTTCTGTGCCAGTCACGGCCTGTCCATCACGAACACCATGTTCGAGCACAAGGGTGTCCATCAGTGCACGTGGCACCAGGACACCCTAGGCCGGAGGTCGATGATCGACTTTGTAGTCGTATCATCTGACCTTCGACCGCGTGTCTCGGACACTCGGGTGAAGAGAGGGGCGGAGCTGTCAACCGATCATCACCTGGTCGTGAGTTGGATCCGCTGGCAGGGCAGGAGGCCGGTCAGACCTGGCAGGCCCAAGCGTGTAGTGAGGGTTTGCTGGGAACGTCTCGCTGAGCCCCCTGTCAGACGGACTTTCAACTCACACCTCCGGGAGAGCTTCTCCCAGGTCCCGGCAGAGGAGGGGGACATCGAGTCCGAGTGGACCATGTTCTCTTCCTCTATCGCCAATGCGGCGGCTCGTAGCTGTGGTCGCAAGGTCTCTGGTGCTGGTCCCGGCGGCAATCCCCGAACCCGGTGGTGGACACCGGCAGTAAGGGATGCCGTCAGGCTGAAGAAGGAGTCCTATCGAGCAATGATGGTTCGTGGGACTCCTGAGGCAGCTGTCCAGTACCGGCAGGCCAAACGTGCCGCGGCCCGGGCTGTTGCAGAGGCAAAAACCCGGGACTGGGAGGAGTTCGGAGAGTCCATGGAGCATGACTATCGGTCGGCCTCGAAGAGGTTCTGGCAAACCGTCCGGCGCCTCAGGAGGGGGAAGCAGTTCTTTGCCAACACCGTGTATGGTGCGGGTGGAGGGCTGCTGACCTCGACTGGGGATATTGTCGGGCGGTGGAAGGAATACTTCGAGGTTCTCCTCAATCCCCCCGTCACGTCCCCCGTCCAGGAGGCAGAGGCTGAGGATGTTGGGGCGGATACTTCCATCTCCCTGGCCGAGGTCACCAAGGTGGTTGGCAGCCTCCATGGTGGCAAGGCGCCGGGAGTGGATGAGATCCGTCCTGACTATCTAAAGTCTCTGGATGTTGTAGGACTGTCTTGGCTGACACGTCTCTGCAACATCGCGTGGCGATCGGGGGCGGTGCCAATGGAGTGGCAGACCGGGGTGGTGGTCCCTCTCTACAAGAAGGGGGACCGGAGGGTGTGTTCCAATTATCGTGGGATCACACTCCTCAGCCTCCCCGGTAAGGTCTACTCCAAGGTACTGGAGAGGAGGCTTCGTCCGATGGTCGAATCTCGGATTCAGGAGGAGCAGTGTGGTTTTCGTCCCGGTCGCGGAACACTGGACCAGCTCTATACTCTCCATCGGATACTCGAGGGTTCATGGGAGTTCGCCCAACCTGTCCACATGTGCTTTGTGGATTTGGAGAAGGCGTTCGACCGCGTTCCCCGGGGTGTCCTTTGGGGGGTCCTCCGGGAGTACGGGGTCCGGGGTCCTCTGCTGAGGGCTGTTCGGTCCCTGTATGACCGGAGCCAGAGCTGTGTTCGCATTGCTGGCAGTAAGTCAGACCTGTTCCCGGTGCATGTTGGCCTCCGCCAAGGCTGCCCTTTGTCACCGGTTCTGTTCACTGTATTTATGGACAGAATCTCTAGGCGCAGCCAGGGGCCGGAGGGGGTCCGGTTCGGGAACCACAGGATTTCATCTCTACTTTTTGCGGATGATGTCGTCCTGCTGGCTCCAACGAACCAGGACCTGCAACATGCACTGGGACGGTTTGCAGCCGAGTGTGAAGCGGCTGGGATGAGAATCAGCACCTCCAAATCCGAGGCCATGGTGCTTGACCGGAAAAAGGTGCCTTGCCCTCTCCAGGTGGGTGGAGAGGTCCTTCCTCAAGTGGAGGAGTTCAAGTATCTCGGGGTCTTGTTCACGAGTGAGGGGAGGATGGAGCGTGAGATTGACAGGCGGATCGGTGCAGCGTGCGCAGTGATGCGGTCTCTGTATCGGACCGTTGTGGTAAAGAGGGAGCTGAGCCGAAAGGCAAAGCTCTCAATTTACCGGTCAATCTTCGTTCCCTCCCTCACCTATGGTCATGAGCTGTGGGTAATGACCGAAAGAACGAGATCGCGGATACAAGCGGTCCGAAATGAGCTTCCTCCGCAGAGTGGCTGGGCGCTCCCTTAGAGATAGGGTGAGGAGCTCGGTCACACGGGAGGAGCTCGGAGTAGAGCCGCTGCTTCTCCACGTCGAGAGGAACCAGTTGAGGTGGCTCGGGCATCTGTTCAGGATGCCTCCTGGACGCCTTCCTGGGGAGGTGTTCCGGGCACGTCCCACCGGGAGGAGGCCCCGGGGAAGACCCAGGACACGCTGGAGAGACTATGTCTCTCAGCTGGCCTGGGAACGCCTTGGGGTCCCCCCGGACGAGCTTGAGGAGGTGTGTGTGGATAGGGAAGTCTGGGCGTCTCTGCTTAGACTGCTGCCCCCGCGACCCGGCAACGGATAAAGCGGAAGAAAATGGATGGATGGATGGATGGATGGAACATCTGTATTATGTGCTTATTGTTCAGAGAATGAAGACAAAATCAAAGTGTATCAGAGCTGTACAGTGAGATGTGGGACTGAAAAACAATTCCAGTAAAGCTTGTCCGAAACGCAAAAGTACTGTCATAACTAATTACGTTACACTATTACACTGTAAGGAAACTCACCACTTTGAAAGAAAAGCTACAAGTAACAGAATATATAAAGTCATTTGTCATAACGGTTCTTTCAGGAAGCACTGAACGCCCTCTGTCCAGAGAAGCTGATGACCAGATCCTCCCAGACCTTTCCCTGGTGCGTCTGTGAAAGGTGCCAACAGACATTGAAAACGTGCTTTCCTCAGCGGCCCCCATGGTGCACGTCCTCAGCGGCCCCCATGGTGCACGTCCACTCTGCAGTTCTGAAATATGTTTGTAGTTGTACTATTTCAAAATAAAAAAAAATACATTCACCTCTTTCAATGTGCTTTGTTTTATAGTAGGAAAACAAATACAGTCTGTAACGAGTCTAAGAAACTTTATTATGTAAAAGAAGATTTGAAGTTATAGCCGGAAAAATATACACAATGTCCCTACTAAGACAAATAATTACAAGTGATGGTAAGGCAACGTTTGTGTTATCACTTTTTGCTCAAATGAATAACACTGTTATTATTCAGGTCCTTATCCATCGCTGCTGCAGCGAACACTATCAGAGATATCTAACAAAATTGTTAATCTTTTGTTGTAGTTTGTTTGAACACATTTCCTCAAAATAATTCATAAGCAGCCACGCACACACAGCCACAAGCACACACAGTCACAAGCACACACAGTCACAAGCACACACAGCCACAAGCACACACAGTCACAAGCACACACAGCCACAAGCACACACAGCCACAAGCACACACAGCCACAAGCACACACAGTCACAAGCACACACAGCCACAAGCACACACAGCCACAAGCACACACAGTCACAAGCACACACAGCCACAAGCACACACAGCCACAAGCACAGACAGCCACAAGCACAGACAGCCACAAGCACACACAGCCACAAGCACACACAGCCACAAGCACAGTCACACACAGTCACAAGCACAGTCACACACAGTCACAAGCACAGTCACACACAGTCACAAGCACAGTCACACACAGTCACAAGCACAGTCACACACAGTCACACACAGTCACACACAGCCACAAGCACACACAGCCACAAGCACACAAGCACACACGCACACACAGCCACACGCACACACAGCCACACACAGTCACAAGCACACACAGCCACAAGCACACACAGCCACACGCACACACAGCCACACGCACACACAGCCACACGCACACACAGCCACACGCACACACAGCCACACGCACACACAGCCACAAGCACACACAGCCACACGCACACACAGCCACACGCACACACAGCCACACGCACACACAGCCACACGCACACACAGCCACACGCACACACAGCCACACGCACACACAGCCACGCTTCAGGGGCCCAGGTTGAAGGAACTGGAGTCTTCCTCTGGCAGAGATTTTCCTTTGAAACATAATAGAAGAGACATCAGTTTTATCTACTCAAATATGACTTTGATATATTCATCATCAACAACATCAGTATTTATTGGTCACCAGGAGTGGCCCCTGATCCACAGGATCCTTGAACATGTTTATTTGGACTGTGCATTGTGAGAGAAAGACACTTACATCGGCTGTTTTGGGAGTCGAGTGATTATCTCACTCCTCTTGATTGTTGAAGAAACTCAGCGACAGTTTTGTCAACACTGACTCCTGGAACATGATGGATATTCATTTTGGACCTCAGGGCAGCAACACAACTGTAGGGATGAACGACACACACATCACAAAATCATTATCATAATCACTGCGTCCCATATACTGTATGCATTCACAACAACCTACATGACAAATGTGGGGTGTAAAGTCTTCCTCAGGAGATGACAATGGCCATTCTTCTAATTCTGGAAGCAAAGTCTTGTCTTCCCAGTCAATACTAGAGAAAGAAGAGGTCAGCAGAAAAGTATCTAGTCGTTATAGCATTGTTTTTTTTTTAATATAGTTATTTAACTTGCATTATGGAGGCTTTTGAACTCTTGTACATTGAAGACCTCATTCCAATTGATTTAGGCCATACTGGAAAAGATACAGAGAAAAGAATGCAATGAAGACATGTAAATTATTACAATGTCTATATTATATCATGCTCATAATTTATTTGGTAGTAGTCAGCAAGACTCTTACTTATTCTCAATACATAATAATAAAAATGTATGTAGTGGTCACGGAAGTTAGATTTCAGGTAAAGAGATATTGTTTTTATAACAATAAAACTAATATACAGAGTGCAAGTTGCAAAACTTAGTCATTGAAGAATGAAATGCAGACCTACATATATATATATATAGTGCAAGCAACTATGTTTATTGGCAAAAACAAACGATTCATACAGATCAGAAGTGTTCGTAGCAGCCACATCATATTCACAACTACAGACAGCTAATGCTAACAGCTAACGCTAATGCTAACGCTAATGCTAACAGCGAACGCTAATGCTAACAGCGAACGCTAATGCTAACAGCGAACGCTAATGCTAACAGCGAACGCTAATGCTAACAGCTAATGCTAATGCTAACAGCTAATGCTAATGCTAACAGCGAACGCTAATGCTAACACCACTTCACGGGGGAACTCTGGTGATATGGTCATTTAATTTTGTACATGCAGGGAACTAATAATTGACCGGAGTTTATGGATGGCTGAGGCTGGGCTAAGGCTTCGATGTTGTGTTGTCTGTTGTTGTTTCTCAAAGCTAAGCCAAGGTAATACGCAGTTATTGCCACAAAATGCGGCCGTATTTCTACAACAGCTGGGGATTTTTAACTAGCTAACTTGGTGAAAGCCCGCATTACAGTCTCAGGCAACAATATGTATAAATAATACAACTACTACTGCCACTACTGAGTAACATGCTCACCTGTTCAGTCGGAGAGAGGAATCCACGGAGCTAGAGGTCGCCAACATGAATGCAGCTGGTCACCATGTTGCTCCTACTTTTTGTCGTTCCTCTGTTTCTGGCGTTTTGCCTGTATTTAATAAATCCATTGTATTTCGTCTGCAGCAGCGCTGGAGGCGGCTTTTCCTTCTCCGCCATGTTTGTTTTGAAGAGTGCGCGTGCACACACGGGAGAAACCCCTTATAAGGCGTGCTCTCTCGTCATTGGATAAGCGCATAGGATGTGAGGTTTTTTTATTAAATATGTGGGAGAAGACTGGAAGGACTGAGAGATCCGTGTTTAGGTACAAACACTCTATATAAGTGATGGCTATTGGAATATATCAATATTTAAGACGTATATTAACACCCAAAAATCGCTTACTGCTGCTTTAAGTTGAAAGCACTTTCACTATCTTTAAGTTTACATAGCTCCTCCCATATTTGTCCCGGCTGCACTGGAACCAGGGACATGTCTGGGCAGAGTCGTTTGTTTGAATGTTTCAAGAATAAGCAGTTTATTCATGTTTTCCTCGGACTTGAACGTGTTTTTCCAGTCTGTAGTCAATGGAGCGCACCCTTCCTCAAGTCAAAGGTGAGTTAAATCTTTGTATTAAGTTATTTTTTTTCAATGTATTTTACATTATGCAGCTGCGCAAGCTAATGTAATCTCCTGAACATTTTGAGTATATTGTTTTTCTCCATTTTTAGACAAGGTTATTTTTTTGCACTTTTTATTATATACGGTACAAGGAGCCAGTCTCTGTCACTGAAGCTTGCACACGTGTTACACCGGACTCCAGTGACATAGCGACGTTAGCGATCTGCTTCCGTTCTTTTCCCACGGACGCTGGAGCAGAGAGGGGACCAGCAGGAGCAGAGAGGGGACCAGCAGGAGCAGAGAGGGGACCAGCAGGAGCAGAGAGGGGACCAGCAGGAGCAGAGAGGGGACCAGCAGGAGCAGAGAGGGGACCAGCAGGAGCAGAGAGGGGACCAGCAGGAGCAGAGAGGGGACCAGCAGGAGCAGAGAGGGGACCAGCAGGAGCAGAGAGGGGACCAGCAGGAGCAGAGAGGGGACCAGCAGGAGCAGAGAGGGGACCAGCAGGAGCAGAGAGGGGACCAGCTGGAGCAGAGAGGGGACCAGCAGGAGCCACGTGGAGAGTCTGCTCCAGCGCCCATGGGAAAAGCACAGCTAAGCTAAGCTAACTCTGGTGCTACTGCTGCAAACCAGAGAATCAAGTCTTTACTTTGAACTAAAGAGGGCGGTTAGTTCAGTGCGCGCACTTTCACTGTTAGTGTCATGGCTGTAAAGATTTATTTACTGTAAAGATAAGGTTACACAGACCTGTTGTGGGGTTTGGGTTATAGTTGCTCAAAGTAACACAAATTATTTTAAAATGTTCTTTCCTTTCTTTCAGAGCTGAAGTGGTCAAGCCGGATTGTTCAGGGGTGACTGAATGCCAGGTTTGTTTGTTTATTGTAAATCTTGTGTTATATTTTTGAAAGTAATAATTGGGGCTTGTTTAAAGGTCAACTCGGAATTCAACATAACTACTGGAAAAACGTCCATTGGAGAATTATTTACTTCTCTGGATGGTTTCTACCTTGGCTTTGAAGAGGTTTTCACCAGAAGGACAGAATATGAAGGCAAACATTCAAAAGCAAAAGGTGAGTTGGCCTCATAATTTAATCTTGGTACAACATGTCTCTTCTCATGATTAGAACTGGTAAACATCTGTTTTAACTATTTGCAGAGCATGTAACTATCAGCTGATGTTCGGACCATACAGAGGGCTTCCTGTTCTTCTCGGGGACAATGCTTTTAAGTTCAACACAAGTCACAAAGTAAGTAATGTTTGAATGTTCAAATTATACTTTTTCTTTTACTGGTTGATGTGTTTTACAATTCTAAAACATAAAAAAAGCAGATACAACCCAAAACACATATTAGGATGTTTTCACACATGTGAATGTGCTTCCTGGGAAAGATTATAGGAAAGAACCGCCCTCTCCATTTTTTTAACAAAACTCTGGTCTTATTTGACGAGCACAAATGACAAGAATGATTGACAATTGGAAGGACCAGTACTTCTCCACAAACGGGTTACTCACTGTTTCTTCTTGTTTCCCCTTTGCAGAATGCTGCTGATGGTGACCCACATCCCCATAGAAATCATAATCAATGGTGAAAATTCCAAGTCCAGAGCAAGTTGGCATCCTTCTGGATTCTGCAGTCTTCCTTTGGGAAAAGTGTCTCCTGTTTGGACTGACTTACGCACATCACTTGGAGAACCATAAGTGCCTGAACGAATTCTGGGACAAAGCCATTTTGAATAAAATTGCTTTTAAAAAAACTGCCTTTTCTGGTCATTAGCATGTCCTTTGATATCGAGGTATTGAGTGTGTTTGCCTTAACATTTTAAGTTAGTTTTAATTAAATTAATGAGCTTTAAAGTAGTACTAAGCAAACATTTGAGTTTTCTAATATTGACACTATTTAAACAATTGAGTTTTATATTGGTACTTCCCTTAATAAGTTAAGTTAATTATACTTAAACAAATTAGTTTTGAATACTTAAACACATTAACTGGCTATGAATCCATATACTAATTTGTGAAATGTTTTACTTTTGAGTTTACTCTACTCAATCAATTATTTTTTAGTTTTGGGTCAGTTACTCAAACCATTTGAAGGGAATCGGTTTCCTCAAACGATTTAAGTGTATTGAACTTATCCGGGTTTACAGTGTAGAAGGAAAAACGTTCTTAACGTTTTTAAATGCTGTAAAATTGTGCATAAGTAAGATTCCATTTAAACATTTCTGTTCAACGTAGTGTGTCATATCCTGCAACGTAGGCCCGCGCCAGGCGGCCGCTGTTGTAAACAAACCGGCGTGTGAACATCATAGACTGTGCGCATGGATCCCAAAGCTAAAAAGAGAAGAGTCATTTTGCAAAGTGGGTCAAGATTTTATATAATTCCCCAACCGCAGCCGTCCTGACCAACGGACTGAGATCTAGCAACTTCCCTCTTAACCGAGGCAATAGGCAGGGAGATCCCCTTAGCCCGCTGCTCTTTGATATTGCTATCGAGCCATTAGCTCAGGCAGTGAGGCAGAATGCCCTTATATCTGGTATTTTAGTTGCTGGGAGGGAACATAAAATTTCACTATATGCTGACGATGTTTTGATATTCTTGTCCCTTCCTGAATCTTCTATTCCCTGCCTGACTAAATTAATCTCGTCATTTGGTGCCTTCTCAGGATACAAAGTCAACCTAGCAAAATCTGAAGCCATGCCACTGGGTTTGTCGGTCTCTGTCCCGGTCCTGGCAGAGCCCTTTCCTTTTCGATGGTCCCCCTCTGGTTTCATTTACTTGGGAGTGCATATAACGCCTACATATGAGCAGCTGTACAAATCCAATTTCCCCCCACTTCTGGACACCATAAAAGCAGACTTAGACCGCTGGGCCCCTCTGCCCCTTTCCTGGCTGGGTAGAATTGCCCTTATCAAAATGAATATTCTGCCAAGACTGTTATATCCACTGCAAATGATCCCTATTTTACTATCAAACAAGGTTATTAAGGTGCTGGAAGGCTGGCTGAGTGCCTTTATCTGGAACAAAAGGAAGCCCCGACTTAAAATGGCAAAACTTCAAATGGCCAGTTCTGATGGCGGTTTAGATGTTCCTAATCTAAGACTTTATCAGCTGGCAGTACACCTTCGAGTGATGGCTGATTGGCTTAAACAGGATCCAGCCTCCATTTGGCTTGATATTGAATCGTCCCAATCCATTCTCCCCCCGTTTAGTTTACTCTTTATGAATAATCCTGATGGATTGAAGAAATGCTGTTCTAATCCTATCACTCTAAGCACAGTTAAGGCTTGGAGATCTATTCGTACTTTAGAAGGTCGTGCTCACCTAACATCCCCTCTTACACCTATTTTGTTTGGCCCAGACTTCTTGCCTGGCCGCCAGGGCCAGGGTTTTAAATCTTGGCATGCTTGTGGGCTGAAAAAACTGGGAGACCTGTTCATTAATCGGACTATGCTCTCCTTTCAGCAGCTCCAGCAACAATATGGTTTACAAAAGGGTGAGTTCTTTAGATTTCTACAAATAAGGCACTTTGTTATGACAGATACCACTCTAACGACCAACAGTGTGGTTTCTCCTGTGGAAAGTGCTTTGTCTTCTCAGATATCTAAAAAACATATTAGTACTTTTTACAAAGTGCTTACTTCCAACCTGCCCCTCACCTCCCAGCCTACTAAGGAGGCCTGGGAGAGAGACCTGGGTGTCTCTATAGACGAATCAGCCTGGCGGGAAGTATGGGCTCATGCTGCGAATATATCAGTTTGTAATCGAGCTAAATCTATTCAGTTTAGAATCTTACATCGTGTACACTATACACCTGTGCTCAAAAACAAAATGGACTCTAGCATCCCCCCATTGTGTTGGAAGTGTAAGACTGACATTGGCGATTATATTCACTGTTTTTGGTCCTGTGCAAAGTTACAACGCTACTGGACTGATATTGTGAATGAACTGTCCAATATATTCCGCAAGCCAATACTGCTGGACCCTGTTTGCCTTATTTTGGGCCGCCCTGATATCCATATTACAGACAGCAAACAGAAGAGGCTGTTTAAAATACTGACTTTTGCTGCTAGGAAGAACATATTGCTACTTTGGGGAAAGGATTCCGTCCCCACAAAGAAGTCATGGCACAAACTCATAATGGACTCCATCCCGAATGAGTACATTACATGTATGCTTCACTCGACATTGGACACTTTCCATAAAGTCTGGGATTCGTACTTGAAATATATTGGGCCTATATTATCTTCCCCCATTACAAGGTTATTCTGATTCAGTCTTATCAGTCTATGTTAAGTCAACTGGGACTTCCAGTCAACTGAAGGATTTGCTACCTGGGTACCTTTACTTTATCTTTTTATATATTATTATTTTATTTTTATTTTTTGTCAGTGGTTCCTGTGTATTTCATGTAGGAGTGGGGTCTGGGGGGTGTGGAGATGCCAAATTGTATTATCTCCTTTTTATTTTAAATCTATGTTGTCCTGTAGTGCCTGAGCTGTTTGTGTTTTCTGTTTGTTTTAAAGGAAAAATCCAATAAAAATATTGTACAAAAAAAAAAAAAAGAGAAGAGTCGATTTTAAGACTGGACTAAGAGTGAAACTTAACATTTGCTTTCAGTCAATGAGGAAGGACTGCTTCATGTTTACGATGTAATGAGAAGTTTCTATGAGATAATTGTATCTGTGCTTAGTAACTACAAAAATGGCCACTCGGGGTGGAGTTGAACCTGTGTCACCTGGATGGGGACGTGGTCAAAAGCGCCTCATTTGCATTTAAAGAGACAGCACCAAAACAGGTTGCTCTCAGACGCACCTTAGAACAGGTGTAGAAGAAAGGCCCGTGGAGCTACAAATAATGAGACTCAGACCCAGGCATTGCAGTTATGCTTTATATAGGTCACAAATTAATGATTTAGATGTAAAAATCTATTATTTGAAAACACGATATGTCCACTTTAACACAGTACTTTGAAAATACTTCTACGTTATAGTAGAAATACTTGTGGTAATTAGTCAAAGTGACAAATCAGAGACAGGATTCTAAAACATAAAAGCCAAACCAGCTACAGGGCCTTACCATTAGACATAGTACATATAATATAATGCACATATTTGTACATTATTATTGTGAACTCACATGGTTCTGACGTGGCCCAGACATGACTAAAGTATGATTCATTTGGTCTATGTGCTTCTTCATGATATTGATGATGATGAGTTGCAAAGTAGTAGTAAGTAGGGCGATAGTAGCTCAGTTGGTAGAGCATTGGCCTTTGGGCCTGAAGGTCGTGGGTTCGAGCCCACCGTAAGACCTACTTCACGACTCCCACTGATGACTGCTGTCGTTGTGTCCTTGGGCAAGACACTTAACCCCACTTTGCCCAAAGCCCCAACTGAAAGATCTCAGCTCCTGTGGACTCACCACCTGCAGGAGGACCAGTGAGGGGCTGGTGCTATGTGTACTGGGTCCAGCTCTGACTGCCACCCCCCCGACCCAGAAATGGATTAAGGGGAAGAAAATGGATGGATGGAGTTGCAAAGTGTGATGTATGGCAAATCATCTTCTCAAAGTTTTGATTGAATGATTGTATTAATTAGAGCAGAAATGATACGTTCATAAGATGTTACAACATTTCTGTTCTTTTGTTTATGGAGATACTTTTATATATTGTTCTGTTGCTAACTGCGCTTACAGTAAATACTTACACATGCAAATATAAATACATAAGCATACAATCAAGCAACAGTATCTGCCATAGTTTCTCCATGTGTTGGGATATTTACTCTTTCAATATGTATTTATTAACAGATGTATTTCTATATACAATTTGTCAGCTTGAAATGTAGTGGGAAAGAAGTAGACTTAACTTGTTACTTGTAGATTGGGTTAGCAACTTTATGTCCATGAACACAAAGAAACTTACCCAACACTATGCATGATAGAAAGGTAGGTCACAGGAGTAACCATAGCAACAGTCTCCTCTCACTGCGCTTCTGAACAGGACATTTTTAAAGATCCTACAAAATGTGTCTTATGTGCGCAACTATCAATGGACCCACATTTATGTTATTATGACAGTAATATTATATATAGATACATAATTAATAATAATTATATATATATATATATATATATATATATATATATATATATATATATATATATATATATATATTGCTAACGAGAGTACTCTGGATATAATCATGTTGAATTGCATAAGAATAACACGATGAGAGTCCATCTGAAGCTCAACTTGAAAATATAATATAAATCTTAGGCTGGATAAGTATGGATTGGAGTGTAAGTTTCTAATTCTGTTGTCGTTCCGAGAAATCGAAAGTGAAAGAATCGGCGGAGGGGCGCGTGCTTCTTCCTGCTTCTCTCCCGGTGCGTCAGTGTTCGTGTGGCCGACCAGAGTGAGCTGTCAGCGGAATGGAGGAGTGGGCTGTGGTCGTGGACGGGGACTGGGCTCCGGAGCAGAACAAAACCGTGAAGAACAAACTTCTCAAACACTTCCTGAGCGAGAGGAAAGCCGGCGGCGGAGAGTGCAGCGTGAGCACCGAGGACGGGAAAGCCAGGGCCCGTGTGCTGTTCAGGTCCCGCGAAGGTAAATGTTATACAAACAGATATAACAACAGTCAAAATATATTGGGGTTTTCTTAAGTTACTAATGACAAACAGACGGAGTGTTGTGGGTATAATTGAGGAGAGTATCACATTACAACATATCAAAGTATGAGACCAGCTCCAGTTTTGTGACGTCAGCATACTTTGATACTTTACTTAACAAAACTAATGTGGACAAAAACAATATGCAGTGGTTGTGTACACGTGTATAGCTATTATAAATATTGAAACCTATTGTATTATTTGACATACAATAATATTTAGTGTGGTGTTTTCGTCAAAATTGTGTAGGCAGGTCAAGTTCAAGCCTCACTACCATTTCCCAATCTGTTTAATTGTAGGGGACCTTATATGGTGAATAGATTATTAACATATAGGCTTAAATATGAAAAGGTTGTGGTGGACAACATAAATGCACTTTTGTCAACACATTGCATAACCTTTTATTACCATTCTCGACCCTGGTTAGTTAGTAGACTGTTTAATATCGACTAGTGACAGATTTGGCATTATTTTCTACAACCCGAAGGTCAGCAGTACCCAGGTTTAGAAATCTGTGATCTGAATTGAGTTTCACTTTCATCCTGTTTTAGTGCAGGCCCGAGCAGGCCTCTTTAAAATGGATGGTGAGCAAATGTATTCTTTTTACTTGATACACAGAGTCTGATGGGTGTTTCCTGTTTTAGAGGTTGGTGAGTTGTGAGCAAAGGTGGAGCTAATAAAGTCCTGGTTGGAAATAAGTGAAGTGACCCACTGCTTCAGTCTCAGAACTTGTGTCCACGCCTGTCACAGTGTACAGGATGTGTGTGAAATGCCGTGTTTTTGTTTGTTTATCAGTGAGGGACCGTGTGCTGTCCATACAGAACCATGAGATCACTGTGGACCAGAGGAGAGTGGCGCTGAGGCTCAGTGTGGAGGCTCTCTCACCGGTGAGAAACAGAGAAACACAGTCCACTCCTCGCTTGTACTGTCACAATCCTACCATAAGTAATAACATTCATGCATTCGTCTCATACAGTCTTACCAGACGCACAATTTTAATTGTTATTATTATGACACATGATGGAAATATCTAGCCTCTACTGTGGCCACACCTGTCCTGTGGAAGAATGACGTGAGACAGACAGTGCTCTATCTGCCCCCTGTGAACAAACAGATAAACTCTCATCTGTATGAAAAGACTGCAGGTGCATTGTTCACTTTGAGAGGACCATGGTCAGATTCCAATAATAGACTATGATGCCTTTGACACCACCTTCATGTGAAGTATCAGTATCAGGTACTGTCAGACATCAGGCGATAAGCAGCAGGGCCTGGTTAGTACGTTGTGTCCATAGGCAAGACACTTCACCCACATTGCCTCGAAGGAGTCTGGTGTGTGGCCGATGGCAAATACTGGTTGCCTCGCTTCTGTCTGTGTGCCCCAGGGCAGCTGTGGCTACAGTAGTAGTTTATCACCACCGTGTGTAGTGAAAGAATAATAAAACGTGAAGCCTCTTTAAGTGATGTAAAAGCACTGTATAAAACTGATGCATTTGTATTATTATTATTATTACTGTGATGGGAGACCTGGGAATACCAGGTGCCACAGTGGGGTGGCTGTAAAGTGTCAAACTTGTGTCTTTAGGCACTTCACCCACATTGACTAAGTATGAGTCAGGTGTGTGAGTGACAGGTGGTGGTTGGTGGGGCTGATGCAAGCCCCGGTGATCCAAGATGGCGTCCTATTCAAATGAATGGCTTGTGCTCAGTAGCGCATGGGACTTCACGGAGCCCGGGAGCTTAGCTTAACTCGCCTATATTTGGGCATCGTCTGGTCCTCCCGGTTCTGCGCAGTGGACGAGCTCCCATGATGCGTTGCGCCAAATACGCGTGTGTGGCTTTCATCCTCCCGCCCCTCTGTGGCTTTGCACAGAGGGGCTCGGCCGCGCTCTGACCAATCAGAGCTGCTCATCAGAGCAGCAGCAGAGCGGAGTCAGAGTGGGAAGGAGAGGAGCAGAGTTTGTGGCAGTAAAGTGTGGATTTAAAGAAAACAGAAGGATTTATAAAGAAAAAAAGTTCAGGATGACAAGGGACACAAAAATCGCCACAAAATCCGATATTTCTTAAAGCTGTCTCTGTCAGCTGAGGTCGAGCTGTTTTAATTTACATTTAGAACAATGTTGTTGTCTTTCTGAATTTAGTTTGCAGTACCACGGGCGCCCCCTGTGCCCATGGGTGGGACAGCTATAAGCTAGTAATACCCTATCCAGTTATTATTATAGATCCATGGACTGATGGCACAGACTGCCAGGGGCTTTGCTTCTGTTTTCCCCAGGGCAAATATGGCTACAGTGCTATTGTACCACTACCGTGTTTCGTGTCTCTTATAGTCTCTCTCTCTCATTATTTACTTGTGTTTCTGGTCTACTTTTCAAATGTAGATCATAAAGGTATTAGTATGACAGAAGTAGAAGTACTTCCTGGATGAGATAAAAGGGACAGGAGCTCAGCTCAGTTATAACACAGCTGGAGTTTGGACTGTGGCAAGTCGAGTTTGACACCTGGAAAAACTGGATCAGCTGCAAAACCAGAGGCACACCAAGAACTGACACAAAAAAACACTACAGTACACTACTGCTGCTGCTGTTAGTGATGCTGGAGCTTATATAACAGCTTAAAATGGATGTTTGTGGACATAAAACCCTTTTTCTCAAAGCAGAAATCTGAAATTGTAAATATTCAAAATAACATTTCCATAACCTCTCCTTCTGTATCACTCTCCCCTTTTACAGTGGACACTCAAAGGCTCCACTCGGAGCACACATGAAGTTTAGCAGGGAGAAAGATTAGCAAGGTTTTTTCATTCAGCAAAAAAGCCTGAGCAATGCAGAAAATCATCTGTGTCACAATATGAATGCAGAACAAAGTAAACAGTGGTTGTCTTGTTATTTTCAAAGGTTTTTGTTCATTCATTAATCATTGGTACATTTTTCCTCAGATTCAAACACACTCATGCAGTGATCCAGGTAAAACCACATTTACTTATAATGACGTGTGACCGTCTCTAACCGTTTTATTTTTAGATCCACAGAAAAGTGAGTCTCAGCCTCAAAGGAATGAAGATCTGGCCCAACAGTTAAAACCAGGTGATGATAACAATAATACATTACTCTTTTATCATATTTTTGCTCCGTACCACATGCACTAATCCTATGGAGAGAAGATGTACTTAAAACATGTTCCAAAGGTTTCCTCGTGTTTGGAAACATAAATAAATAAAATACTTTATTTAGCTCTTGTTTTATAAATCATTGTACATTTACTAGTCAAGTTCTCATTCCCGTCCAGCCCACTAGTCAAAACAACAATCATACAACTTAGCCTGTCTGTCTGTCTGTCTGTCTGTCTGTCTGTATGTATATAGGTGTTAGTGTCACTCCCGTATTCGTCCCGGAAACCGGATTCGTCCGGAAGTTCAGTTTGATCCATTGATCATACGCAGCAGTAGATTACGTCACGGAATCTGGACGGAAGCGGAAGTAAATGTAAAAAAACTACCTATTCATGCCTAAACTTAACCAGCCATTCCCATAAAATAACCCCAACCCAGCCTTAACCCTAAACTTAACCATCTTAATCAGACGCCTAAACTTAACCAGTCACCACTTAAGGACATATTCAATTTTTTGACATGCGCAAACTGAACTTCCGGACGAATCCGGTTTCCGGGACGAATACGGGAGTGACAGTTAGTGTGAATAATTATGGACAGCTGCAGCTGTAGAGATGACCCTGTTTTCCCTGTGTTCTCAGACTGTGCTCCCTCTGCTGGACTGGAGGCTGGCTGCAGTGTGTCTTTGGCCCCGTTGACTGAGAAGCTGACCAGAGACCTGCTGTGTATTCTGGTAGAGAACGTCTGTGGTTTAGATGAAAGAGAATTTGACCTAGAGCTGATCTGGGACTGTAGCATTGCCGTGGTAACCTTCAAGAATAACACAGGTAAAAAAATCACCCAATGCAGTCTTTCCCATCCGGAGCTACACTGGATAAAGTGATGAAAAATAAGTCATACATTGCTCGAATTTACCACTTAGCAACCACCAACCCGCCGGCGGGCTGTTTTTATGTTTTTAAATGTTCTGCTGGCAATAGCAGATGTATTTTGAACACCAAACCCCAAAAGCTGTATATCATTTTAAAGCTTATTTTCTTATCTACATTTACATACAAGTGTAAACTACATCAGACTTTGCATTCAAAAGATATAACACATAATGTGGGCACAAAATAAATCAATTCGGAAATAGTTCTTTACCTTTGAGCTTGTGCTGTACAAATAAATCAGCTCTCCTCCCAGCTTGCTATGGCTTATTCTCTTCATAACTGTCCATGGAAAACGTAAATCCACTTGTGTTTCCCAAAGTATAATCCATTGTGCAGAAATCATCCAAAAACAAGCATTTATTTTTAGCGAGAAAAAAAAATTGAAACAGCGCGGACGCAGCTTGTCACTGTTTACGGAAATGCAGCTTTGCCTTTCCCACACAAAGAGGGTATGCTTGTGTTCCTCACCTTGTTAGCTACACAATGAGACTATCCCCGAAGAGATAGGTGCTTGATTTCGTTCGCTACGTCTCTGTGAGTAAAACAAGCGACTCCCTTTTACGCACGGGCACGTTCTGTTTGTTGTAAGCTGGGCAGGGAGGGGCACGTGCTAGACCCGAATGAATGACATGGCCGTGTAGCCAATGAGGAAAGCTTTCTAGTGATGGGTGGGACTTGTTGACTTGTCTTTTGGAATGGTCACATAACAGCGTGCGTAAAGAGGAAAAGACGCTCATTGGAGACTAGCGCTCATAAGTCTACCACTTTTACGCAGCGTCTTTGCACTACTGTGTTGGCTTTTTTCGACCAAAATCATGCCGAAATCGAAGGAAAAGACCACCAAGAAGTTCACACTGGATGAAGCACTTGCTCTGATTTTGGATTCATCATCAGAGGACAGTGAATTTGACGAAAATGAACAAGAAATGTACGAAGATGGAATGGATCCATTGTTAGATGGGTAAGAAAAACTAATGAAAACATTGTTTTTACCTTGAATACTAAAGCTTATGTTATATGATATAATTCATCTTTGCAAAAAACATAATGCATAATTATAATTTATTATAATACATGCTTTATTACCATTTAGCAATGAATTCTATGTTTATTGGAGAATAAAGACAAAATAATAAACAGGAAAACAATTTTACGTAAAATAATTCATTATTGTACATAATAATGTAGAAAGGAAAATCCTACTTTGTGAATACAGTGTAGTCTAACTTCTTTTCAAACAAGGTACAAGTTATCAGTCATATAGATATACATAAACATATGTATTGTGCAGGTTCAAGATAAATAGATACAATTGGATAAAAAAACATTCAATGACATAGCTATGCCACTAGCATAATATTATCAATATTGCTAATTGTTTAAATAAATGCAAGTGTACTAAGTGTTTGTGCTATATTTTTTTCATAGAACCAGTGCAGACAGTGGAGATGAGTGGGAACCTCCGGCAAAGTTGAAGTTGGGATCATCGGCAACTTCACACCCATCCCCCCAATTCACACCTTTGCCTAACACCTCTGACGATGCTCCAACAACTTCTACAGTTAGAAGGGGGAGGGGGAGAGCAAGGAGCATACCCATTGTGATCGCTCCAACAACTTCTACAACAGTTAGAAGAGGGAGGGGGAGAGCAAGAGGCAGAGGTAACCCTAAACGAGCAGCTGTTTCTCCCTCTCTGCATCATGGACGTACAGAACACTGGAGAAATGTTGAAGAACTGGACACTGTTCCCAGACAATTTCCATTCAAACCTGCAAGAGAACCTGGACCCCAGACCAGGAGTAGACGAGATTCAACGGTCATGGATTTCTTCAGGATGTTCTTCACCGATATTATTCTGGCTACACTGCTGGATAATATGAATGCATTTGGCTGCCACAAACATGAAAATTGGACTGCAGTTACCCTGGCAGACTTGTATTCCTTCTTGTCGGTGGTCATTTATATGGGAATTGTCAAGCTTCCTACAATATATTCTTACTGGAGACAGCACAACTTATACAACATTCCCTTCCCTTCCTCTGCCATTTCGAGAAACAAGTTCTTGCATATGTGCCAGTCACTATGATGCCATTTTTTGTAGTTTTGTTGGTACTCTTTGCACATATTGTTTGCACTAAAGTTTTTTGGTTTTATATACTTTCTTTATACAAAATAAACAGTGTTCATTCAATTTGTTGTATTTTGTATTTCTATATGCATTTACAGTACAAAAAAATGAACTTTGAAAAAATGTAAAAAAAATCACATATTTTAGTAGTTCATAAGTACCACAACAAAAATATAAGGTTTTTAGGCTGATTGAGGACATAAAATGTCTGTAAAACCATTTGGCACAATTTGGCACAAACTGTGCCAAATTGGTTCCGAATGGCACTACTTCATGAAAAAGAGAGACTGCATAAAAACTATAACAGCTAGAAGTCTGAAACTTTAGACAGTTGTTGCCAACAACACAATGACCATAGGGTTTGAACATTGTGAGCATACAATGAAGTATGCCTTTGTTAGGGCCTTTAGAAATTGATTTTTTTAGGCGAGGCTAAAAAAACAGTTTTTTTTTCCAAACTTCAGAGGATGCAGAGTGAAATAGGAATGACATACATTATTTTAGTTTATATTTACATAAACTAGAAGGCTCTAGCTTTAAAATGATGCATCACACAAGCATGTGAAATGTAAGATGTGTTTTTAAATAAGCAAAGACATTTGGGTATGCCCAACCATTGTGCACGAGCCAAAATGAGGCGGTTGTTAAGAGGTTAAATAAATCTTAATGTGAGCACATTTTGACTGCCTTAAAACAAGGTTTGCCATTATCTCCATTGGAATGGAAAATCATCATCATCTCTTGAAATAACACAAAATGGCTTTGTCCCATTGGCAAATCTTTAAGAAAATCTTTAAGAAATAATAACTTTATTCAAGCAATTATTGCCTCATATTTCATCATTTTTTGCAGTGATAAATAGGAATATAAACAAATAGGAATATGCAGGGGGTATTACTGGGCAGATTTTCAAATCTTACAATTATCATTACACATCATTTTAAAGCTAATTATCTCTAGTTAACAACATACAGATGATTCTATTATAGCTATTAAAATGAACTCCAGGCATATCGCTCAAAGGAGCTGAGCATTTTCAGACTCATGGAAAACTCATATAATCTAATTTATGAAAAGAAAAGGGAAAAGGGCACGGTCCTTATACACAGGGCTGGCTGGACATTTATGGGGTTAAATACACACATGCACATAGTGGACTTTTACCTGTTTGTGTTTTTGTGCATGCCCATTGAGTGGATCGCAAGTAGTCCCTGACTTGTATGTTCTGTTATTTTTTGGGGGAAAAAAAAAATTCTTCTTGGACAGTTCGAGATGTTGTGACGTCCTGTAAACCCAAACAATAAGGAAAACCAATTAATGAGGCTCAATTATCTTTTTTTACCAACTGAAAACGTGGTTGCATCTTCTTTTTAGACGCAGAGAAGTTCATGTCTTTGAGTCAGAGTAGAGGCAAACTGAAAAGCAGAGGCCTGACTGCGACTCTTCTGCAGCCGGCGAAACATGTGCGAGTGGAAAACCTGCCCCGTACAACGATCAAGGGTGAGCGACACTGTGAGAAATACAATGTAAAACCATACATGCACAATATGAGTCGGCCATTTTCTTTCATCACACATGTAACTGCTATTTCTGACATACACTGTGTCTAGATTGTAAAGAAAGTCATTAGGACATACCGTAAGTAAGTAAGCTTTATTTATATACCGCCTTTCACAGACCAGAGCCACAAAGCGGTTTACAATTGTTATTTTTTGGGCACTTGTCCTCTCACTCCACACAGAGATGGGAGCGGGGTCGCCGAACAGGAGGCGCATGCCAGACCTATTGTACATATTTTTAGTGGTAGGGGAAACCGGAGTACCCGGAGGAAACCTACGCAGACACGGGGAGAACATGCAAACTCCACTCAGAAAGGCCCTGGTCCGGCCGGGATTAGAACCCAGTACCTTCTTGCTGAGAGGCGAGAGTGCTATCCACTCAGCCACCGTGCCGCCCAACCGTGTACTGTATATAAATTGACAATGCCAACCCACTAGCTAGCTCAATGAAGCCCAATAGGGAAGTTTTGCTCCGTGCATTGAACAGAAAACTCCTCTAGCTCAGGAACCATTTGTGTCACACTCTTAAGCTTAAACAAATGCGACATTATCTTTTTAAATTCACATATGAGTCATAAGGATTGACCAATCAGATGCCTTCATTCGCAGTGGAAACTCCAGCTTGCCTTAGCAACCATCATAGCAACATGTCAACACGCCAAGCTAACTCAGTCGTCACAAATGCCCTTATCAGGAAATGGATAACAGCTAGCTTATGTTCAAAATGGCTTCTTCCGCATTCTGCAAACACTACGTAATAAACAAACTGTGCATTGGCGGCTGCAAGCAGTTGGGCCAACACCTGGGGTATGAAATTCAACCCTTCAAAGACTGTATGTTTGTGCTTTGACAAAGCACTTGGGGGTAACAATCAGCAGTGACTTGATTTTAAAGCGTTATGTTGAGGACTTGTGTAAAGGGGATAGGAAGGAAATGTTTGTATTGAGGCTCTTAAAGGAATAGTTCACCGTTTTTACATACTGACATATGTTCTTACCTTACCTTAGACTAGTTAATATGTACCTGTCTGGTCTTAGTCCGTGCGCTCTGTCATGCAAACGGAGCAAAAACGGGAGCACAACCGCAGCCTCCTCTGTATACTGTATAGTACCCAAAAGGTAGCTCCCGCTAGAAGCTACCAAACTCTTCCAAGTGTTCCCTATTAAATGTATATAGTTACGTGACGTGTTACACTGCAAAGTATAGTAACACAGAAATGTAACAGTCGATTTTCTCAGCGGATAAAACGGGTACTATATTGTGAGGCGTAGTAATCTGAGGAGCGCTACGTCCGCGCACTAACTTCTCTCCGTACTACAAGTCACGCTGCTTCTATTGACGGAAGTGAGCGAGAGAGAAGTCTCCGGAGAGAAGTTAGTGCGCGGACGTAGCGCTCCTCAGATCCCGACTAGAGTACTGCTCAGTGCTGATCTGTGGCATAGGAAAGACTCTCATAAACTATTTAGAGAGCATCCAACGAAAATGCATGCGCATAATTCTAAATCTGCCGTATCGTGCCCAGTTGACAGCAGAGCATTATAGAGCGCTCGGACTAACAACTTTGCAAACAAGGCGGAACTTTGCCCTTGCATGCTTTGGTTTTAAACTGTTCCATGGACTCTCGCCTGCGGCGCTGGGACAATACCGACCCACACAAAGAGTCCTGCCATACCATGTGCGCTGGGTCAGATGTGCTTTTCCAGACGGGACACTGCCCAGTGCCCACATCATGCAGAGATCGTGTCTCACTCTGGCCACCAGGATGTGGAACATGCTGGACTCTGAATGTGTCTCTAGTGAATCTTTGGGAGAATTCAAGGAGCACCTTAGGGTGAGGCTCAGGAATGAACTATTTGAAAACTTCCCTCATAACTAGACTCGGGGGTGGGAGGGAGCATTTAATTCCAACGGTCATGTGACCATGGAAATGTAATGGGTTTCTTTGCAATTCAATTTTTGGTAGATTTTAATGATTTGTACATTTATTAAAGATTTAAAAAATAATAATAAAAAAATAATAATAATATACAATAAACTAATACTAATATACTAATAATTCAAAATTTTAACGAGTTTTGCCTTCAATGTGGGAGGACTCAGAGATTATGTTTATTAAGCTACGTTTACATTAATTAGTTATGAAAAGGCAACTAATGTGTGGAATTCCTTCAGACATGTTGGATCTGTATTTTGAGAAGAATTGGGCGGCACCAGACGACATCCTGATGATCCAAGAGGAGCAAGCTGCACTTCTGTCTTTCTCCGACCCCAATGGTAAAGACTCCACATCCACCTCTTTTTTACTACTGATGACGATCAATGAACAGTGGAATAATTAAGATTTAGATTATTAATGGTGATGTGGAAAGTTTCAGAGGAAGTGACTCCTTCTGTGGAGGTGAACGTCTTACAAATATGTCTTATTATAACTGTGTATCATTACAAAGCTCCCAAACACAATTGAGAGTGAAACTGACCTGATGGTTCTGAGAAATAAGAAGTTTGGGCACCCCTGGTTCAGATTCTACAAAAATATAGGAATACTGTACCTATCAACGGACCTAGAAATGGATTAAGGGGAAGAAAATAAATGGATAGATGGTCCTAGTGTGAAACTAAATCAGGAGTAGACCTGTCCAAATAATTACTTTATCGACTCATTGTTCAATAATTGATGGACAGAAGGATATATTTTTGGGTTCAATGTTTATTGTCTGTATATTATTTCTTGTAGTAGTTGAATCACATTTTTACTGTGATAGGGATTGAATAAGTAAATTTTCAGGCCTAAATATTACTGTTGATTTTGTTCATGCAGGTATTTTAATGAAATGGAGAAATCAAAGAATACATTACTGGGGATAAAAGTGGTTTCAATATCAGTGTTTATTGCAATGTTTTTCTGAAGCCATATGTCGTCCATGGTGACAGACATAATGTATGACTCTTATGTTTTTGGTGAGACGTTTTATTCCAGTTTATGTCTGTTTTTTATCTATGCAGTGGTGAAGGACATCTGCTCCAAAACTGACCTCATCATCAAGTCCACTAAGGTCAAAGTCTACCCTTACCACCAGTCCCTGGGGGTGGCTCTGATGGGCGCCGATCGACCCGAGTTCAAAATACCCGAAGCGTTCACTGAAAACGTGCTTGTCCCGGTCTGGCGGTTTCTCTGCAGTAAAAACCTCTCCGACGCCATCAACGAAAAGATGAGTCAGCACTTTTGCCAGGTCAACATGGACACGCCGCAGGTCAAACTCAGCCCTCTCCCGAGCTTTCTGCGGCAAAACAACCTCACCAAAGAGCGTGTGGAAAACTGGAGACCCGAAGCTTTGAAGGCATTTCGAGGGCAAATGAACGAATATGGCGCCTTTGATTGTCCTGTGAACAGCGAGGCGTGGAGACTGGTGGAAACAGAAGTGCGTGGCATAGTGAAGGAAGACGCAGAGCTGATTTTGGATTATTCAAAAGGCGTTCTCACCGTGGCTGCAAGTTTCACAACCATACGACAAGTCAGGGCCCAAGTGGAGGGAGCGGTTCGCAAAAAGCTTAATCAAATCGATCGAGAAAAGAACGGGATTGTGGACAAGATGACACTAGATCCAGCCGTGTTTCACATTTTAAATGAAAGCGGGCTCCAGAAGGCTGCTAAAAACATCTCTTCTGATCTCTCCTTTAACTTTGACAAAGGAGTCTTGACAATAGATGGAATGCAAGGTGAGGTTTTTAGATTAAAAACTTGGATTCTTGAAAAAAAAATGTCACTGGAAAAGAAATTGCTGGAAATTCCGAATCCCCTTCAAGAATTCCTCCAGAATGTTGACGTCAAGCAGCTGTCCCAGGATCAGTTCACGTCAAGAGGCGTTTGCGCGTTCGTCAGCTTGGAAAAGAAGGGGATTTATCTCATTGGAAGTTCAGAACAGTTTATCAGCGATGCAGAGAAAAAACTAAGATCAGTTCTGATGGTCCAAACCTTAAACTATCAAGATAAACAAGTGGTGAAGCTCAAAATGTGGTCCACTCTGGTTGGAAAGATGCTAGATACATACAATACATCCACTAAACAAACCTTGCAAATCAAAGAACAAGAGCAGAAGATTGTAATAGCAGGTTATTCTGTTCCGGTAACAGAAGTAGCTGAACATTTAAGCAAGTTTATTCACGACTATTCCAAAGTGCAGGAGAGAGTCAGGGTCAAATCGTGCGCTGTTGTTCACTTCATTAAAAAAAAGAAGCTGGAAGAATGGAACAGAATTGCCAAAGATAACCAGGTTATTGCAGAGTTTGACCCGGAGCGACCCAAATTCACCATCTCTGGGCCACGCATTCACGTCCACGAAGCCAAATCGCTTTACCATAAACTCGCAAACTCTCTCTTAAACGATACGCTTCAGGTGCAGAAACCCGGGGCCAAAAAGTTCTTCATGACCCAGGGAGCGTATTTTCTTTCAACCGTCTTGAACGATGTCGGATGTGCAGTGATTTTGCATCCCGATCTCCCTGACGACGACAACGATGACGAATGTGGAGATCTCTCGGAGGTTGAAGAAGGCTCATGCATGGTACAAGTCAAAACGATGAGAGGAGTTGAGGTTTTGGTGAGAAAAGCAGACATGTCCAAGCTCAAAGTAGACGCGGTGGTGAATGCGGCGAATGAGGATCTGCAGCACATTGGCGGGCTAGCGTTAGCGCTCCTAAATGCTGCAGGGCGAGATTTGCAGCGAGATTGCGACAATTTCATCAAGCAAAATGGGAAGCTTCCTGCAGGCCAGACCTTTGTCACTCGGTCATACAGACTTCCGTGCAAACATGTTATCCACGCGGTCGGGCCAAAATACACAGAAAATGGAGCCAAACTCGCACATTTTCTCCTCAATCTCGTGGTGAAAGATTGTCTTACAAAAGCAGAAAAGTATCGGTGCACGAGTGTAGCCATTCCGGCCATAAGCTCAGGGATTTTCGGTTTCCCTGTGGATCTGTGCGCAGAGACAATCGCCCAAGCTGTCAGAGAATATTGCGATGACCCGGAGAACCAGCAGGTGGCGCTCCGACAAGTGCATCTGGTGGACAACATTGACAAGACTGTAAAGGCTTTGGCTGATGCTGTGAAGAGGGAGTTTTCTGATCTAAAACCAACAACAAAATCCAAGCTCCAAATCCAGGGAGCTGTGGGGTGAGCTTAAACTTTCAAGTCAATATATATTTTTGTTCTTTTGTTATTGACAGTTACATTTTGGCTGTTCAGTTTCTGTAGAATCTATCTATGATTTTTGTCAGGAATGCACAAGGCCAGGGAATTTCTCTAAAATGAAACGCGTCACATGCAGATGCAGGGCTGAGGCTCTGTGGGCTTCTGCGGGTGTATGAAACAGAGGTCTTTGAATTCTCTCTTGCTAGGCTCGTGGAGATAATAGATACATAGAAATAACATAAGTTACAGTATCATGAGTAAATAAGTTTTTTATTTTCTGAAAATCAACTAAGCGTCTATCAACAGTGAAACTCGTGGTGAACTTTCAATGCTTACTTAAAGTATCTGTTCTTTTACGGTTGCGGCTAAACATTATATTTTTGCACATTTTCCCCACAGTGGATCTGAGCCTGGATGGGAAACTGTGGTTTATGAAGATATCGACCAAGCACATCGAAAAGGTCCTGTTCAAAAGTCGACGAACAGGAGAATCGTCCCTCAAATCAAACCAAGACTGGGGTAAAGACGTCTCTGGCTTATATTAGGGTGATACACATCAAAGATTTTTTATTTTTTTATTTGGTGATTCACATAGTAGTTCCAAAAAATCCAAATAGACTGTTCCCTATTTACAAACTAAATGCTCCTGTAATATTCTACATCCAAAAAACCCTCAAATCTAGATATTTATTCTGAATTCAAGACATTAGCCAAACGTTTTCTGTTTGGTAATAGTATTGTTTGTTTGTTGACCATGTCGTCACAGGCAGAACCTGGAGCAGACCACAGCAGAAGGAATCAACATCAGGCTGGTGAAAGGAAACCTCCAGGATCAAACTGTGAGTGCAAATAAACCCACCTCCACATCTGTTATATACCTTGTAAATGTATATTTATGGAGGTCAACTTATATTTATGGTATACTGTATATAACGTTTACATTTCATTGGAAGTAGGTTTTTCATAATTGAACCAGACTCTGTAGCTCCTAACTCTAACTGCCGTGTAGCAGGCAGAAGATCAGTTATGGATAAATCCAAACATTTTGAATGTGAGGAATTTCAATGACGTGTCTTATCACCCACGTGTTAGAGCAGTCATTTTGTTTGTTTATAGATTGAATTTATTCACATTGGGTTTCACTCCTGCTCTAAAGCCTTGACTGACTTTGTCTCTAAATCTCACTAGACGGACGTGATTGTGAACACCATTGCAGAGAACATGGACCTCCAGCAGGGGGCAGTGTCTAAGGCTCTTCTGCAGGCCGCGGGCTCCGGGCTGCAGGCCGCCGTGCTCTCCTCTACTTCCCAGGCGGACACGCTGACGGTCGGAGAGGTAGTCGACACAGACGCCTTCAACCTGCGCTGCAAGAAAGTGTTCCACACTGTGTGCCCGCCCTGGGACAAGGGGGCGGGGCTGGCACAAGCGGTCAGTGCACAACCTCTGCCTTTGTGTCTTTGTGTTTAAAGTAACGCAGAGTTGATCACATGACCCTTTGAAGATGTTCTACTCAAAAAAGCAGTTTCCAGAATTCCTACTTCACTTCTATTTGAGTCTTCCTACTGTGTGTGTGTGTGTGTGTGTTACAATTCCGAGATGATACAAGCTGGTTTGCGGGTCTAATATGAACTGATTTGAACAGTTGTCTTTTTGGCAGAAATTCCAGATTTTTTTGCATGTGTTTTTGAGTGATGTGTCTGAATACATAAAACAGAAATAATAGACCCAAACTATTGCTCAGATTTCAAATTTAATATAATGCGTTGAAAGCTCTTTAAATAATTTATTAGTTGTGTCTATATGTTAACTTGCCCTGAAGAAGTAGGTTCTCTTAATGTTTTTTTTGTTCTTACATGTAACCTACGTGTAATCTCTATCCCATAGTAAACAGTTCTTTAGGAACCTCTTCATTATGTTAAAATAAATGTGTGTACTCAGATGCTGGAGGAGATAATCCACATGTGTCTGAACAAGGCGGAGAGACAGAGCTTCAGCTCGGTGGCGTTTCCTGCTCTGGGGACGGGGAACCTGAAGTTCCCACGCCCCGTGGTGTCTGCGCTGATGCTGCGCGTGGTGCATGAGTTCAGCCGCAAGCAGAGTCCCAGGCACCTGAGGAGCGTGCGGCTCGTGGTGCATCCAAGCGACACGCAGACTGTGGAGGTCAGAGCCGCTTCACTGTGTGACATCATCATTCATCATCTACAACTAATGTTATGTTCTGGTCCAGTGTTTCACCAGGGAGTTCAAAGGACAGAACACTGAGGCAAGTGACCAATCAGGACACGAGGTTGTGCCATCGCCACATCGCAACGACCAATCACAGCAGCCCACAGCCTCTGGTGTGGCCCCTCCTCCAGGTTACTGATAAAAAATACTATTACAAAAATACGTTCTTGTTTAGATTAATATTTATATTAATATATAAATTAATATATATTAGTAGTAATTTAGTAAGTAGTTTAAATGTCATGAATGACATCATTTAACCCCTGTGTTTGTCTCAGGCTCCTTCGGACCGGTGACCATTCCGTCTCTCGGGGTGTATCAGATGCAGATGGGTCATGTGACCCTCGAGGTCTCCTCAGGGGACATTACTAAAGAGAGCTGTGATGTCATCATTAACTCGTCCAATCAGAACTTCACATTGAAGACTGGTGAGTTTGTAGCCTGGCTCTGCCAGACCCTTGTAGTTCCGCCATGCTCCACCAGAGGCGTTTGGCTTCACACACAAGGGTCTGGTATCGAGCGCATTGCAAACTCTTTCTGCAGCTCAGAAAATAATTGACCAATCAGGATCGCCGGTGTTACGTGGGGTTCGCACTGCCTTCTCAAGCTTCTCTTACGCAGCAGCAAAAGGAATCCAAGATGGCGGACGTAAAGTCCGCGAATCTTTTTAAAAGAGTAGATACAAACGAATTAAGACACGGATGTCACTTTCAATGCAATTTTAGGCGAGATGTTGATGGTTCTATGTTGATATATGTGTGTTTTAAGAGTCAAAGTTTGGTTTAAGCACTGGTTCAGTGTTCCTGTTTACACACTATGCAGCTGGGTTGCCAGGTTGGGTGGTTTCCCGCATACTTTTTTCCAAGAGACTTGTAGGTAATAAATAAACAGAAAGACATAGCTGGTGCTATGAGACTTGGGTGGCATCTCTGATTGCCACCCCCCTGACCCAGAAATGGATTAAGGGGCAGAAAATGGATGGATGGATGGATGATCGCCCAAGTTGATAACATTATGTTTTTAGCCAAAAAATAATTCAGAGTGTTTTTTTTTGGGGCATTCTCGTGGATTTTGGGTTGGTAAATCTTGCTGGGATTTGGCAACCTATGGGAGTGTGCTTCGATGTGAGTGGTTGAAAGCAGACGTCATTCAAGATAACGGACAAGTGGTCTATCCAATCACATACAAGGATTTTTTTTTACAAGGCCCTGCCTTCTGAAATCCAACCACTATGGCTCAGTCCCAGACTCATGTGTGAAGTGCAGCGAACTACATGGGTCTGGCAGAGCCAGGCTAGTGAGTTTGTGCTTTGTGTCTGATTCTTGCAGCTTCATCTGATCACCGTTGAGGGCTGCATTGTGCCCTCTGCTGGTTCTCAGGAAAACTTCAGTAAGAATCAGATGTGGCTCAAAATGGAGGTTGTGCTTTCTTCTGTTTTCAGGCGTGTCCAAGGCCATCCTGGAGGCAGCTGGTCGAGGAGTTGAGCTTGAGTGTGCAAAGATTGGTACATGTCCATTTGCTAGAATCCTCCAGAAGCAGTAAACAGTACTCATTAGTGTTCTGTGGTCTCTGTAGTGAGCTCTCCTGGATACCAGGACAGGCCTCTGATCATCACGTCTGCTGGGCAGCTGCCGTCTAAAAACATCATCCACATCGCAGGAGCCAACAAGCCCCCAGTCCTGAAGGAAGTAGTGTACTCTGTGCTCAAACTGAGTGAGGAGAACAGTTTCACCTCTGTGGCCTTCCCCGCGATTGGCACAGGTCAGTCAATAAAGCACAACATGATCACAAACAACACAGCCCCAAGTTTGATGATTTTGTGAGCTTAAATTTAATCACACAACTAATGTATACCAATCCATGCTGATCTGGGCTAAATTAACTACAACTGCCCTCATGTTCACATTCTCTAGAGATAAATCTTCCTGATCTACTGTGACCATGTACTGTCAGAGGAATCCAGTAGAATCGTGAACATTGATTCTCAGTATCTTCAGACGGTTCACAGAAGCATCATTTGTGTAGGTGCTGGGGGTGCAAACCCGTCCCTCGTGGCTGAGGCCATGGTGGGGGCCGTGGAGGACTTTGTGAAGAAGAAGCAGCCAAAGACTGTGCGCAGCATCAAGATCCTGGTCTTCCAAACAGCGATGGTCCCAGACTTTCATAAGAGCATGAAGAGCAGAGAGGGGCAGCCGTTGGAGAAGGGCCTCATGGACAAGTTCAAAGGTGCAAAGACTTTTTATACTTGATCTGTCACTACTTCCTGTAACTACTGCCAATGATCCAATATGCACAGTCTATGCCATACTTTTTCTAGTCTATAACACATTTATAATAAGTGTAAGGGAAAATTCACCATTCAAATGTTCTAAGAAATTATAACCTTTTGCACTTTTCAATCTCTTTTCTTGGTGAGGATGACAACTGAGATGTAATTTTGGGATTGTGATTGTGTTTTCTCAGCGTTTGTGTCGCCTCTGACTTCGTTCCTGGGTTTAAGCAGTGAAGTCAAAGAGAGTCTGGTTCTGGAGAGCGAGGAGTTTGAGCCCACCGTCTTTGAGCTCTGTGCAGAGAATCAGAGGGTACAGTTTCACTTAATCTTTATACCAAATTATGGTGTTCCAAAAAAGTGTGTAAACAGCAGTGTGTCACGAGAATATCTAGCTGTGGCCAAGAAAATAAATCCCACTAATCTGGAACTTTGCCTTTGCACAAGGTTTTAGATTAGTTTTAGATTTCTGATGACAAAAGAATGAAGTAAATACTGGCATTACTGTCTCTTTGCTGGTGCTCTGCAGGCGATCTCAGTGGCAAAGAAGAAAATCGAGGACTGGATTCTGACAGAACAGGCTCACAGAACCATCACGGACCCCATCCTGGTTCAATTAGGCTCCAGTGACGTGCAGCTGCTGAAGGAGCTGCAGAAGAACCTCACGGTGCAGATCAGACTGGAGACAAAGAACCCAGAGGAGGCATGCATCCACCTGGAGGGACTGACCCGAGACGTGTCCACAGCAGAGTCCGCCGTCAGGTCAGCACTGGTACTGCACTGTGCAGAGCATGAACAACTGTGAATTTGAGCTTTTAGCGACAAATCAAAGGTTTAGAAAGGCTGAACAAATGTATCTTCCTCAAATGAGCCTTTTTTGCAAACTTAAACTCTGTGATTAGGAGGGAAAAACTCATCCCACTTTATTTTTTTATTTTTCATATTTATGTAAGAAATATACAACAATATAATATTGAATAAAAAAAAACACAACGGCGGGGAAGGGAGAGTGGGCAGCGGTTTTGAGAGTAGCTTAACCCATTAAGGCCTGACACACCTGGTAAAACAGACCTGCAAAACCTGAGGCCAACTTCAGAACCACCTCCAAAACCTGCAGTGTTCCTGAATTTCAACGTCTACTAAATGATTGGTATCTCGGCCTCTGTAGCAGATATATCGGCGATCTCTTATCGGCGATAAGAAATGTAAATATGCGTAATCTCAAGGTTCACTCAGTACACTCTGCTAAAGTGGATGAGATAAGGCGGTTGGCTCCGAGGCTTCTGTCTGAGACCGGCGGGGTAAAAAGATTGTTGATCCACGTGGGGGCAGTAGACGTCTATGACAACACAAGTGAAAAGTTGAAACGGGATTACTCTCTCTTATTGGACGACCTTTCTAAAATGGACACAAAAATCGTTATCAGTGGCCCACTACCAAATGTGGACGGGAAGCAAATGAAATTCAGTCGTCTGTATCAGCTAAATACTTTCCTACTCAACGAATGTTCACGCAGACTTGCCTTCATTGAGAATTTTAATCTGTTCTGGAATAGGCATGAGCTTTTTGAAGGGAAAGGGCCACATCTGAACACTTACGGAGTAAAAGTGTTGATGGATAACCTTTCTTTTGCCCTGAGACCTCAGCCTGCGCAGCGCGTGCAGCCATCGAAAGGAAGGAAGCCGACTCTTAAAGTCTCTGCACCTCCACCACCTCGAAGGATCTCAACACCTCCACCACCTCGAAGGATCTCAACACCATCACCGCCTCAAAGGATCTCAACACCACCACCACCTCGAAGGATCTCAACACCTCCACTGTCATCAGAAGCAGCTGCATCATCACCAGCAGCAGCTGCATCATCACCAGCAGCAGCTGCATCATCACCAGTAGCAGCACCAGCAGCACGACCACCACCACCAACATCCTCATCCCTAGCCTGCTCCAAAGCAGCCACGCCTTCTTCATCTACAGCGCCTCTGAAGCCCCCATCCTCACCCCAGCCTACAGCAGACAGGCCTGTGCTGGGGTTTCCTCAACCACCTGCCCCTCCATCAAAGACTCCCTCGCCACCTCCCATGGACCTGTCTTGGGTCCCCCCTGCCACGTCCACTCCATCAAGAGAGAATGGGGACACCTCCCTTTGTTTTTCATCCCCGCCTTCACTGTTAGACCTACCTGAACACTCTGCAGGGCTAATTAAATCGGCGATGAAGACTATTCCTCTCACACCCATATTAGCTCGATCTAGAGTCCTGTCCAACATGCTAAACCACTCCCCATATGTACCTCCAAAACCACCTAGGGTTTCCAATTCACCTACAAAAACCACCTCAGCCAGTCCCTCCCCTAACCTCATGACCATTCCACCCCCACTTCCCCCTCGTTCAACACCCAAAACCTCTGCCTCAGCCCACCCCGGCGGCGGCCCTAACCCATCACCTAAAACCCCTCCACCTCCCTGCCCCCCTCGTTCAACACCCAAAAGCCACCCACCTCTCCATCCTCCTTCCCCTGCCTTCCCCTTCCCCTCTTTTCTCTAAACACTAGGATGCACAGGGTCTCTGCTTCGCAGCCACTGGCAGTCTAGTTAGAGGAGAGACCCGGCTGGGGCCCTGTCATGAAGCCACCTGTGCCATTCCCTTAGTGATAACACAAAGAATACATTACAGAAAAACATCTGGAGTTAATCAGTCTAATCTGGAAAATCTAATTCTTGTTCCGTATAAGAATCAGCCGACCGCAACCGCTGATACTGAAACTTTGAAACTTGCTACGCTTAATGTCAGATCTCTTTGTAACAAGTCTTTTTTAATCAATAACTTTATTTGTTCTCATAATCTTGATCTTATGTTCATGGCTGAAACTTGGCTTGACCAAAATTCAGAAAATGCAGTTTTAATAGAAGCATCACCACCAAATTTCAAGTTTGAATCTGAAATACGGGAAAACAAAAAAGGAGGAGGCTTAGCTGCCATTTTTAGAGACCACTTTGTCTCCCATAGAATGTCTCTTGGGAAGTTTTCGTCATTTGAATATGTGTCTTTTAAAATACAACAAAAACAATCTCCTCCAATACTCTTCGTTGCCCTATACAAGCCACCGCAGTCATGTCACAGTTTTATTGATAATTTTACCGAGTTGCTTTCAGTTGTATGCACAGATTTTGATAGTTTGGTTATTACAGGTGATTTTAATATTCTTGTGGATAATGTTGATGACAGAAATGCAAATGAGCTGAGTTCTGTACTTGAATCCTTTGATCTCACTCAGCACGTAAGTGGCCCCACCCACAGCAGAGGGCACACTCTAGATCTGTTAGTTACAAAGGGGGTGATTATTTCAAATGTAAACGTGGTCGATGTTGCTCTTTCGGATCATTTCTGTGTTTTTTTTGACATGTGTTTCACTAACAAACCACCAGTGGACTCTGCAACTGTTCGAAGAAGGCGCATAAATGAAAATACGAATGAACTATTTATGGAAATGATAAACTTTGAGAATGCATCGTATTCTACTGTAGATGAACTGTTTAACTCTGTCACCTCTAGTGTTTTGAATGTTCTGGATACCGTTGCCCCTGTGAAGGTTAAAATAGTGAAAAATAAGCAGAAGGCGCCGTGGGCTAAAGCAGACTCGGTCAGGGCACAAAAGAGAAAGTGCCGGAGGGCCGAGCGGAAGTGGCGCAAGTCCAACCTCCAGGTTGATTACGAGATCTTCAAAGATAAGTTGTGCGAGTTTAACCGGGTGCTACGTAGTACGAGAGAAAGGTATTTTTCTGAAATGATTGAAGGCTGCAGCAACAATCTGCGTGTTCTGTTCTCAACAGTTAATAGATTAACAAACCCCCCTGTTCAAATGCCATTAGAGCTTACTTCCAAACGTAAATGCAATGAGTTTGCTAATTTTTTCAATGACAAGGTTCAAGGCATCAAAAACGCCATTGTCTCCAATCCACAGATAACCATCCAACAGCCAGAAAGGCTCTCTGAGCTAACTCACTTTGCACCTGTAAATGATAAAACTGTCCAAGAGATAATCTCCAGTTTGAGCTCCTCCACATGCAGCTTGGATGTACTACCCACTAGATTTCTGAAGTCTGTTCTGAGCAGTCTGTTACCTTCACTCACACAGATAGTAAACATGTCCCTTCATTCTGGAATATTCCCAAAGGCCCTGAAAACTGCAGTCATCAGGCCCCTGCTAAAAAAGAGCAGTCTGGATGCTACGGTACTTAACAACTATCGTCCCATCTCAAATCTGCCATTTATGGGGAAAGTCCTTGAGAAAGTTGTCTACCTACAGCTTACTAGATTTCTTATAATCAACAACTCATTTGATATGTTTCAGTCTGGCTTTAGACCCCACCACAGCACTGAGACTGCTCTCGTTAAGGTTACAAACGATATCCGGCTGAACACTGACGCAGGCAAAGTCTCAATCTTACTCTTGTTAGATCTAAGTGCTGCCTTTGACACTGTCGACCATGAGATCCTCTTACAGAGACTAGAGGACTGGGTTGGCGTCACTGGCACCGCCCTAAGTTGGTTTAGGTCTTACCTTGAAGACAGGAAGTACTTTGTGGAGATTGGAAACTGTGTCTCAGATCATATGGCCCTGATCTGTGGAGTACCACAGGGGTCGATCCTGGGACCTCTTCTGTTCAATCTCTACATGCTGCCGTTAGGTCAGTTAATACGCAGAAACAAAGTTTCCTATCATAACTATGCAGACGACACTCAGATCTATGTCTCACTGACTGCAGGAGAACATGGACCAGTGGACTCACTCCTTCACTGTATCCAACAGATCAGTGAGTGGATGCAAAACAACTTCCTTCAGCTAAACGCAGACAAAACTGAAATGATTGTCTTTGGTCCCCAGAAACAAAGAGAGAGCGTCATCTGTCACCTACAGTCTCTCTCCCTAAAACCTTCAAACAAGGTCAGAAATCTAGGGGTAATACTGGACTCAGACTTAAATTTTAATAGCCACATCAAATCAGTAACATCAGCAGCTTTTTACCATCTAAAAAACATTGCCAGGATCAAAAAAAGTTCTCAGATCTGATGGCCCTGACCTGTGGAGTACCACAGGTCAGGGCCCGTCCTGGACCTCATCTGTTCAATCTCTACATGCTGCCCGTTAGGTCGGTTAATACGCAGAAACGAAGTGTTCCTATCATAATATGCAACGACACTTCAGATCTTAAGTCTCAGTGACTGCAGAGAAACATGGACCAGTGTGTCCACTCCTTTCACTGTATCCACAATCAAGTGAGTGATGCAAAACATCTTCCTTCAGCTAAACGCAGACAAAAGTGAAATGATTGTGCTTTTGGTCCCCAGAAACAAGAGAGCTTCATCTTCACCTACAGTCTCTCTCCCGAAAAACACCGTTCAAACAAGGTCAAAATCTAGGGGTAATACGGACTCAGACTTAACATTTAATAGCCACAGTCAAATCAGTAACATCAGCAGCTTTTCCATCTAAAAAAACATTGCCATGATCAAAAAACATAGTGTCTAAAGCAGACCTGGAGATTCTATTCCATGCGATTGTCTCCAGTAGGTTAGACCAGTGTTTTTCACCACTGTGCCGCGGCACACTAGTGTGCCGTATGATATTGTCTGGTGTGCTGGAGAAAATTCGTCTACTTTGTCTCAAAAATAGCTGCATTCGCTGTTGACGAGCGGTGACTTGTTTTGAACTGTGAGTAACCATGTATTACTTTTCGAATCAGTAATGCAGCAGAATAGCTAATTACTTTGAAACTGAAAAATTGGATGCACCACTGGCTGTAACAGGTCACATTGTGGCGAGAAAGGTAAAATTGGATGCGCCAACAAATGTGTGAGGGAGCGAGACACGAGCTTTGTGGCGAGTGAGAAGTGAAAGTGATAGAGACGTTTTTTGAAAATGAAAATAAGCCGTTTCAGAACAGATTAACATCCCCGCTCTGCCCCGGGGCAGCTTTTGCCGCGTTGTAGTGGTTTAAACATGATTGTTACGATTTTTGTACAACAGCTCCTCGCGAACGCACTGCGAACTGGGTACCGAGCGCAGACCGTAGTCAGGGACAGAAACCACAGACATATGCGGACCGGAACAGAACGCATGGACTTCGCTTTCAGGACCTCCCTTTCCACATCCATAACTCCCTGATTTAAGCTCGGATACCTACATTTTTCCCATGCTCTAACAAGCTGTTCCTCGTGGTGTAGTTATTATTGACTATTTGGGCAGAGAGTGGGTTTTCTTAGTTTTTTTCCTCACAGTTAGTTGCCACTTATTCCCAACACTCTGTTAATTGTATCGAGAAATATTAAATAAAGCTTAATTTCAAGGCCTGGACTTTAAGCCATTTTGATGAGAATAACTGTATATTGTGAATATAGGCTACAGAGTATACTGTATACAGTTAATAAGATAAGATTTACTTTATATATCACACAGAGTATGTACAGTATATATTTTTACATTAGTACTGTCTACGATTTTAAACAATTTTCCCTGGAGGTGTGCCGACAAGATTTTTTCAGTGAAAAAAGTGTGCCTGGCTCAAAAAATGGTTGAAAAACAACTGGGTTATACTAGCTGCAATGGCCCTGCTCACAGGTCTGTCCAACAGGCTGTAAAACACTGCAGTACTGTACTTTCAAAATCACAGCTCGAAGTCCCTGACTAGAACCAGGAAGTACTACCACATTTAGACCATTCTCAGGTCACTGCACTGCTTCCTGTGGCTCAGAGAATCAGAACATTAAAAACACTCTGCGTGTGTACAAGTCACCCCATGGACTCGCACAACAATAATTAGTACATTTAAGGCGCCTTCAGACCAAAAGCTTCAAAAAGCTTTTGACGCGCTTCACTGACCCGGATAGTTTTTGTCCATTTTGGTGCTTGAACTTTTGGACGCGAGTGACGCGCCTGACCCGTGGGGGAGCTTTCTGTTGCCTGTAGTCAGGACAGCGGTGGAAATTTCAATGAGCAGCGAGCGCTTTATTATGTTATATAAAGCAAAAAAAAAAAAATAACGTTGTTGTAGGCTTCAACAAAACATGTTCTGTGTTTCCCACCCAGGACTTGAGAGGCTGCAGTGTTTTCAGAGTTCCGGCATTTTACTCCAGGAGCATGCGTTACGGAGATTTTTCGCTTTCAGCGGTACTTTCCGCATGTCACTTGCCCAGTCTGAGTTCTCAAAACCCCGAGCTCGCCTCTCCCCGCCTCGCCTCTCGCCCCCCCTGCCTCGTCCCCGGCTCGCGCGCGCCTCACCCTGCCTCTCATCGCTCTCGACCTGCCCTGTACTGCCTGCCTGAGCCGACTCATCGTCAGCCTGTTCATATATTAAATAACTACGTTTACTACACAGCATGTTGTACAATGATTTTTTGTTTACTCAGAATTTTACTACTCCAATACTGATAATATTACTAATAACAATAATGACATAAAACAACAGCTGCAGATACATGACTTCTCTTCATGACAGAGACAGACCCCTGCTGCAGCTGCTCCTCGTCTCCTGATTGGTTAAAAGCCCCGTCATAGCTTCAAAAGCTCAGCTTTGCATGCAACTTCGGCGTCAAAGGATTGTTGTGAAATGCGAGCGTTTTTCGCGCGTCAAAAAGCTTCAAGTGAGCGCGTAGTACGCGCGACTCTGAAGCTTTTGAAGCGCGTCAAGTGTCGCCGGGGCTCTCGGCTCCGCCTGACGCGCTCACCATTCACTTTCAATGGAAACCTGACGCGTTTGACGCCGGAAGATAAGTCCTGACGCCCCTTTTGTCCCAAATGACCAGCCCGGACTCTGACACATGTACCCTGTTATGCCCAAGTCAGAACTAAACATTGGGAGGCTGCTTTTCATATTCATGCTGCTCAAAATCAACAGTCCCTTCTGAAGATGTGAGACAGGACTGAACAAGAAAACCAGGTTTACGTTTAACTGATGGAACGAGGATTTTATATTTTTACTCTTCCTTTTTAATGTTCCTGTGATTATTTATGCTTTTAATGCTTCTTGTTTGTGTCAGCACTTTGAATTGCCTCTTGTGTCTGAATTGTGCTATATAAATTAAAACTTGCAGTGCCTTGCCATGGTGGCTAGTTGTTGTTTGTTTGTTCAACTTATCCAATAACCCTCTCCTCAGTGCTACAGCCGGAGTCATAACTTCATCAATGTTGTTATGGACATTTTGATGCCTTTCGTTCTATTTCCCACACGTGTTTGTATAACCCGGCTTATGCGCAATTATTAAAGTCCTTGTTTTTTTAAGCCAGAAGCTATAATCAGGATGAGTACCCGTTTCTCTCTCTCCCCTTCTGAGGCTTGTCCTGTCTGGCTTCTTCTTCGGCCTTTCCTTCCCAGCAGTGATGATAAACGTCCATTCTGCTGGAGATGTAGAGATGGGACCAATTACTAGCCTTCAAGACACCCTAAATCCCCCCCCCCCCCACCACCACCCCCCCCCCCGGCCCCACCCCACACAACCCCCAACCCCCCTCACCCATACACACGGTGGCCATAACATCCTCTCTTGGGTGAGTGGGAGGAGCCAAAGGAGAGGACAGGTCGGGATATGAGAAATAACGCTGGAATCGAAAGCAGTCGATGTGTTTGAACAGAGCAGCTCGCTTCTGATTGTTCCCCGATTGATCTGCAGATTCATGTTGTGTCTGTAGGAAGGAGATTATTCGTCTAGCACTCTCTGGCAAGTATCCTACAGCTACATTAAACTCAATCCATAGGTTTCAAACTTGGTGGTGATGTGCTGTAGGTTTCCTCCCTTAGGCACCCGGGAACTTAGCAGACAATTTATGACCTTTAGTTTATCTAGTTTTAGTCATCACTACTTGACTGACTGGGACTTTTTCTGCCTCTTTTCTAGTCTTTATCATACTAAACATATTTTGGGACAATTTTTCAGGATCCCATTGGTTTGAGTGAGAGCATTCAAAATGACAGCTCTGGGAACTTCTTTGTAGTTTTCTTAAGAATTGTTGGAGTCACGTTACAAGCCAATTTGTTGTTTTTCCTTTTTCTCATCAAAATGAAAAATGAAAATTCAAGCAATTTTTTGATATTTCATTTTCAATTTTAGTTAGATACACAATTAAGTATCCACGTCCAGAATCCTCATTGTTCAAACATGTACAATAATAATTACACTGGGTAACAAAAACATATTTTTTGAAAATAGTCCAGGGTTTTCCAGCTGAATTAAGACTAATTTTGATGCTCTGAGTCCGAAAATGACCTTGGTTTTGCTCAATCAGGTCATGATTTTTTGCTACAGATTTTTTATTTTTATTGATTTTGCGTAAAAAACACATTTCTGCGGATCATCAGCTGAGAAACCCTTGACCTTTTTTTCGTTTTCCTCAAGAAGTAAAAGTCAACGTATCCAAAGTCATACAATTTTTATTTACTCCCTCAAATTTGCAAGCAGAATTCATAATAACGTAGACGTACGTAATCCGTAACACTATGGCTGTATCTCAAAAAGTTGACCTGATAGAGGAAAATGCATGTGATATTCGGACTCAGAACACCAAAATTAGTCTAAATCAGTTGAGCCCTGACCCTGACAATTTTTTGGCTGTCAACTTGTGTTATACATCAAACTTCGATGACTTCAATAACATTCATCACCAGAAAAATAACATGAGATTCACACAAACCGACTTATAGTTATAAAACAGAAATACTTACAGAGAGTGTAAGTGTTGTGTTGAAGCCATCGCATCAAAAGTGAAACTATTTGATTTCACTCAAGGAAACTTCGGCGCAAACAAAGGAATGCATTTATGTAGTCAGCAAACAACGAGGAAAGAAAAGAAGAAACGCCTTAAATCAATTTATCTCTTTCCCTACATGGTCTTCCTTCATTTGAGCAGAACAAAAATGTGAACATAAACATACACATGCAATAAATGAAATCAATTAAGAGGAACTATATTGTTATGTGGAAAAGTTTAAATAACTTAACTTCACTCTATCAAATCTAGCACTTTATTTAGTGTCGTTATCCATGTAGTTTCCATCACAACCTCCAGTGTGGCAAATATTAGGCTCAAATATTAAAGTCAATTTGTCAAAACAATTACATCAATAATAAAACGAATTGAAAGATTTAGAATTTTTTTTACAAAACTGGCTTCTGTGTCGGTCAGCTCTTTCTCAATGTTCAAAATGAGCGCTTAGATAGAGGAGCTCAGACTAGTGCCGCTGCTCCTCCACATCATTAGTAGCCTGCTGAGTGGCTTTGGAGTTGCAGCGTTTCCCTCCGCTACCACTAGAGGGAGGTGTGGAATCTCTGGACTTGTCACAATAATCACTACATGCCAAATCATTCACTAGTTATATGAAGAAGAAAGTATATATTTTTTGGGTTCAATATTAATTATCAGCATTTTTTCAAGAAATTAATGAATAAGCACATCTTTTCAATTGCGCATTTTTACAGACCAAGGTCACCCAAAGCACTTTACAATTGTTAGTTCAGACATTGTTCCATTCTCTCCACACAGTGACACTCACTTCACTCTCTCATTACATTTATACTTATTGTACATGTTTTTTGTGGTAGGGGAAACCGAAGCGCCCGGAGGAAACCTACAGACATGGGGAGAACATGTAAACTCCACTCAGAAATGCCCTGTATCGACCGAGAATCAAACCCCAGACCTTTGTGCTGAGAAACGAGACTGCTAACCACTCAGCCACTGTATATATATAAATATTTACTTATGACTGGCCTATAGGAATATTAGCGTCAAATCAGGAAATGGATCGATGGATCAATACGGCAATAAGAAAATATTTGCAACGAGACAAAGAAACGTGGTCAGACTTTTATTGATAGCAGCAGAGAGAACACAGAGCAGTTCAAAGTGCTTATAAACTATAATACATCTTTAAGGCTTCAATAATCATACTGTAGTATATTCTTTGGCAGTTGCTGGAAAGTGAAATAAAAAAGATTACAATGGATCAGTGCAATATCCCACAGTTTTGTTATTGACTATAAAGATACAAAAGACAGAAGCAGTGGTGTAAATACAGTTATCAGTGCAGAGTTGGTTCGGCTTCAACAGAAAAGGTTTTGTGCTTTGATATTATTATTATTATTTTTTTACAATTTCACATTAAACCTTTATTTTACATGATTTAATAGAAAATCCCATTGGTTTAAATGACTTTGTAGATTTGTGTCTGCTTCTTTACATGCAATTCCCACAGGATATACAAAGTGCTGTGCTTTCAGATTAAGAAAAAAGAAAAAAGCTGAAGTGAGAAACAGCGAGTGTGTAACAATAAAAACAACAATAATAATAATTATGCAACTTGAAATCACAATAGATTCTTAGGTTGTATTTTGGAAATCCCAAAGAATGTGTCAAAGATTATCAGCCAAATGTACTTTTTTGAGCTGTTACGACATTGTTCCATCATAAGTTACAGACCTGGAGTTGTTTTTAGATCCATCCACCCTAAAATCAGGAACTTCTGGCACAAACGTGTAGCTCCGCCCCTTTTCTCTACAGCGTCCTGCATTCTCTGTACTAAAATACAATTACCTGATGTTTTAGCCTGTTTTAAGACAGTGGATTATTCCCATTATTTGTTTAAGAAATAATTAGTATTTTTTGTTGTTTTAGGTTTTGAAAAACACAACGAACGCAAATCTAACTGCAGATATTACAACAACAAAAAAGTAGTAAAATAAAATGTTTGGCCAAATAGTGCAGCTGTAGATCAGTTCGAGAACACTACTCTATCCAATCACAAACTATAATGATGAAAATAATAAGGCATCAAACCACTCACACTGTTAGGACTGAGGTGCCCAAACTTATAGTCAGAGGGTCACTTTAGGGTTCCAGACTGGTCCAGGGGCCGACAACCTTATGTGGTTTAGCGCAATCTATGATCCTGGAGTTTATGTTTTAATGACAGATACAGGCCCGCTGAATTTGGCTTTAGTTTAACGAGAAGCACAAGTGGGCACCAACGCCGCTTCTTATTGGCACTTGCTAACTCGGCTGTTGCTACCAACGAAATGTTCATATTTTTGGCGCCACATTCACACTCAAATAGTCTGTTTGAGCTAGCTTTATTCGGCCTCTTGCAGGCTATTTTGGGCTGGACTTTGGACTTGGCTGACTTGATTGGACAGTGGCTTTGAAGAGCTCTATCACAATGAATTCTATGTCTTTATAATTATTATTCACAACTAGCTCACATAAAAAACCCTGTAAAACTCTGTCCCACTGTAAAACATCATTGACTACTTCCTGACAAACATTAGATGCTTTTGTGTGCATGCGCGTGGTTTTAAATTATGCTTATGCCCTGAGTTCCACCTTCGTCTTCTCATATTTAAGTGAACGTGATGAGGTACTGTGGGTAGGCTTGCATGTCGTTGAAGACGATATACATGGACGGGTTTGGCATTTGGTTGGTGACACTGTCGTAGAGGTCGCTGGGATTGCTTTTGGCCGGAGGAGTGAGCATCCCCGCCTTTCCAATCGTGTACTCTCCCACCAGGACCAGAGCCACGTACAGGCGCTTGTGACCGGTGGTGGGGTCTGGCTTAGAGTAGCCTTGAGCAGAGTATGCAGGGTCCACAGCAAAGTACGCCCCATTACCGTACACGGCAGCTGTGGAGGAAGGAGAGAATGAGTGTCAAATGAACTGGCTCAATCCAACTGCCCCGTCCTCATCACAACAGAGACAGGGAAAGAGCCTGTATCTGTCTACTACCTGAGGACAACCCACAACCCCAGACTTCATTACACAGAGAGGCTTAAGTACAACTGTGATCTTATTTTGTGATTCTGTCATGCTACCACCAACAGTATCCTCTTTCACTTCACTCACTTCTTAAAACCAACTTTTATCAATTGGCCTCCCCATAACTGTCAGTTTTTACAGTCTATATATATTTCACTTTTCCACATTGTCTTGTTATTTTGTCTTTCTTGTTGTCTGGCAACTTTAACCTCCAGTATATATATTTGTTATATTATTATTATTATGACTGTTATGTTTTTATGCTGTAAACATGCTATACATGCTTGAAAAGTGCTATACAAATAAAGATGTATTATTATTAATATTATTATGTTTACAACCACGACTGGCACGGGGGCTGAGGGGATTACACTCTCGCTTCTCAGCAAGAAGGTTCTGGTTTCGAATCCTGGTCGGAACAGGGCCTTTCTGAGTGGAATTTGCCTGTTCTCCCAGCGTCTGCATAGGTTTCCTCCGAATACTCCGGTTTCCCCTACCACTAAAAACATGTGCAATAGTTCAGGGTGAATGAGTGTGTGTTTGTGAGTGCGACTGTGGGACAACGCATGCATTGTAACCCATGGCTCCAATCTGGAGAGATGTGTTCATTAACATGTACTGTCCCAACCAAATAAACGATAAAAAAACAAAACAAAAATTAACAAACAACTGTGAAGTGAAAGAAAAATAATACATGTTATTGTTTATTAGGCCCGAGCGCCTTACGCAGGTGAAGGACCACTGTAAAGAGTGTGTGGTAGGGACCTGTGCGGTTGGTGAATGTGAGATTACCGTGAGTTCCTGCGTAGCTGCGGTTGAAGCCGTGTTTGTTGATGAGGTCGATGGAGTTGGATCTGGTTCCGTGGAAAAGCACCTTCTCGTTGTTTTGGCTTTTATTCTTTGTGTCCATCTCCTTCTTCTTTATCTGATAACTCTTCCACAGAGTCACGTTCTGCACTCGCTCAATCTGAAAGAACGGAATAATCAGACCTTTTTTCACTCCAGGGCCTCATCTCTCCTAAACAATGCCTTCTTTCTTATCCTTCTTTCCCCAGCAGTTAAAGGAATTAAACATTTTAAAGATCTGAAAACGTATAAGGAAGAAGGTAATTTTTCAGAATTTACCCGGTTTATTCCAATAACCTAATTTTGTGGAAAAATTTAAGATCCAAGGAACTTTTGGCAAATATTATAATAGAAATTCACCGCTTCAATCCCCAGTGAGCAAGAGCGTCACTACTCAGCCCACACACACACTCAACGCTAACCTGCTAGCTCACTGGAGCACAAGCCCAGGAAAGTGCTCATGGACAAAGTTTTGCTCCAACCTGCTCTGGCTCCTATTCAAAAGTAAATTCCAAGCTCAGTATGTGCTCGATTATTTCACACTGACCAATTAGGGCTTTAAAAATATGTGATTTCTATGATCCTGGTGTTTGTATTATCATATGGTCTTTGTAAATCCAGATATAAGTTCTAAGGTTTCACCAATCAGAGGCCTGCATTCGTGGGGGACACTCCAGCTTGCCTTAGCAACCATCTTAGCAACATGTCTTCTCCTGTGCCAAACTAACGCCGTCGTCACAAGATAAAAATTAAATGTATTGTCATTGTCACAGAGAGCCATGACTCAAAGTAGATATTTTTGTAAACTGAATGTTTCTGGTAAAATAAGGAACGAGTGGAGACTAGATTCTGCTTTAGTCCAGTCTAAAACCCAATGTGGTTAGCTAAAACTAGATTTAGACGGCTTCAAGAGAAACTAAATAAAGGGGTTGACACTTTGGCATGTGCTGTAGGTCTGTATCAGCTCATGATGACCAAAAAACACATTTAGAAATCAATTGTTAGTCGACGCAAACTACAACAACAAGTCAAAGGAGTCAGACATTGGTTTAGTTTGGTCCTGGTCACATACAGAGAGGATGTTGAGGTGGAGTCCGTGCTGCGTCACTTCTGTCACCACTTTAGTGAACTCCTTTGAGTCTTTTTGAAGTGGGACCAGTGTCACCAGCTCGTCACTCTTCATGTCACTCCACTCTGCCGGCAGCGATGTGTTATTGTCTGAAACAGAGAAAAGAATAGAAGAAAAAAAAATACATTAGTTTAGCTCTAGGTTATAAATGTCCCCACTGTGGGATGAATATAGGTTATCTTATCTTATCTTACTCCCAAATACTTTTATATCTGCTGTATTATAGTGAACACTTCTCACCAGCTCCTGACTAATGTGTGTGTTGTAATAAAACAAGTGTATTTTGAGATTAAAAACAAGGTATAACGCATCTATATTGGCATAACTAAAGATATGAACAAAAAACAAAACAATCTATAAAACTAAATATTCTTGGAATATAAATGATTGTCTCTTCTAACTCAGCTCATATTTAAATAAGTGTTTTGCCCAGCCTTTATGGTCCTCACCATTGCACTCTCTCCTGACCAGCTCCACAGTCTTTGGTCCCCTCTCACGGTCTGCTCTCATCCTCTGAGGGTCTGCGGTGAACTGCTGCTGGTTTATCATTATCTTTGTCACTTTCTTCTGGAGGAACGCTTCCTCCAGCGTCAGGTTGGTCATGAGGTCGAAAGGTTTCCTCTCTCCGTTGTCAACAAACTGCCATTCAATGACTCCACTCAGGATAAAGGCATCTTTCCTCCGGGACTCTGCGCGCTCTACTTTACGAATCATGTCCCTGAAATGGCACACAATGAGATCTCACATTAAAAGGAGAATGGAATAGTTTTATTTCCATTGCACTCCAGATCAGAATTGGATACACATCACAGAGAAGCTTCCCATGTCTGAGTCTAAGCGCTATGTGTGCCCTGGTCTATGTGGTATACACAGAGGGGCAGAAGAGGAATGGGCCAAAATACCAGAAACAGTGTGTACCTTTGAGGCCGGGAAAGCGGAAAGCGATTGATCGATGAAATTCTCTTCATCGATCAATTCTCTAAACCAATGAAATGTATCAAGATATACCTGTGATGAGAATTATCTGCGGATGCGCGAATTCCGATTTTTTCTTGCTGAAAATTTCATTTCGGTGAAATGCGTGACCGCGGCAGTTGTTTGCGTTACGTACTCGAACGGGATTAACATGCTCCGCTCTGACCCCCGGAGCAACAGTGGCTACTTTGACAGCTCAGCGAACGCGCAGCCACAGGGGTCATGTACCGAGCGCGGACCATAGACGCATAATCATGACCGAGGGGGAGACGGGCAAGACCCGCACGTGCAACAAGCTCCCTCCCTCGTCTGTCCCCCGTCTCTCCCTGTCTCTCCCCCATGTCTCGCCACCGTCTCCCCGAAGTCTCCTGACGAAGCGCATCAAAGACTCACTGAAAAATAAAGCTCAGCTACCTAAATTTTCGCTTGCATTGACAATGCATGTTTTTTGGGCAAAAAATAAAATGTTGTGACCAAATCAAACAGAACAAACCAAAACGTTGTGTTTTGTTTATTTTGCTTACTTTAGAAAGATCCCTGTGAGTCATTATTTGACTTTTTGGGCAGAGAATGGATTTTTTATATTTTTTTCTACATAGTTAGTGCCACTTAATTGCCAAACTCTTTTTGACTTATTGCATTGATAAACATGTGTTAGTCTCACATTGTTTTTGGTTGTTTTATTACCTTTCCTGTGTTGAAGTTGTATATTCTTCTACTGAAGTTTTATAATAATACACTGCATTCTCATTGAAAGCCACAAGTGTCAGCTCTCAAATTCTTTTGAAATTATGTTTATGGCAAGGCAAGGCAAGTTTATTTATATAGCACAATTCATACACAAGGCAATTCAAAGTGCTGAACAGAACAAGAAAGCATTAACATCATAAATTATCACAGAGCATTAAAAAGAAAGATGAAAATATAAAATCCCTCAGTTGTATGCACAGTTAAACAGAACTGTCTTTAACCTGGTTTTAAACATTGTCAGAGAGGAGGCCTGTCTCACATCTTCAGGAAGACTGTTCCAGATTTTAGCAGCATGAATCTGAAAAGCAGCCTCCCCATGTTTAGTTCTGACTCTGGGCACTAACAGGAGTCCAGTCCCTGTGCTCCTCAGAGTCCGGGCTGGTTCATATGGGACTAACATGTCACTAATATATTTTGGTGCGAGGCCATGGAGAGACTTGTACACAAGCAGAGCTGTTTTAAAGTCTATTCTCTGAGCCACAGGAAGCCAGTGCAGAGACCTGAGAACTGGACTAATGTGGTCGTACTTCCTGGTTCTAGTCAGGACTCGAGCTGCTGCATTTTGAATGTACTGCAGCTGTTTTACAGCCTGTTTGGAGAGACCTGTGAGCAGGCCATTGCAGTAGTCTAACCTACTGGAGACAAATGCATGGATAAGAATCTCCAGGTCTGCTTTAGACACTATGTTTTTGATCCTGGCAATGTTTTTTAGATGGTAAAAAGCTGCTGATGTTACTGATTTGATGTGGCTATTAAAATTTAAGTCTGAGTCCAGTATTACCCCTAGATTTCTGACCTTGTTTGAAGGTTTTAGGGAGAGAGACTGTAGGTGACAGATGACGCTCTCTCTTTGTTTCTGGGGACCAAAGACAATCATTTCAGTTTTGTCTGCGTTTAGCTGAAGGAAGTTGTTTTGCATCCACTCACTGATCTGTTGGATACAGTGAAGGAGTGAGTCCACTGGTCCATGTTCTCCTGCAGTCAGTGAGACATAGATCTGAGTGTCGTCTGCATAGTTATGATAGGAAACTTTGTTTCTGCGTATTAACTGACCTAACGGCAGCATGTAGAGATTGAACAGAAGAGGTCCCAGGATCGACCCCTGTGGTACTCCACAGATCAGGGCCATATGATCTGAGACACAGTTTCCAATCTCCACAAAGTACTTCCTGTCTTCAAGGTAAGACCTAAACCAACTTAGGGCGGTGCCAGTGACGCCAACCCAGTCCTCTAGTCTCTGTAAGAGGATCTCATGGTCGACAGTGTCAAAGGCAGCACTTAGATCTAACAAGAGTAAGATTGAGACTTTGCCTGCGTCAGTGTTCAGCCGGATATCGTTTGTAACCTTAACGAGAGCAGTCTCAGTGCTGTGGTGGGGTCTAAAGCCAGACTGAAACATATCAAATGAGTTGTTGATTATAAGAAATCTAGTAAGCTGTAGGTAGACAACTTTCTCAAGGACTTTCCCCATAAATGGCAGATTTGAGATGGGACGATAGTTGTTAAGTACCGTAGCATCCAGACTGCTCTTTTTTAGCAGGGGCCTGATGACTGCAGTTTTCAGGGCCTTTGGGAATATTCCAGAATGAAGGGACATGTTTACTATCTGTGTGAGTGAAGGTAACAGACTGCTCAGAACAGACTTCAGAAATCTAGTGGGTAGTACATCCAAGCTGCATGTGGAGGAGCTCAAACTGGAGATTATCTCTTGGACAGTTTTATCATTTACAGGTGCAAAGTGAGTTAGCTCAGAGAGCCTTTCTGGCTGTTGGATGGTTATCTGTGGATTGGAGACAATGGCGTTTTTGATGCCTTGAACCTTGTCATTGAAAAAATTAGCAAACTCATTGCATTTACGTTTGGAAGTAAGCTCTAATGGCATTTGAACAGGGGGGTTTGTTAATCTATTAACTGTTGAGAACAGAACACGCAGATTGTTGCTGCAGCCTTCAATCATTTCAGAAAAATACCTTTCTCTCGTACTACGTAGCACCCGGTTAAACTCGCACAACTTATCTTTGAAGATCTCGTAATCAACCTGGAGGTTGGACTTGCGCCACTTCCGCTCGGCCCTCCGGCACTTTCTCTTTTGTGCCCTGACCGAGTCTGCTTTAGCCCACGGCGCCTTCTGCTTATTTTTCACTATTTTAACCTTCACAGGGGCAACGGTATCCAGAACATTCAAAACACTAGAGGTGACAGAGTTAAACAGTTCATCTACAGTAGAATACGATGCATTCTCAAAGTTTATAATTTCCATAAATAGTTCACTCGTATTTTCATTTATGCGCCTTCTTCGAACAGTTGCAGAGTCCACTGGTGGTTTGTTAGTGAAACACATGTCAAAAAAAACACAGAAATGATCCGAAAGAGCAACATCGACCACGTTTACATTTGAAATAATCACCCCCTTTGTAACTAACAGATCTAGAGTGTGCCCTCTGCTGTGGGTGGGGCCACTTACGTGCTGAGTGAGATCAAAGGATTCAAGTACAGAACTCAGCTCATTTGCATTTCTGTCATCAACATTATCCACATGAATATTAAAATCACCTGTAATAACCAAACTATCAAAATCTGTGCATACAACTGAAAGCAACTCGGTAAAATTATCAATAAAACTGTGACATGACTGCGGTGGCTTGTATAGGACAACGAAAAGTATTGGAGGAGATTGTTTTTTTTGTATTTTAAAAGATACATATTCAAAAGACGGAAACTTCCCAAGAGACATTCTATGGGAGACAAAGTGGTCTCTGAAAATGGCAGCTAAGCCTCCTCCTTTTTTGTTTTCCCGTATTTCAGATTCAAACTTGAAATTTGGTGGTGATGCTTCTATTAAAACTGCATTTTCTGAATTTTGGTCAAGCCAAGTTTCAGCCATGAACATAAGATCAAGATTATGAGAAGAAATAAAATTATTGATTAAAAAAGACTTGTTACAAAGAGATCTGACATTAAGCGTAGCAAGTTTCAAGGTTTCAGTATCAGCGGTTGCGGTCGGCTGATTCTTACACGGAACAAGAATTAGATTTTCCAGATTAGACTGATTAACTCCAGATGTTTTTCTGTAATGTATTCTTTGTGTTATCACTAAGGGAATGGCACAGGTGGCTTCATGACAGGGCCCCAGCCGGGTCTCTCCTCTAACTAGACTGCCAGTGGCTGCGAAGCAGAGACCCTGTGCATCCTAGTGTTTAGAGAAAAGAGGGGTAGGGGAAGGCGGGGGAGGAGGATGGAGAGGTGGGTGGCTTTTGGGTGTTGAACGAGGGGGGGCAGGGAGGTGGATGGGTTTTTGGTGATGGGTTAGGGGAGGGGCAGGCTGAGTTGGGTGGTGGACGAGGGGGGAGTGGAGGTGGAGGGTTTCTTGGTGCTGAGTTAGGGGGGGGGAGGTGGGCTAAATGAGCAGGAGGGGGGGGTGGAATACTTATGGGGTTAGAGGAGGGACGGGTGGATTTTGTGGGAGAATTTGAGTTGGACGCCCTAGGTGGCTTTGGAGGTACGTATGGGGAGTAGTTTTGAATGTTAGATAGGACTCTTGATCTGGCTACAGTGGGTGTGAGAGGAATAGTCTTCATCGCCGATCTTATCATGCCTGCAGAGTGTTCCGGTAAATCCAGTAGTGAAGGCGGGGATAGAAAACAAAGGGAAAGGTCGTCCTCATTTTCCCTAGATGGAGTGGATGTAGCGGGGGGGACCCAAGCCGGGTCCATGGAAGGTGATGAGGGAGTCTTTGGTGGAGACAGAGGTGGTTGAGGAACCCCCAGTACAGGCCTGACTGTAGCCTGGAGTAATGGGGGAAGCTTCACGGGAGCTGTAGGTGGGGAAGGTGCTGCTGAAGATGACGGAGCAGCCACTGCTGCTGCTGAAGATGATGGAGCAGCCACTGCTGCTGCTGTATCCACTGCTGCTGGTGAAGATGATGGAGCAGCCACTGCTGCTGCTGAAGATGATGGAGCAGCCACTGCTGCGGCTGTATCCACTGCTGC